GTTTTTATTCATCAGATAACACATTTTCCCATCAGTCTTCAAATTCAGTTTCATGAATTATTTTTTCAGCACTTTGAAATAGTTCCATTGTCCTTGTTTCCACTGGTGCAGTTGGGAAATAAGCTGTCCGTTTAATAATTGACTTTTTGTGGGCAGTCTTATCTCTCTGGCTGCTTTTTAGATCTCTTCATCTTTTGTGTTCAGTTTCAAAACAATGTGTTTAAGAATGCAATTTCCTTTAATCAGCTTAAGATTTGTGAAGCACTCTAAATTCTAGGATTTGCCTTTAATCTGGCCTAGAAAATTCTCTAAAAAGTAAAGAAGCTTTGACTTTTCTCATTTTCTATCACTCTCTATAGTAAATGCTGCATTCTGGATTATTTCTTCAGACCTATCTTTTTGTTCACTAATTCTCTCTTCAGCTGGGCCTAATCTGTTCATCCATTCTAATTTCAATTGTTATATTTCATTCTCAGTCCTTCCTCACATCTGCCTTGTCTTTCTTTATTGTCTTATACCTTTGTCATATATTTGATTCCTCTTATTGCTTCTGATACAGTCAGCCCATTGTATCCATGGGTTCTACATCCATGGACTCAACCAACCATGGATCCAAAATATTTGTTTAAAAAAATATAAAATTACAACAATAAAAAATAATACCAATTTTTAAATACAGTACAACTATTTACATAGCATTTACATTGCACTGGGTGTTCTGTTTTGTTTAGAGACAGGGTCTTGTTCTGCCATCCAGGCTGGAGTGCAATGACATAATCATAGCTCACTGCAACCTTCAACTCCTAGGCTCAAACAATTCTCCTGTCCCAGCCCCCTGAGTAGGTAGGACTACAGGCACAAGCCACTGTGCCTAATTTTTTTATTTTAGTTTTTCTAGAGATGGTGTCTCATTACGTTGCCCAGGCTAGTCTCAAGCTCCTGGACTCCAACAATCCTCCTGCCTCAGCCTCCCACAGCACTGGCGTTGCAGGTGTGAGCCACTATGCCTGGCTATATCAGGTATTATAAGTAATCTACAGATTGTAGAGATGGGAATAAAGCTTCCCTTCTTTCCTCTCTGAAGGTTTGCTGAAACGAGCTGATGACAGATTAACAGGAGAAAAGGCATACAAATTTCATACACACATGGACATGGGAATCCCACAAATATGAGACTCAAAGCAAGGACACATGGCTGAAACTCAAACACCCTCTTTATAAGGAAGAGGAAAAGGTTTCATCTTTATAAGGAAGAGGTCTCATCATGCTACTCAGATGGCATGCAGTTTAAAACTTATTAATTGAAGCCATGCTTGTAATCCCCTAGGACTTTGGGAGGCCAAGGCAGGAGAATTGCATTCCCGTAAGTATTCCAAGACATAATAGCTCAAAATCCAAAATCATACACATGGGAGATAAGATACTACAAATGATAGGATCAAATTTGCCAAGACTGCAAACATTTTAGGCAGTCCTCCCGCCTAAATGCCTCCCACCTCATGGGGAGCTGTAGGCAATTTTGGAAGGGTAGTAAATAATTTCTAGGGGAAATGAATCAACCTGGGAGGCAGACATTATCTTATAAATGATTATCTTAGAAAACTGAATATGATCAGCAAATTACAGGAAGGTGAGGGGTGGAACTACATTGTGAACAAAGGTTGCCTTATGCAAATAGTCTTTCAGGTAAACTCTCAAAGCTGCTCTCAGAATAGATGAAAAGTCTATCTGGGCATGATGACAACTTTTAGTCTCTTTCTCTTCTCCACTGGTTTATCTTTCCTGATTATAAGACTCCTAGAAAGAGGGCTCTTAAGACAATTGCATTTCTTTGGAAGTAGTTTCCTTAGTCAGATAAAGAGATTCTAGAGAGTCTCTTCTTTTGAGTGGGGGAGAATTGCCTGAGGCCAGGAGTTTGAAACCAGCCTAGGCAGACATAGCAAGACCCCATCTCTACATAAAGGAAAAAAATCAGGTGTGGTGGCATTCACCTGTAGTCCCAGCTATTCAGGAGGCTGAGGCGAGAGGACTGCCTGAAATGTTTGCAGTCTTGGCAAATTTGATCCTATCATTTGTAGTATCTTATCTCCCATGTGTATGATTTTGGATTTTGAGCTATTACGTCTTGGAATACTATTGGGAATGCAATCCTCCTGCCTTGGCCTCCCAAAGTCCTAGGGGATTACAAGCATGGCTTCAATTAATAAGTTTTAAACTGCATGCCATCTGAGTAGCATGATGAAACCTTGAGCTGTCCCACCCAGGACATGAAACACCCCTATGTCCAGTGTCTCTACCCTTATACACTACCTGTCCATTAATCACTTAGTAGCTATCCTGGTTATCAGATCAAAAAAAAAAAAGTATAAATATAAATAGGGATTGGTACCATCTGTAGTTTCAGGTATCCACTGGGGGTCTTGGAATATATCCCTTGTGCACAAGAGGGGATGACTGTATATAAGACTTTTACATCAAGAGAGGTTGTGATTGAGAGGAATAATATCACACAGAAATGGACAGAGTAATTTGTGTAACTTCTTATCTCCTCTTCTTGGGAAGAGGGTGAGTGTGTCTTCATTTCAAAAGGGATAGCTGCTGCATGACAGGCAGAACCATGATAGTCTTTTTTTTGAGTCGGAGTCTCGCTGTCGCCTAGGCTGGAGTGCAGTGGCGCAATCTCCACTCACTGCAAGCTCTGCCTCCCGCGTTCATGCCATTCTCCTGCCTCAGCACCCCGAGTAGCTGGGACTACAGGGGCCCGCCACCATGCCCGGCTAATTTTTTGTGATTTTTAGTAGACATGGGTTATTGCCATGTTTTTCTTTGGAAATTTAAACATGAGTTCAAGGGTAAGTCTAGATGTGTGTTGCAAAGGGTGAACTGTGCTGGACAATGTCTGCTGAATATTCTGTACTAATAAAAAATTAGCTGCATGTACTGGAGCATACCTGTGGTCCCAACAACTTGGAAGGCTGAAGTGGGAGGATAGCTTGGAGCCTAGGAGGTCAAGCCTGCAGTGAGCTATGATCATGCCACTGCCTTCCAGCCTAGGCAACTGGGAGAGACCCTTTCTCAAAATAATAATAATAAAAATCAGCAGTATCTTCTCATAGAACTAGGAATACACAAACTAATTTATACAAATCTGTCCCTGCTGAGAAGACACAAATCATTTAAATTCCCAGTGTCATGTCAGCAAAGTCAATTCTGTATTCAAAGGCCAGCTTATTTTCACCACTTCAAGCAACAAAAAAATACTACATATATGAAAAAATTTCTAAATTAGTTTTTTTCAAACAAAGAAATGCTCTAAACTTTAGTTACACCACATGGGTCCAAGTTAACAACCAAGAACAAAAGATAGAAATCCTACAAAGATTCCCGACACTTCCTAGGTTTCTGCATAGCAGCAATGAAAGGAAATTAATAATAAATATTGGATTTACATTTTATTCAAAGAATACAAAATTAAGAAAGAGCTCAAATTCAAAGCAAATATGCTTGATATTTCAAAACAATTCTACATACAAAGTACAATAGGAAAAAAACCAAAAGGCCCCATAAATTAGAGTGGCTAGACACATTCAAGTCTAGCAGAAAGAAACTTGGAATTTAATGCAATGTTATTTCTCTTGCCTAGAAGCTAAAGCCTTAATTGTCTCAGGTATCTTCCACCTCCTTATGGGCATTACTTGAAGACAACAATGGAGCAAGCTTTTTAATGAACTTGCCATAGTAAAAAACCAATAACAGACGCCACACTGGAAAGAAGACAACAATGTAACCTAAAAGGGAGCTACTGGCAGAAATAAAAACTAGTAATACTGATAACATCTAGACCTTTGCAGATGTTTAGAGTACTGTACAATCTTAAATTATTATTTATCAACCTTTGGGTCTCACAAATTAAGAATGTACTAGGTAAGAATCAAGGAGTTATACCCAGTTCACAATACTGTTTCCTTCACTTGCCCTTTAGATATAATGGATCTGGAATTCTCAATGAGTGTTACATGGTTTGGGAATTCTGGCAATTTTCCTTCCATGACCTCCCTATACTTATCTCCATTTCGAAATACACAAAGCTGAGTGCCAGAGGCAAAAATTAATTCCTAAAGATCCAAAGAGTATACAATACTTGTCAAATCTGGTATGTCTGGGCAGGACGCGGTGGCTCACGCCTGTAATCCCAGCACTTTGGGAGGCTGAGGCGGGCAGATCACCTGAGGTCAGGAGTTCGAGACAAGCCTGGCCAACATGGTGAAACCCCGTCTCCACTAAAAGTACAAAAATTAGCTGGGCATGGTGGCACGCGCCTGCAGTCCCAGCTACTCCGGAGGTTGAGACAGAAGACTCACGTGAACCTGGAGGGAGACAGAGAGAGACCAAAGACTGGGCTGAATTCTACAAGCAGACAAAATAGCACATCTATCCATTCAAATCACCCTGGCATAACTGTCTCCTGAAAAACATAGCAAGTACTATAACCACTAGGGATGGACTCTAGCCTGCTGTTCATAAAAGGATTCTGTAAGGGAATCTTTGCTCTATAATGAACAGACTGCTAGATATTACAGAAACTTTAGATTGTCTTGCTACTCACTGACCTTAATATTATCCTTCTTTTGCAACTATTAATTCACTTAAAAATTTTAATCATTGCATACCCTGTAAGCTTCCTATAAACAACATGTTATTGCAAAATGTTTAAAAAGATGTGAGAAAATATCTGTGGAGTGTGGTATCAGAAAAGGCAGAGCCCTTGTTTTAGCTAATGATTCTTTCCCAAACTGGGAGGTTGGGGTAGAGACATGTGGCTTTTGGTAATACATAGGCAGTGATTTCTTACTCTTAAAATCAACAGTAATGAATAAAGTTTTGATATGAGAAATGTTTACAACTAAAATGGACATTGACTACATCTTAGTACAATTTTTAACATAACTACAAATGTGTATACGCTTCAAATATTAGCAAATTGCTTCAAAATGAAATTCTAAGTAAGTTTTTGGTAATTTATTCACAGTTCAGGCTTACTCACTGGACTTAACAAGACATGAAGAAGAAATGACCAACTGGCTCAGTAAACTAAACATTCATTTCAAAAAACACAAAACTGAAACAAAGCAAAGATTATTCTAAAATTTCCACCTCTCAAGAAGTATAATTTAAACAAATACCAAAAGCTTTATTTAAGCAAAAACATATTCAATCACAGAACATTCGAAAAGCTAACAGGATCATTTCTACATTCATTCTGAAAACAGTGTAGTAAGAAAGGTAATTTGAGAATTTCCAAAGATGTTCTCGCTAGCCATTATTTATGGTATATAACATAACATTTTGATATCAAGCTATTACAGACTTAAAAGTTAATATGGCATAATTTTACAATCATGCTTTCACTATGATTTTTATTTTAACCCTGGATATTATCAGTTTGAAGCTAATATTATCAGTCCTATTGGTTGTCACTGTCACAGATCTGAAGATATGTTTAAATTCATCAAGCTAGGAAGATACCAAAATATTAACAATCTTTAAGTATAGTGAGAAAAAACTGATTTAAGTGCTAACATTTCTAAACTTGAGACTCTAACAGTAAAAACAAAGCAATCTGAAACCTGTTTCCATGGGTAAAATACTCTGCCTGGTATTCTTGTACACAAAATTTACTAAATATGTGAATATCATAAAAAGAAAATATCATTCCCTTCAATTTCTTTGGCCTTCACAAATTCAATGTGACTATGATCCTTCTCAATAATACTTTCAATGACATTGTGCTTCTTTAGAAAAAAATCACTTAAGTTGTAGCGTACAATAGTTTACATTAGTTCTTTTGTTGCTATGGTATATCCTAATTTTTTTAAAAGGGAGGAAAAAACCCAAAGAACTTCTTAAAATGTTTGTTAAAGCAAACATTTCAGTTGGTTTCCTTTCTTTGAAGAAGAATAGAAATAAATGTCAGAGGAGTATTACTAAGGAGCCAAAAACAAAACAAACAAGCAAAACAAAAACAAAAACAAAAAAAACTCCTTTCCTCCCATCCTCAGAACTAACTCAGAACAAGAGATCTGTATTCAAAAAGATAAAACAATCTCACCTCAGAAACTACCTCCTATGAAACCTAAGAGAGAAAACCTGTAATAGCTCTCTTAACCAACAGCCCCATCTGCACATCACCAAGCACCAGTTCTCTTTGGGTAGTAGTAATGCTTGTTTTTCATCTTTGCATATTAAGGAGTGTTGTTTACAGATTTATGGGTCATTTGTAGCTTACTTTGCAAATACCTTTCACTTCTTATGAAACACAATATGCCCCCAAACATGGACCATTATTCAAGCAGACAAAATCACTCACTCACAGCACTTTAACAACCCACCTCCACTCCATCTTCCCATTCTCTCACCCTATGCCTTCCAATGAACCTAGTCTTTGCTAGTGATGAGTCCACCTGGAGACAAACACTGCTTTAAAGATGATGTAATTTTCAATGCCTACCACAGTGACTTTCTCATAATAGGTATTAATAAACACTTGTTGACATAGTTATAATAAGCTAAAAAGAGTTAACATTAATTTTTCCCTTTATCTTTTATTCTTACGGCATAGAATTTTTTTTAAAAGATTGAAAAACTGATTCCAATGTAATAATCATTTACTGGGCCACATGCTAGATGACAGACATGCCTCCCTGCCTAAAAAGGGCTCAGAGGGTAAGGAATTCTCAGTTATACATGAGTGAATTAAAACTTTAAATGTAGTACAAAAAAGAACTTTTTATATGAAGGATTCTTTATGTAGAGTATCTTTTTTGAAAAATCAGATTTTCTTATTCTATATTACACTGGTTTTAACTGGGCATGGTCACTTGAGTAGTGTGCCTCATTACAATGTCTCTTTTATGTTAAGAACTTATAAAAGCATTTAAAAATCACTACTCAAATGGGATAGAGAGTAAGAAGACAGGAGAGAAGGAGAAACCATGTTTTTTGTTTTGAGTCAGGAGGGTCTCACTCTGTCACTCAAGCTGAAGCACAGTGGCGCAATCACAGCTCACAGTAGCCTCAAACTCCCAGGCTCAAGTGATCCTCCTACTTAAGCCTCCCAAGTTGCTCAGACTACAGGTGCAAGCCACCATGCCAAGCCAATTTAAAAAAAAAATTTTTTTTTTTTGAGACAGTCTTGCTCTGTTGCCAGGCTGGAGTGCAGTGGCGCGATCTCACCTCACTGCGACCTCCATCTCCTGGGTTCAAACGATTCTCCTGCCTCAGTCTCCCAAGTAGCTGGGACTACAGGCGCGTGCCACCACACCCAGCTAATTTTTGTATTTTTAGTAAAGACAGGGTTTCACCATGTGGGCCAGGATGGTCTCGATCTCTTGACCTCGTGATCTGTCTGCCTCGGCCTCCAAAGTACTGGGATTACAGGTGTGAGCCACAGCATCTGGCCAAAAATATTTTTGTAGAGACCAGGTCTCACCATGTTGCCCAGGCTATTCTCAAACTTGAGCTCAAGCAATCCTCCCACCTCAGCCTCCCAAAGTGGAGACTGGTATTACAGGCTGATCCACTGCATCCGGCAGAGAATCCATGTTTGTTTGGAAAATATCACTTCTTTGTTCTTAATTTTGGTTTTCGATATTCAGTTTAGAACTTACCCTAGCTTTCAGTAAGTGTGTGTGTGTGTGTGTGTGTACACATGTGCTTCATAGAAAGACACACAGAGAGGGAGACAGAGATTATGCACGCTAATGATTGATTTCACACATTAGTTTTAACTTAGAATGCTGAATCAAACTTTAAACTATAAGAAATGCTACAAACCCACACGAATCATGTTTGTAAAATGTTAATATACCAATCATAAGAAATGATACTCGCGCCTGTAATCCCAGCTACTCGGGAGGCTGAGGCAGGAGAATGGCGTAAACCTGGGAGGCGGAGCTTGCAGTGAGCCGAGATTGCGCCACTGCACTCCAGCCTGGGCGACAGAGCGAGACTCCATCTCAAAAAAAAAAAAAAAAAAGAAATGATACTATACACACACTAGCTGACTTACACAAAATAATCTTAGAAACAATTAAAGTAGATTAACATAGCTATAATAGCTATATATATATATATATATATATATAATGTAAATAGTGACCCTATTTTATTCTTAAAAAGATCAGGTTTCTAGTCACCATGTATGAAAGTCCTTCCAAATTACCTCAAAATATAACAAATCTTTCTCTAACCCTAATACACAAGCAGAATTCTATGCTTCTCTGGCAACAACAATAACTATTAGAAAATCTTAACCTCACCAAGAAGTTCAAATGAGAAAAGAAAGGAAGGAAAAGACTTAGCTTACTTAAATAATTGTGCTAAATAGCTTACCTTCACAATTTAAAAGTAAAAAACTTTGAAAAAGGACTTCACCAAAAACAGACACACCCTCCTATAGCCTTGAAGATCTGGCCAGAAAAGCTCCATGAAGAAATCATTACTCATAATTTTGGGGGTATCAAATAATAATATTCTACTTTAAATATTTTAATCCAAATTGTCAACTTCCATTTCTGACACCTATAAGCTGAACATACCCCAGTATCACTTTATTTATATCTTCTTTATTCCTAAATATATTTCAGGGGTAGAGCACGGAAAATACAGAGAGAAAAATACCTAGAATGTAATACTAAATTTGGTGGCTATCAGTGTAAAGCATACATACCTTTTTCTGAGCTTAGCCTACCACATATACTGGAAATGATGAGGTCAACGACCTGCAAATCTTCCAAACAATCACAAATAACTTCCAAACTGGCACTAAGGGACTAGTTTTACGCAACAATGCAGTCAAGGGAAGTTAAAATTAACTATAGGAAATTCTTCCTTGTGACAAAGTTTAAGAGAATACTGAATATATCAATATTAATTTAATAGCAGCTCTGTGTTGTGATTTTAAAGAACAAGATAAAATATGTCATTTAGCAGTCATTTAAAAAATAAAAAGACTACAGATACAAGGAAATGAAAACCATTTTTAGGAGATGAAAACACAAAGAAGTAGGATACCCAACATGTACACATCCCATCTTCAAATTTAAAATCATATTGTCAGTTGTCGAAAGCAGCTCAAATTTAAAGTTTGTGCTACAAAATTGTGCAAATATGTTAAGGATTGGAGACCCACCAATGCACTACTATAATATTTTGCTTCCTAAATTTCTTCCACCTACAGGTAATAGACAACAAGTCTGAGAAACTAAGGCTAACCAAACTTAGATATAAATCCTACCAAGAAAATTTTTCAGTTTTAAGTTTTACGGTTTGATTTAAAAACAAAACAGAAACAAATTTCAAAATAAATCACATCTTCTCTTTATATAACTTGGCAAAACCTTCCCTAACTGTCCAAGTATGAGCATACAATGCCACTGGCTTTAGATACTCCAATTAAATGCACTACTCTTTCATTGGTCTGAATGAAGCATGGTGAAACAAGCACAAATTTTTAGAAACATACTGTCTTCTCACATTGAAGTGGAGGGTCCAGAAATGCAACACCCAGCATTCTTTAAAGAAAATAATGGCTAAAATCTTTCTGATACAGATTCCAATAGATTCCATCATTCAAAGTCCTCCACAAATTACTGGAAAATGTAAGAGGTAACTTCACAAAAATCACATATTGAGTGGAATAATTATAACTGATATATAAATAAGGATTTACTAAAAAAGGCTTCAAGGGGTGATATTTTAAATCAAGGTTTTAAATACAAAAGGTGTCTTGTGTTGCTTAATTGTACAGTTTCGTACATTTTGTACAGATATTCTTCACTCTACAGTCACAGATTTGGCAAGATTCCGTGGGAAATCAACCTGCAAAAAAAAAAAAAAAAAAAAGCAAGATTTGAGGGATTATACAGACTGGGGAAGGGGGGTTGCTATAAGCAAATTATTTTTGTTTATAAAAACAGAAAACAATACAATCATTAACCATCTTTATTACAGACTACAAATAATTAGATTAGAAAATATAATCACATAATGTGTCCTGAAAAAAACTGAAATTGGTAAGGAAAAAGCATGCTAAAGCTGCCAGTTCACACAGAAAGAGCTACTGTGGTCCTCTACAGAAGTAGTAGCCCTCACAGGGGTCAGTAAAAACAAAAGCACAATGTTTTGGTTGCCACAATGTGTGAGAAACCAGGAACGCTAAAAAGTCTTCAATGTGTGGGACAGTTCCAAACAAAAAAGAACAGTCTTGCCAAATGCCAACAGCTGCCCTATTAAGAGGCATGGGGTTATATTAAGAAAACAGGTGGAGACTACCCAAGGTGAGTCACAATCCTGGAGGTGAACCCCAAGTTCCTTCAAGTTCTATGGGTAAGAAGATGTGATGTAACCTACAAATTGGGCCATGAAAATATAACAGGTGACAGATATTTCTCAAACACTATTGTTAAAAATTTAGGAGAAAAAAATCAGAATGTATCCAGGTAAAAAACCATCCCAAGATTTCTGCAGCGGTAGATGACTTACATCATAGCCTCTCAGCACAGCAAGGTGGAAAGCCAGCAGCTGTAAAGGGATCACGCTGAGAATGCCCTGCAAGCAGTCCACCGAGTGGGGCACCTTGATTGTTCTTTTTGTATTCTTAATGGTCTCAGTATCCTCCTTATCACAAATTACCACAGGCCGCCCCTAGGAAAGAAAATCACACACATACACAACATCACTGGTAGGCAAAGGCAGGGCTATAGCTTATGAATGTGCAAAAACTGCACTGCATAATCCACATGAAGCCTCACTGACAGACTTCTTTAAATTCCTATGTAACAAATCTGAGTGTTATTACTTATAGTCGAGGAAACAGAAGCTTTATGGGATCCAGTAATTTGTTTAAACTCATGCAACTAAGAAATACCAGGCTTAGTACTTGATTGCAGGTTTGCCTAACTTCAAAGCTCAAGTTCATTACCACCACATTGTGCTTAGGGAATAGTATCTGTTAGAATTTATATATAAAGCCAACTGATGTGAAGAAAACTCCATTATATAATATTAAAATAAAATCTAGATGTTAGGTTTCCCCTGAAATATATCACATGTGTTTTTTTTTAATTTATTTTATTTACTTTTTTAGAGACAGGGTCTCACTCCTGGACTCAAGTGATCCTCCTGCCTCAGTCCCCAGAGTAGCTGGGACTACAGTCATGTGCAGCTGCACCCAGCTGAAATATATATTTAAAAATATTTTAAAATACATTTTTAAATGTTTTAAAAGTATTAAATTAAAAAGGAGCAGCATATGTTAACTGAAAGAAGACAGGATGTGGAGACCAAGACCTCAGTTCTGGTCTTGGTTCTGCTCAATATGAGATCTATGACCTTGTTCTTCTCAAAACTCTAAGTATCTGGGTCGGGAGTGGTGGTTCATGCCTGCAATCCCAGCACTTCGGGGGGCTGAGGCAGGTGGATCAGTTGAAGTCAGCAGTTCAACACCAGCCTGGCCAACACGAAACCCCATCTCTACCAAAAACACAAAATTAGCCAGGCATGGTGGAGTTCGCCTGTAATCCCAGCTACTCAGGAGGCTGAGGCAGGAGAATCACCTGAACCCAGGAGGCAGACGTTGCAGCGAGCCAAGATTGTGCCACTGCACTCCAGGCTGGGTGACAGAGCAAGACTTCATCTCAAAAAAAAAAACTCTAAGTATCTGAATCCTCACAAGTAAACCTCAAAGGCTGTATTCCAAAGTAAATGAGTTAACACGTGTAAATATGTTTTGTAAGTCATTCAAATAAGCTAGCGTAACTCCCCTCTTTGATCCCCAAGGTGTTCTCACAGTCCCCCGACTCACCTGCCGAGCAACCACTTGCTGAAGAGCATTCTGACACTTGGCGTAAGTGTGATCTCTCATGATGATCATGATCACAGGCATCAATTTATCCACCAAAGCCAGAGGGCCATGTTTCAGTTCACCAGCAAGGATGCCTTCAGAGTGCATGTAAGTAATTTCTTTGATTTTCTAATAGGAAAGAACCAAATTGGTCTTCAGTCCACTTTTCAAAAATCCATGTTTAAGTAAATATTACACAAAGCATCTGATATGTCAAGTCACCGTCTATTTATCCAAAAGTATTAAAGGACCACTGATCTATAAATATATCTAACAAGTTAATAGATCGCTATTTCCATATTATCAACAAGTAATTTGAAGTTTTAAAGCTCCACAAGGACTTTTTAAAGATTTTAGATTATCATGAACATATTCATATTTCTGGGTAACTTTTCTTTCTTTTTTTTTTTTTTTTAAAGACAGAGTCTCGTTCTATCGCCCAGGCTGGAGTACAGTGGTATGATCTCAGCTCACTGCAACCTCCACCTCCTAGGTTCAAGTGATCTTCCCGCCTCAGCCACCCAAGTAGCTGGGATTACAGGCATGTGCTACCACATCCAGCTAATGTTTTTGTATTATTAGTAGAGATGGGGTTTCACCATGTTGGCCAGGCCGGTCTCGAACTTCTGACTTCAAGTGACCTACCTGCCACGTCCTCCCAAAGTGCTGGGATTATAGATGTGAGCCACTGTGCCCAGCCTGACCTCAATTAAATTTCTTATCTACAGAATTTAATCCTTATTCATATTTGAACAAATTAACCCAAGTTACTTGCTAAATCCAAGTTTATCATGCTAAAATGTACTCTTTTTGATTTTCACTTCTGAACAGAGTTCTCTGTTGCACTTTCTCAAAGTAAACAGACCACAATGCATAAATATAGAAGCATTTTTAAAAATTCTACCTGTTTCATTCATTTAATGTAAAAGTATGACTATGTGTCAGGTCTGCAAGTCAATGGACTGATATTAATTAGAAATGAGAAAACTTACCAGTGCCCCTTCAAGACAAGTAGCATAATGATAGCCTCGTCCCATTATCAGAACTGACTTCTGATGATAAAGCTCTGTTGCTAGTTTCTGAATTTCATCATCCATGCTCAGTACTTCCTTAATCAAATCTAAGAAGTAATATTAGCAAAAAAAGGACAATAAACCAAACAAATAAAATAACAATATATTGGTAACAACCAACAAAAGACCAGTGTTTCTATTCCTCTGTGCTATCAATCAGTATGGGGTTTTTTTAATACATCAGAGCAAAACTAGAAAGATCTTATTGACTTGCTTCAAGGATAAGAAGAGAATTTTACCTATTACCCACTCCCTTAGGACAACAAAAGTATAATATATGAGTATCTTTGTACCAGGCAGCCGTTTCAATCCAAGCATGATCTCTTTGCGTCTTTCCTGCATGGAGATCCGATCATCACACATCATAAGGGCGAACATCACAAGGGATACAAACTGGCTGGTATAAGCCTGAAACATCACAAAAAAGCAAGACAATTAGTTGCAGCCGCATCTTAAGAATTTAGAACTTTTAATTTTAAAAAGCTGAAAATAAAATTCCCATTGGTTTTATGGTATACATTCTCTATCTTTTAAAACAACGTTAGGGCCAAGCACGGTGGCTCACGCCTGTAATCTCAGCACTTTGGAAGGTTGGGTGGGTGGATCGCTTGAGCTTAGGAGTTTGAGACCAGCCTGGGCAACATAGCAAAACCCTGTCTCTAAAAAAAAATTTAAAAATTAGCTGGGTGTGGTGGTGCACACCTGTGGTCCCAGCTACTCAGGAGGATCACTTGAGCCCAGGAGGCAGAGGTTGCAGTGAGCCAGGATCGCACCACAGCACTGCAGCCTGTGACAGAGGGAGGCCCTGTCTCCAAAAAACAAAAATAAAATAAAAAAATAAATGTAACTACCTTAGTAACAGTGAACTGAATCAGTACTTAGGAAATCACTATTCTCCTTTTCTGAATTTTGAACAAATGACATAACCTTTATTTCTTAGATACAAAAGCCAAACGCCTTATAAATCCATTGAATGCTTATAAAATTCCTAATATCCCTAAGAAAGGAAGGAAAAGATGAGTAAATCAGCATGTGCCTAACCAAATTTAGTTTTTGGTGTAAGTCAAAAGGCAAGTACTTGATAAACTCTCCTTGGAGTACTTGCACTGGTATTGTTGGATTTTTTTTTTTTTAATTGCTTTTTGATTTTCACCTTTGCCTATTGGCTGTTCCTCACTCCCAGTTTTATTTTTTAAGTTTGGCATCAAAAAAAAAAAAAAAAAAAAAAGGAAAGAAAGTACAATTGTTGAAAAGTAAAATTATCTTTACTCTCATCTGTTAATATAATTACATTAATAATATGCTATTAATAACACTTGTGAATATTGCCTTAAAGTTTTTACTGTTTTTCTTTTTCTTTACATAGTTAAGAAAATTAATTACTAGCAGGTACAATTTTATAACTTGCTTTCACTCGTAAATAATAGTACAAGTGTATTCCCAAACCTGAACTGTCAAGTTACATTATAACCTTGATCAGTTTTCATCTCTTTAGGCCTCAGATACCCCATCTGTTAAATGCACCTGACACTTATAAGATTATCATGACAATTAAATGAGACAAATGTAACACATTCAGTTCTGTATAATGCCTGGATATACAGGCTCAAAATGTACTATAAATTTTATTGATGACAGCTTGAACTAAAAGACAATTATTTTCTTAGGATACAGAATTGTACATATTTTAAAACTCACAATCCTACTGCCAACACTATTTTCATTCTTCCTAACTTTATGTGAATGTGAGATGTGCCTGGTTTGTCAAGTACTGTGAAATGTTGAGAATTATCTCTTTAGCAAATTTTTACCATTTTGACTGCTGGACAATGAACCTTCAGTACTATTTTAACATACATATCTTGAATCCTAAAACTAAGCTCTTTTTTCATGTTTGTTGACCATTTATATTTTCTCTTTTGACAACTGACTTTGTTGTTCCTCACCTGTTTTTCAACTTGAGTTTTTTTCAAATTGGTTTTAAGAAGGTAGTTATTGTTATGTCTCAAATATTTTTTCTCATCATGGACTGACCTTTTATATTGGTGTTGACATAATTTTTAGACTCAGATAATCCTTCCATATCCTAACATAAGCTAAGTATTATTAAATTTTCTTACTTCTGTTGTTTTCATTGTTCCTTTTTATTTTTTAGTCTGTTTGAAATTAATTTTAGCGCAAGTTGAAGGAACACTAATTCTATACCGAGATACGTCATTTCTTTACAATCTTTCCATTTAAAAATATAGTATTTTCTTCAATTTGTGCTAGGAATTTAATGCAATTTACCTCTATTTATCACTTTGGCCACACGCTCTAAATTTTTACCTCTATTATTCGTTGTTTACTTTTTTCTAGTAAGTCTTTTTTTGGGGGGCGGGGGGGACACAGTTGTGCTCTTGTTGCCCAGGCTGGATTGCAATGGCGTGATCTTGGTTCACTGCAACCTCAGCCTCCTGGGTTCAAGTGATTCTCCTGCCTCAGCCATCCCAAGTAGCTGGGATTACAGGCACCCGCCATGATGCCCAGCTAATTTTCTTGTATTTTTTTAGTAGAGACAGGGTTTCACTATGTTGGCCAGGCTGGTCTTGAACTCCTGTCCTCAAGTGATCCGTCCACCTTGGCCTCCCAAAGTGCTGGGATTACAAGCATGAGCCACCACGCCTGGCTTCTAGTAAGTTTTTCTTTTCTTTTCTTTTTTTTTTTTTTTGAGATGGAGTCTCGCTCTGTCGCCCAGGCTGGAGTGCAGTGGCCGGATCTCAGCTCACTGCAAGCTCCGCCTCCCGGGTTTACGCCATTCTCCTGCCTCAGCCTCCCGAGTAGCTGGGACTACAGGCGCCCACCACCTCGCCCGGCTAGTTTTTTTGTACTATTTAGTAGAGACGGGGTTTCACCGTGTTCGCCAGGATGGTCTCGATCTCCTGACCTCGTGATCCGCCCGTCTCGGCCTCCCAAAGTGCTGGGATTACAGGCTTGAGCCACCGCGCCCGGCCTAGTAAATTTTTCTTAATGGTAGTTCTGATTTTTTTTTAACCAATAGTTATTAAGAAAAACATTTTTATGTTTCAGATATTTGAGGTTTTTACTTACATCTCTTTTATTAAAACAGTAGGTTATTGTGCTGTTATCAGTTACAGTGTTTTAATTTTAGCTTCAGGAAATTTATTCTAAGGGGGGTGTGTGTGTGTGCGCGCGCGCATGCGCGTGCACATGGATTATATGCTGAATTTTTATTACTCTTCTCTTGATAAGGGATTAGTCCATTAGTGATTTCCTGGCATGATGTGGATAATGAGACTCCCTCTATAATAAAATCACAGTCTGGTAACTCCCTATCATCCCAATAGTTAAATGAGACTCCCTGTTTCCTCTTGCTGGACTTCCCAGCCTCCAGCTGCTCACATGGTCCTCCACAACTGCCTCCCTGTACACCTATTATATTCTACCAGCAGATTCTAATCTTTTCCCATAATACTAAAGTGAATTTGAAGTCCTCCACCTCCAAGACTAATGAGCACATCTATACTCTAAATTCCAGTATCTTCCAGTCTACTTCTTCCTACTGTGGTTTACTTTCAATAAATCAACTAATCACAAAATATACTACCAGGTCAGAGGTATCTTGGACCCCTGAGATACTTAAACTGTTTCCAATCCAAACTGATCAGATAATGAGTATTCCAGTTCCTGTAGCCCATAACTAAAAATGTTATTCTACAAACTAGTGTTTATTTGTTTGAACTGAAACCATCTGAACACTAGTTTTTAAGTACAAATATTAAACAGAGCAACTTTAATCCATATGTTTTTCCATTGCATTGCTATTACAGTTTAATTTCTAATTTCAATTTCATATTTTTAATTTCATCAATACATACTAGGAAACCAATTATGAGGAAAAAGAAGCTATACCCTACATTTAGAATCTACTGAGGTTTCAAAGAGTTTACCAGGAAAATGCTGACTCTGAAATGTTAAACTTGGTTTTTCTTTTTGTTCAGCCAAAAACAAAGTTACATTTTTATTTTTTTTAAATCAACAAAAGTCAGCACTTTGGTGAAATTCTAAACACCTGCAATAACATATAAAAACTGCTGAACCTACCATTTATACCCATCAATTACTCCAGAGGTATCAAATTATCCATGGTCTGACACTATGAGAAACTCAGTAAGATCCCTCTAATCCTGACAGTTTTTCAGGCAAAGTTGAGAATTTATAAGCAAGATCACAGAATTCTACTAGCTCCATCACTGGGCCCACGGATTAGGATCAATAATTAACTATTTGGCCAGGCGCGGTGGCTCACGCCTGCAATCCCGGCACTTTGGGAGGCCAAGGTGGGTGGATCACGAGGTCAGGAGTTTGAGACCAGAATGGCCAACATGGTGACACCCAGTCTCTACTAAAACTACAAAAATTAGCCGGGTGTGGTGGCGGGTACCTGTAATCCCAGCTACTCAAGAGGCTGAGGCAGGAGAATCGCTTGAAACCGGAGGGCAGAAGTTACAGTGAGCAGAGATCACACCACTGCACTCCAGCCTGGGCAACAAGAGCAAAACTCCATCTCAAAATAACAATAATAATCATAGTAATAATAATCAACTTTTTTCAACATCCATTAACATAAAAACTTTTATTTGCCATCTGGAATGGTCTGTGACTAAATAACCCAAAACGTATTGTAAGTAGCTAAACCCAAAATGTCTAAGACAGTTGAATAAAATTACTTTAGAACCCAAGAAAAATGAAAGTAATACTAAATTGCCATACTTACTAAATTTTTTAAGAGTCATTTTTGAAAAAAATTAAAGTCTGTACTAAAAAGACGCTAATTTGTCTTATACATGTGGTAACCATTGCGGGTAATGGGTGAAAAGTACATAAGACTTCTCCGTACTATCTTTGCAACTTCCTGTATAGTTATTTTAAAATAAAAAGATATTTTTAAAAAATGCAGTAAGAACGAACTACTGACACAAATAACAACACGAACAAATCTCAAAAACTTTAGGCTCAGCTGGTCCAACAGCAGAGGGTCATCAGAACTCATTAGCGTTACTAAAGTTGGTATACAATACCTCACTGCTAAATTTAACTGGTTTTATTTAAAAAACAAACTTCGGGCTAAATGAAAGAAGCTAGACATACAAAACGTGTCATACAACTCCATTTACAAGAATTTTCTGGAAAATGCCACAATACAGCAAGAGAAAACAGTAGTTTCTGAGTATGAGGCTGGAGGGTAGGCGTGAGGATTGACTATAAAGAAACACAAAGGAATATTTCAGGTGATCATCTTCTAAAACTGGATTGTGATAACAGTTGCACAGCCAAATGAATTCACTAAAACTGTACACTTAAAATTGGTGAATATGCTATGGTAGAAGCTAGATGGTGGGTATACCAATGCTAATGTATTATTATTTTTTTTAAGATAGGGTCTCACTCTGTCATCCAAGCTAGAGTGTAGTGGTATGCTCATGGCTCACTGCAGCCTCAAACTCCTGGGCACAAGGGATCCTCCTGCCTCAGCCTCCTGAATAGCTGGGACTACAGGCATGCACCACCATGCCCTGCTAATTTTTGAATTTTTTATAGAGATGAGGTCTCACTATGTTGCCCAGGCTGGTCTTGAACTCTTGGCCTCAAGTTGTCCTCCCACTTCAGCCACCCAAAGTGCCAGGATAACAGGTGTCTCATAAACAAAGGAATGAGAAATATAAAATATATATATTTCCCTTGGCAGCTCACAATTCCAGAAAAGATTAAGTCAATGGCATCCATCCAATCAAACAATCCCATACCCCACATACACCACGTTGTAGCCCTTGTTTCACAATCTGTTATAAATAAAGAGGCTCTGAGATTCCAATCCCCTAATCAAATCGTTAAGTGCTACTAAAGGTGGCTGTCATTTACTCAGCAACAGGATGGAAACCCAAGTACAAACATGTAACACATTTTAATTACCACATGGAGAAAATTCAAGTTTTAGCACTCTGTAAATTATAGTGTTAGCAATATCAAAATACCCAAGAAATAAAAATCTCACTCAAGAGTTTTTATGCCTATAACACCAGCACTTTGGGAGGCGAAGGTAGGCAGATCATTTGAACCCAAGAGTTAGAGACTGGCCTGGGCAACATGGTAAAATTCCGTCTCTACAAAAAAATACAAAAATTAGCCAGGCATGGGTGGTGGCCTGTACCTGTAGTTCCAGCTACTCAGGAGGCTGAGGTGGGAGGATTCCCTGAGGCTGGGAAGGCCCAGGCTGCAGTAAGTCATGATTGCACCACTGCACTCTATCTACCCTGGATGACAGAGAGGAGAGACCCTGTTTCAAAAAAAAAGGGCCAGATACAGTGGCTCATGCCTGTAATTCCAGCACTTTGGGAGGTCGAGGCAGGCAGAGCACTTGAGGTCAGAAGTTCGAGACAAGCCTGGCCAACACAGTGAAACCCCATCTCTACTAAAAATACAAAAATTAGCCAGGCGTGGTGGCAGGTGCCTATAATCCCAGCTACCTGGGAGGCTGAGGCAGAAGAATCGTTTGAACCGAGGAGGTGGGGGTTGCAGTGAGCTGAGATCGCGCCACTGCACTCCAGCCTAGCCAACAGAGTGAGACTCCATCTCCAAAAAAAAAGGAAAAGAAAAGAAGAATTTTTATGTAAGAATCACAAACTTTCTACAAAAAATTCTCTATGAGAATCTTTGAGGGAAAAACTCAAATGCGGTTATGCACACCTTAACATTGTCTTCCACAATTCTTTAATTAAACTCAAATCCACCAATACCCCAACATCTTATTAGATAATCAGCAAGAAATATCAAACTTAAGCAGAAAAATACTGAGAAAACAAAAATGTGAAATCATAAAAAGTAACACATTGGGCAACATAGAAAGACCAGGTCTTTTAAAAAAAAAAAAAAAAAAAACTAGCCACACACAGTGGTGCATCTGTAGTTCCAGCCACTCAGGAGGCTGAGGCAGAGATCACTTGAGCCCATGAATCTGAGGCTGCAGGGAGCTATGATTCCTGTCACTGCACTCCAGCCCCAGCCTGGGTGACAAAACAAGACCCTGTCTCTAAATAACAAACAAACCTAAAACCGCCAAAAACACCTGTGGAGGGATAACATCTCTTATATTTATACAACTTTCTAAGATTTCCTATTTTTATTAGCCTCCTAAATTTATGCATATTCCAATTCCAAAGAGCAAAGTAGTCTTACTAGGCTTTCAAAAAACAAGACAGCACCTTTAAACCTCCCCAGAGCAATATCTAAAGAGAAACAGATACTGTCATACAATACTCATTAAAAAAAATTTTTTTAATTGCCAAATTTTAATTTTTTTTTTTTTTTTTAGATGGACTCTCGCTCTGTCACCCAGGCTGGAGTGCAGTGGCATGATCTCGGTTCACTGCAACCTCCACCTCCCAGGGTCAAGTGATTCTCCTGCCTCAGCCTCCCGGGTATGCTGGGATTACAGGCACGTACTACCACACCTGGCTAATTTTTGTACTTTTAGTAGAGACGGGGTTTCACCATGTTGGCCAGGCTGGTCTTGAATTCCTGAGCTCAAGTGATCTGCCCAGCTCAGCCTCCCAAAGTGCTGGGATTACAGGCGTGAGCCACCGTGCCCGGCACTTGCCAAATTGTATACCAAAGGTGTATTCCTCCTTACAAATTTTCAGAGGTAGTATGTACATTTTTACATTATTTATTAGAAACCATAAATAGGTAAATAAAAATTCCAAAAATGGTTCAAGTGGATGTTTCTAATTTGTTACTTTTCGAATTCCAGACTATACTTCATAAAAGAAGAGGATGTTATATACTTGTTATGTATCTTACTGTGCCTAGCAGGAGGGCAGTAAGTGATAGACAAGGATAGCCAGCAGAGACCTTTTCAAAATGGACTTACATTATATACATAAGTCCCTTTTAAACTCTAAGATTAGGAGGAGGGAGAGAATGACAAGTCTTTTATCTAACTGACCCTTAAGTCCTACAGTATTTACAATGATTAGTAAAATGTGTGAGTTCTGTAACTGTTAAAAAAATAAGACACAGACTAGTCTATAGACTAGTCTGCTTCACTGACACTATGATTAAATAATCATCAGAGAAATAAGTCAAGAATTTACCTTTGTACTGGCCACACCAATCTCAGGACCAGCATTAATGTGAACTCCACAATCTGTCTCCCGTGATATAGAACTGCCAACTGTGTTTGTGATCCCCACAGTTAAAGCTCCTCTCTCCTTACAGTACCGAAGACCCATCAAGGTATCTGCTGTCTCACCTGTGCAAAAAGTAGGACAAGCATAACACATACAGAACAGTTTTAGCATATGCTGTTTCTTAGCAGCAAAAACAAATTGACCACACTTTCAACAATATTACTTGTTTTAAATAAAATACAAAACATCCATTTAATAAATTTATAAAACTTTAATATGGGCTTGTCAGCATCTCCCTTCTGTCACTGAAAATCCAGCTCTTTGAACATAAAAGGTGTTCATTTTTACTAATTCATAAAGAATTATGTAATATTAAAATAAATCTGTGTTCGTCAAGTCATCTGCAATGCCAGTTTATCTTTAAATATCAGCTTTTGCCAAGATATGCTAGAATTATGAAAAGAATCACTTTCCTTCCCTTTAAGTCTTTAAAATTAACACACCTGATTGACTAAGGAAAAAGCAAACATCATCTCGAAAGACTGGTGTGTTTCTGTCCAGGAAGTCACTTGCTAGTTCCACCATCACGGGCAACTCAGTCAGCTCCTCAAGAACTTGACGTGTCTGCAGAGAAAAGATTACTTGGTCACAGAACTTTCCTTCAAATACTCTTTCATTGGACTTCTTTGGATTCAATGTATAGTTTTTGCTTTTTCTGATTACAAAAATGACATGTTAGAAAATAAAAACAACCTAGATTAAAATATTTTTTTAAAAATCAAAATCCTACCAATTGAGATAAGCACAGCTAACATTTTACCATCAGTCTCTTTAAACAACTATGTATACATTCCTTTTTTTTTTTTTTTGAGATGGAGTCTCAGCTCACTGCAACCTCAGCCTCCTGTGTTCAAGCGATTCTCCTGCCTCAGCCTCCTGAGTAGCTGGGACTACAGGCGTACGCCACCACACCCAGCTTAGTAGAGATAGGGTTTCACCATGTTGGCCAGGATGGTCTCGATCTCCTGACCTCATGATCTGTCCACCTCGGCCTCCCAAACTGCTGGGATTACATGCGTCAGCCACCGCTCCTGGCCACATACATTCATATAAAGCAACATACTCATACATATAAAACATTGTGAGAAGTGGAAAGGGCATGGTTCTGAGTCAGCTTGTATGTTATCTCTAACTACCCAATTCCTAATCTTTAAAATGAAAATTCATGTAATACCCATGTCAGCGAGGGTTTTCAAATCAGATAACAGATGTACAAATATAGAGAGAAAAATTAAACACTTTAAAAATACAATGTATTCATAAATAGGACCATTTCCCAAAAGTAGTCAATATATTTTAGAAATCTTGTTTAAGAAGGCTATTTTCAACCTTTGTGGGATGGGGTAGAGGTAATGAAGTAGGGAGCAGTATTCCTCTGTGCAAAAGGTAGCTTAACCTTCATTTCAGTAAATTTCCATTCTAATTATTTTTACACTAAACATCAGAAAATCAAAAACAACAGAAAAATTAACTTTTAGGCAGCAAAAACTTTAAGCTCAACCAATGTATACATTTAGTGTTGCTTTAATTCTAACTCTAGAGCTCACCTATCCTGACAGCCTTTCACCAGCCTCTTCAGGCAAGTGGTCCTGCCCATCTCTCACCCATCTCAGCTTTCCTCCTTCTCAGCAATAAAGAACTTAAAGGTGCCATTATTTCATAGCCCTTTAACTTGCGCTTGCCCGCAAATTTGAGCAGAATCATTTTATCTGGTTCCCCAAAAAATATTAAATAACTTTGATTTGGCATTTTTTAACAATATTACATCATGTAAAGAAAGTCATTGAAGATAAAATGCTCCTTTTATTGTTCTTTTCCACTAATATATTTTATTCATTATACATTAAGTTACTGACACTAAAATGCTAAATGTTTTCCTACAAATAAATGTAAACCAAACCTTTTCACCCAGTTTATAATATAAATGTTACACTGGAATCATATTCTTCAAAATAAAAAGATGGGGAAAGAACAGAAAAAGATAGAAATCTGGAGGCTTACCAGATATTTAAAAGTAATAAACCCCAAAAAAGTAATCTCAAGATTTATCTATGCTAATTAATAGTTTATTCTTTTAGTTGGGGCAACTATTTTTTTTTTTGGCTAAAGATGGGGTCTTGGTTTGTTGCTCAGGCTGGAGTGTAGTAGCTATTCAGAGGTATAATTATAGGGCACTGTAGCCTCGAATTCCTGGTCTCAAGTGATCCTCCTGCCTCAGCTTCTGAGTAGCTGGAACTACAGGCACACAACACTGCACCCAGCTGCAAACAATTTTTTATAAATACACAAAATGACATATTTCCATCACAATAGAGTAACTTAATGCTATAAATTCCACTGAATGCAACTACAAAACCTAGAGAAAATTAAAATTTTGAAAAGCATACTAAGTAGGCCATACTTAAATCATTTATGCCTAGTGTTCCATCATTGGAACACTAAGCTTGTGGGAGTTATTTATATCCTACTACTCAAGGTCATGGCCAAAGTCTGATTTTTCACAAATTTTGCAACCTCTGGCATAAATGGGTTAAGAATGATTAGAGTGTAGTCAGTTATTATTCAGGACACAGAGAGATACTAAAAAAAATAACATGCAAATGTGTCATGAAACAACAACAAAAATGTAAAACAGGATAAAATAAATGGTATTATTTTGTCTGATAAACCACAGGGGGATTTCTAATGTTTGTTAACTATAGTAGTCTTGGTATCCACAAAACAACAAAAAATCTTAGAGAATGCTAACAGAGCATATAACTGCTGCCCCAAAATTGTCTTAGCATTAGATGAAGCATTTAATTAAATTTGCTATTTCTGAATAGAGGGCTCATTCAGTAATAGATCTAAGCCACCAGTAACGTGTTTACGTCTTTCTTCTTCCCGTGTTCAAAATATTTTTTTTTTTTGAGACAGGGCCTGGTTTTGTCCCCCAGGTTGGAGTGCAGCAGAGCAATCTAGGCTCACAGCCTCACCTTCTCGACTCAAGCGATCCTCCTGCCTCAGCCTCCCAAGTAGCTAGGAGTACAGGGAGTTGCCACCACACCCCGGTAATCTTTTTTTTTTTTTTGGTAGAGACAGGGTCTCGCTATGTTACCCAGGCTCAAACTCCTGGTGTCAAGTAATCCTCCCACTTTGCCCTTCCAAAGCACTGGGATTATAGGTGTGAGCCACTGCACCTGGACAAAACAATCACTTTTTCAGACCTCTACCCTTCAATATTACATAGACTTTCTGTTTAGGACCATATAATTTTAGGGGAGGAGGGGAGGAGGTATATGGTGTAGTCTTTGAAAAGAGCAAAGTTTGTTGAGATGCAAGGGCAGGTGACCGGATAGTTTCACTCACTGCTTAAATAAATGGCTCCTAATAAATATTTATGACTCAGCAAATAAAAAAATTATGTCGTGAACTTTGGAAATCAATCCTAAAAGCAGAAATTGAATGTAAAGGCCTTCTGTTTATAAGAGTTGACATCAGCAGCACGTAAACTCTCTCCTTCTAAGGAAACTACATGTGGAAATACCCTCATATACCTATGCTTCTGCACTGACCATACACGTTTTTGATACTGAATTTCAGCTTCTAAAAGAACAATTTAAAGAATAAAATCTGATTAAAAAAAAAAAAAGGCAGACTGCCTTTCTTTGCAGTAATGTGCCCACAAAGTAAAACTGCATTGAGGTTTACACATGATATAGGCCATCTGTCTAGGGCAAGTGAACAACGCTAAGCAAAACCCAATGACTGCTCTTATATATATAGGCAAGCTCCCTAGGCTACAAGTCTAGGACAGCACGGAAAACTTTTCCCGTCTTGGCCTTTCATGAAGTCTGTTGCAGAAGGTCTATCTGTGTATCTAGGGACCTTTTCTACAGATCTTCCATTGATAAATAATTCCAAGCAGCTGGTAAATTTCTCCCCTTACCTTCTGTTTTTATCACAAAAGTGAAAAGATAACACATTAACAAACGATAGTTTTACATAGTATGTTATTAGAGCTACTACTTGGTCTATAGATATTCTCTAATATTCAACATAATTAAAACTTTAAAAAGCACTTACTGCTACACCAGCATGGTAACTTGTGCCACAAGCAATAAGAATCAAACGCCGGCATCTCTGGATCTCCTTTATGTGATCCTTCAAACCACCCAAATTCACTGAAATAAAAGTTTGTGTATATAATTATTTAGCAAAGAACCATGTGAACTAGGCAATCGCATTTTATGAGTATCCACTGCCAATATGATAAAGAATACGGCTGTTTTAAAGAATATTCCTCTTGGAAAGCACAGTTCTCTGTAATTTTGAAAAGTAAATTAAATAAGTCACAACTTAACTGGGCCCCCCAAACTTGTAACTGACCTTACTCACCTCTCTACATCCCCACACAATTACAGTATTTATTACATTCTACCTTAGTCAGTCATTTTTACGTTCTTCTCTTTGAAAGTTATCTTAAAGGCAAAAGTAGAGGGACACAGAAAACAGACCATTAGATGTTGAGGGCTGGAGCTGGAGGAGGCGTTGACAACAATAGGGTGCGAGGAAATTTTCGGAGTGACAGAACTGTTCTACATCTTGACTTTGTAGAGGTTATAATTATGACTATGTTGTAGAGGTTTGTCAAACTTAAGAGTTATATACTAGGAATGATGAATTTTATTATATCTAATTATGTCTCAATAAACCTGTCTGGGAAAAACATGATCTCAGTTACGTTTATTTCCCCTCTGGTGCCCAGAAAGGTGCTCTGTAGAGTAACATAAACCCACTCTCTCTCAGTCTTTGCCATCCTCATTCCCCTAATGCTTCAGTCAAAATGCTTGATTGTTCTGATCCCTCCACATTTATCTTCAAACCTAACATCTCTCCCTGGACAACAGCAATATTCTCCAATTCTCTCTTCTGTTCTCCACCTCCTGGAGTCTGCTCTCCATATGCTACCAGAAGGATCTTTTACAGTGATCCCTTAAAAACATAAAGACCCTCCAATGAAGTCTGTCCTCTTTTTCGTTTTCAGTTTCTATAGCTATTTATATGTTGTTCTCCATGTGTCTTGTCCAGAAATCCTTCCACACAGGCTAGTTTTCTACCTGTGAGAAATTCCCATTCAACATTCATTCAACTGCTCAACTAAAATTCCCTAAGCACCCTCCAAGTAAATACAGTGGTCAAGGCACTGAGAGCTTCTGGACTCAAACAGTTCCAAATCTGGCTGAGGAGAATGACAGGTACCTCCTCGTGGGCCTCATCCTGCTGCTCTCTCTGAACCATTTTCAGTCTGTCTACTCTGCCCCTGCTCTCTTCAACTCCCCTCCTTTTTTTTTTTTTTTTTTTTTTTGAGACAGAGTCTTGCTCTGTAGCCCAGGCTGGAGTGCAGTGGTGCAGTATCGGCTCACTGCAACCTCCGCTTCCCAAGTTCAAGCGATTCTCCAGCCTCGGCCTCCTTAGTAGCTGGGATTACAGGCGCAAGCCACCATGCCCAGCTCATTTTTTTCTATTTTTAGTAGAGAGGGTTTCACCATGTTGGGTAGGCTGGTCTCGGACTCCCAACCTTGTGATCCACCCACCTTGGCCTACCAAAGTGCTGGGATTACAGGTGTCAGCCACCGTGCCCAGCCAGCCCATCTTCTTTTTTATCTTAGTTATACTATAAAACCAAGGTACGTGTTTTACTTTTTATCTTTTGAATAATTATATGTTCTCCTTTTTGAATTTCAATAATCAAAGAAGGTATGTTTCTCTATTTTTAAAAATTAGCAAGTAGGAAACAAAACCAAACAAAATAAAAAGTATTACTAGCTTCCCAAATAATTTATAATCAAATCCGAACTACTTACTTTGGCCTTCAAGTCCCATACGACCTGTCTCCTGCTTACTCTGACCTAATACCCTAGCACATCCCCTCTCACTCAGGCCACACCAGCCAGACTGGCCTTTTCTTGCTGTTCCTGCACTAGACCAAGCCTGTTTGCGTACCTCTGCCTACAGTGTTTTCCACAGACCTTGGCATTAATTACAAATGTCTGGGAAGAAAGGAAACAACAGTAAAGGGCTTGATCAGGGTCAATCAAAGGCAAAGACTCAACATAAAAGCAAAGAAAAAAAAAAAAAAGGCAGACCAACTACCAGAAAGACCTGTACTGCAGATGATGACAAAGAATGACATGGATATAAGCCAGTGAGATTAGCTGGCCACAGTGTTTCCTTAATATTAGTCCTAGAAATTTCTGGTGGCTAAGGAGAGTTGGGATAGTTCTGAAAGGAGCTGTCCAAAGCTCTAAATTTGATGCTTTTGAGAAAAGCCTGATCCCTGTTGAGATGAGGTAGGCCATCACTACAGGCAAAAGAAAGAATGCCTGATGGACAGGGGAGGGGATGGAGAGCACTTAGAACAATGTATACATGGGAACTAGTTTGGTTCAATAAATGACTAACAATGTGACCTTTGGCAAACTGAAAGCCTCAATCTCCTCATCCTAACAACAAAAAAGATGACAGCTATCCTGTTTTATTATAGAACTTTTATGTACATAATACAGATATAAGCACTCTTTATGTATTTATTTATTTTTTGAGACAGGTCTTTCAACCAGGCTGCAGTGCAGTGCTGGAGTCAGAGCTCACTGCAGCCTCAATCTACAGGGCTCAAGCAATCCTCCCACCTCAGGCTCTTCAGTAGCCAGGGCTATAGGCACCCACCACCACACCCAGCTAATTTTTTAAAAAATTTTTAGTAAAAACGAGGTCAGGCTGGTCTAGAACTCCTAAGCTCAAGCAATCCTCCCGCTTTGAGTGCCCAAAGTGCTGGGATTACAGGCATGAGCCACTGCATCCAGCCAAAAGTACTTTTTAAAACCATGAACTTCCCAAAGTTTGTCTCATTTTCTCATTTTCTTCCCCTATAAATCTTTTTCCTGGCCTCATTTCCATAAGTACCATAAAAGAATTTACTGCTGTTCTCCCAGTTCCTCTAGCTCAACCATCTTCAACAACCCTCTCTGTCTACAGAGGCAGATACGATTCCTCTGGTGGTGGATGCCTGTAATCCCAGCTACTTGGGAGGCTGAGGCAGGAGAATCGCTTGAACCCGGGAGGTGACAGCTGTGGTGAGCCAAGATGGCACCACTGCACTCCAGCCTGGGCAACAATAGCGAAACTCCATCCTAAAAAAAAAAAAAAAAAAAGGTGTTGTACTCTCACCTTTACCTTAAAAATGCAGGAGGGTACAGGATATCCAAAGGCATCATGCAAACACCTGAAAGACCTCTGGGGAAGTTCACACTTTTACTTACTTATACACTCAGAAAGGAAACCTAGACTAGGCAGATACATGTAAGCTGCCCAGCAACGGGATCAGGTCTCATTCTTCTTAGAATTCACAGTACCAAGGACAGTCCCTGGTACACAATGGGTGATCTATACATAAAATTTACCATTTTAACTATTTTTAAATGTACAATTCAGTGGCATTAAGCACATTCACATTATTGTGCAACCATCACTACAATCCATCTCTGTAATTTCATCATCCCACAACTGAAACTCTGTACCCTTTAAATAGTAACTCCCCATTTCCCCTCCCCACAGCCCCTGGTAACCATTAATCTACTTTCTGTTTCTGAGAATCTGACTATTCTAGATATCTCATATAGGTAGAATAATACACTAAAGAACTTTTTCCAAGATGGCTGGGCTCCACTGACGGCTGACAGCTGTAGCTGTTCTACATGGCTATTAAGGGCAATGAACTTTCAGGTTGTTAATGGCACCTCCTACAAGAGACACTGAAATAATAAAATAATTCATATGTAATTACCAGTATAGTCATCAAAGTTGACTCTTCCTCTCATTGTGTTCACGACAGACTCTGGCTGCTCAAATATTTCCTTCTGCATAAATGAACTGAAGTTGCCTACAGTAAGAGAAATCACATAATTAGAACAAAAACAAATCAAAGAATAAGAAAAGATTTGTAAACAACCGAAAGTCCCCCTCCTTTAATAAAATCTTGGTAAATAAAATATAACAAAAGGTCATGCAATAGAGAAACTTATTTATACATGACTGCCTAAAAGATTGGGTGAATATATTTTACTCTATGTGGAAAAAAGTAAGAGTACAGTCACTTTTAATTAACTTCATACTTGAAATGTGCAGTTAAAACAAAACAAGTGAAAGAGACAAGCCTTTTTTTTTGAGACGGAGTCTCGCTCTGTCACCCAGGCTGAAGTGGAGTGGCGCAATCTAGGCTCACTGCAATCTCTGCTTCCTGGATTCAACTGATTCCCCTGCCTCAGCCTCCTGAGTAACTGGGACTATAGGCGCGTGTCATTACGCCAGGCTGATTTTTTGTATTTTTAGTAGAGACAGGGTTTCACCATACTGACCAGGCTGGTCTTGAACTCCTGACCTCATGATCCGCCCACCTCAGCCTCCCAAAGTGCTGGGATTACAGGCGTGAGCCACCGCACCAGGTCAAATGAGACAAGCTTTAAGTTTTGGAGTATAACCTACATTCAAACTGCGGTTCTATCCTTTACTATCTAAGCTGGGGAAATTATTAATCTATAAAATAAGAGACCAGTTACTTCACAGTATGGATTGCAGTATGGATTAATAAAGCAAGAAATCTGACATATATGTAGAGTCATGCAATAAATGTTATTTCTTATTTTTACTTTTTTTTTTGAGACAGGGTCTCACTCTGTCACCCAGACTGAAGTGAAGTGGCAAGATCACCGCTCACTGCAGCCTCAATCTCCCGGGCTCAAGTAATCCTCACACCTCAGCCACCTTAGTAGCTGGGACCACAGGCACACACTATCATGCCCGGCTCATGGTTTTGTTTTGTTTTGTTTTGTTTGAGACAGAGTCTCACTCTGTCACCCAGGCTGGAGTGCAGTGGCACAATCTCACCTCACTGCAACCTCTGCCTCCCAGGTTCAAAAGATTCTCCCACCTCAGGCTCCCCAGTTGCTGGGACTACAGGTACGTGTCACCATGATCATAATTTTTTTTGTATTTTCAGTTGAAACAGGGTTTTGCTATGTTGCTGAGGCTGGTCTTGAACTCCTGAGTTCAGGCAATCTGCCTGCTTCGGCCTCCCAAAGTACTAGGATTACAGGTATGAGCCACTGCACCCGACCTTTTTTTTTTTTAATTTTTAGTAGACAGGATCTCACTATGTTGCCCAGGCTGGTCTCAAACTCCTGAGCTCAAGTGATCCTCCTACCTTGGCCTCCCTAAGAGTTGAGATAACAGGCATCAGCCACTGTGCCTGGCCAATGTTAGTTTCTATTCCTACCACAATCCCATCAGTATAATAATAATTATAATACTTAACAGAAGCAAATATTACATACGACTAAGTGTGTCAGACACTGTTTTAAGGACTTTATATATAGTAGCTTCTTTTTTTTTTGAGACAGAGTTTCGCCCTTGTTGCCCAGGCTGGAGCACAATGGCGCAATCTCGGCTCACTGAAACCTCTGCCTCCGGGGTTTCAGCCATTCTCCTGCCTCAGCCTCCCGAGTAGCTGGGATTACAGGCATGTGCCACCACACCTGGCTAATTTTTTATTTTTTAGTAGAGTTGGGGTTTCTCCAAGTTGGCAAGGCCAGACTGGTCTCGAACTCCCCACCTCAGGTGATCCGCCCACCTCGGCCTCCCAAAGTGCTAAGATTACAGGTGTGAGCCACTGCACCCAGCCATATAGTAGCTTCTTAATCCTCAAAACAACCTTAATGAGTTAGGCTCTATTATCCTCATGTTATATATAAGAAAACTAAAGCACAAAGAGAATAAAAAGGAACAGAACATGAACTATATTTATGTTTATAAAGTATCTTTAAAGTATCAAGTGTTAATAATCTTTTTTATAATGTTAGAAACAAATCATTAATTAGTTTGAAGATGATTGTAAAAACAGCAGATAATTTCTCTAAAGAATCATCCCTTTTCCTAGGGTTGTCCTTTGCCTAATCATGTGGAAGATTCCACTCACACCATTCATTACTAGATTCAATATGCTAGGAAAAGAAGTAGAATATATTCTTTCCATTAAGGACAGCAAGCTATAACATGACAAAAACTTTTACCCTTCATGATCTGCTGGAGTTCCATCTGGAGTGTTTGCACAGCTCGTCCAGGGTGATCTCCTGCAGTTCGTTTAATTCGATGGATAGAAAGACGTCCATCCACTACTGCTGCAACATCATCATCTTCTAGAAAGATGACGCGATTGGTGTGTTCTATGACAGCACTATAACATTTTCAAGGAGATATTACAATCAATAACCAAGGATCATTTCTATAAATGAAACTATCATTTGGATACAAGAACCAAATTTCAATATAAACTCTATCACTCTGCAGTATCTCGGAGAATTTTCTGGTTACTAATGCCATCCCCTACAGGAAAGTATGGGGAAGGTGGTCATTGTGGACAAAAAATAAAAGGATCTCTGCATAGTAACCTAAACCAAATAGATTAGACCAGAAAGCATGGTTGTTTCCTCCTCATTCTATCCACTACCAAGTCCTGAAATTTTAACTTCCAAATACTCTCAAAGCTTCTATATCCACCACCAGACAAATTCAAGCTCCCATCAGTTCTTTGGCTGGACTACTGCAGCAATCTCCCAATTAGTCCACCCACTTTGTCTCTGATCTCTCTCCATCCATTCTCCATTTCTGCCAAAACTGGTATCAAAGGCAACAACTCCAATGAAGATTTCTCCTTCACTCAACAAACCATTTGACAGCTTCCCTTTGGCTCTTAGAAAGACAACAAACTGGCCGAGACAGGCAGATCACGAGGTCAGGAGATCGAGACCATCCTGGCTAACACGGTGAAACCCCGCTTCTACTAAAAAATACAAAAAACTAGTCGGGCGAGGTGGCGGGCGCCCGTAGTCCCAGCTACTCGGGAGGCTGAGGCAGGAGAATGGCGTAAACCCGGGAGGTGGAGCTTGCAGTGAGCTGAGATCCGGCCACTGCACTCCAGCCTGGGCGACAGAGCAAGACTCTGTCTCAAAAAAAAAAAAAAAGAAAGACAATAAAGTGCCTTACTGTAACCCCTATACCTCCTTCTCCAGCTTCATCTTCCACCAAGCTTCCTCTCACTCTCTCTATTCCAGCCACACTCATAGCCATCCTAAACTCTCACAGGCTGAGCCATTTGCAAAAAATGAATGTTCCTCCTTCTACCTCTTAACCTAATTAACTCCTAATCTCTCCTTAACTCTCGGTTCAAACATCATTTCCTTAAAGAAATTTACCCACCAAGGGTAAATCACCCTGTTACTAGCATTCTGCAGCTCTTGTCACAGTTGGAATTCTACACTTGTGTGATCATTGTTTAAAATTCGCCTCCTCACTAAGGAAGAGCTTCTAAGGACAAGTAATATTTTTATTTTCACCATTATCTCCTGAGGTTAGCATATGGCTTCACTCAGAGTGTTCAATATGAATATATACATGAATGAGAAAAGGCTGATATGTTTCTGTAATTCCAGTGTATTTAAGCTGTAACTGTCAACTGTGTAATCTTACATATCTTAGCCCTGACTACACACCTTACACATCTGTAAAAATATTAAAGAGTAAAGCTTGTTTTCCCACTGAGATAATACATTCCCTGATGCCCTAAATGGCATTATTTTCTCATTTTTATTATATTCTGTTATTTTCAGGTATAGTGAATGACTCAAATACTTGTTTGCAATTTGGGTGATTTTATTTTATCCTCATTACTATTTCATTTATAAATGCATTTAAACATCCCCCTGCATTTTCTCTCAAAACGTCTTAGTCTACTACTATCCCTTTATAAAAGTGATTATGCTGCAAATTAATTCCAAATGTAAAATATGAGTATCTACATTACACTAAAACTACAATAGTTTAGCAACTATGCTATAACAATTGGGATACTAACTAAGCCATTTTACTCTTCAATCTAGAATCTCCTCCCTTCAAAACCTAGATAAGGCTCCTGAAATAAGAAGGAAAAAAATGTAAGAGTTCTAAAATAAATACACTGGAAAAAGTCTCAAGGAGTATATGTGTTCTTGGTAAACTGACCTACACTCTTTGAAATGACAGGAAAAGTGTCCTTATAGCCCCATCTCCAAAATGGTCACCTATATTTCTTTAATTAAAATAGTTGCCTCATAGAGCACAACTAGACTGATACACAATGACTTCTTGGTTTCCTGTAGAATGAGAAGTTTTACTAAAAATGTCTTTGAATCAACTAAGCTCACCTTGCATCAGAAGCAAAGTAATACTCGACTGCTTTTTCCTCCACCGGGAAAAGGCAGGTTGTGCTGTCCACACGAGAGAGATTGCAGCTTCCTTTCTTGTCTTTGCCTAAAGCATATAGTTAACATGAATTGGCAAACATGTAGAAAATCACGTACAATGTAGAAATATGCATAATTTTCTACAAAATCAAGAAAAAAATCATAGCAACACAAAACAATTTCAGCAAATTTAAAAAGCCAAGTAGGTCACCTCATTTCCATGCAATAAGCCAGTAAGAACAGACAAAAAGTGTACAGTGAAGTAGCAACTATCAAAGAGTGCGTGGCAGGTAAAAGTGCTACATTATATGTTTTTTTAATATAATATTTCTTTTCCAGGTAAAAGGCAAGTAATTCCTTAATATTAGCTGTTTTTTTTCATCAAAAGTGTGTATAATTTTAGCTTTATACAAAACCTGATGATCTTAACACATAAGTTTGTGTACCTATAATTATCACAAAATTACATTTAAAATATCAAAATTGTGCAAGGAAAAATAAAATGAATACAGTGGCTCATGCCTGTAATCCTAGCACTTTGGAAGGCCAAGGCAGGAGGATCACTTGAGGTCAGGAGTTCGAGACCAGCCTGGCCAACATGGTGAAACCCCGTCTCTACTAAAAACACAAAAATTAGCCAGACATAGTGGCAGGCGCCTATAATCCCAGCTACTTGGGAGGCTGAGGCAGGAGAATCACTTGAACTCAGGAAGCGGAGGCTGCACTGAGCCAAGACCACACGCCATTGCATTCCAGCCTGAGCAACAGAGTAAAAACTCTCTCAAAAAAAAAAAAAAAAAAGAAGAAGAAAAAGAAAATGAAGGCTAGTGGCAAATTAATTTTATTATTTCATAACAAAACCTCACTAGATTTTAGCAGCAAGTCAGCATAACAAATCAAGTTGCAGTCTACACTAATTCTGATTTTAAAACAAAACAGATGCATATCACTCTCTAATCATGGTATATCATATGTGGCACCCACTGTCAGGGACAAAATTTATAAACCAAGAAACTCTCCCTTCTTTAACTTGGGTTTTCTTTTTTTTTTTTTTTTTTTTTTTTGAGACGGAGTCTTGCTCTGTCGCCCAGGCTGGAGTGCAGTGGCCGGATCTCAGCTCACTGCAAGCTCTGCCTCCCGGGTTTACGCCATTCTCCTGCCTCGGCCTCCCGAGTAGCTGGGACTACAGGCGCCCGCCACCTCGCCTGGCTAGTTTTTTTGTATTTTTTAGTAGAGACGGGGTTTCACCGTGTTCGCCAGGATGGTCTCGATCTCCTGACCTCGTGATCCGCCCGTCTCGGCCTCCCAAAGTGCTGGGATTACAGGCTTGAGCCACCGCGCCCGGCCTAACTTGGGTTTTCTTATACTTCCTTTAAGTCAGGATAAAGTAGGGTCTTTTTGCAAAGCTAATATCCTTTTAATTCTTGTATTTCAGATTTATGACATCTCTACTTAATTTGTCAAGACATTAATTTTTTTCATCAAGACTGGAATACTAAAGTTTTATAAACTGGCCTAATATAGGAAAAAAATCTATTAGTTGAAGACTACATAAACGTCCTAGAGACAAAAATGCACCTTTCTCCAAGGCCAGGACATAACAGAACTATGGACACAACAGCCAGAGAATATCACAAGTATACTTATAAAAACTGCTACTTTACCTATCCTCTTAAAATGTACATATAAAGCAGACTTGATAATAATTATTTGAAATGTACATTCAAATGTGCTAATTATCCTGAGTTGATCATTATACATTGTACACATGTATTGAAATATACACCAAATATATAATTATATATTAAAAACAATAAAAGTCAAAAAAAGCATATTCAAAGTTTTCCACCATCTGTGATTATGTTTTAGTGATGAAAACAAGCTAACTTTTCCCATTCATATTTAACAGCAAAGATGCCAAACTTTGAAAAATAAGTATAAGATGACATCCAAGAAAAAGTAACATTATAGAAAAATAACATAATAGTGTTTGCCAGGGGCTGGGAATGGGACAAGGGTTGATAACAGAGGGAAAGTTGAGGGAACTTATTGAGTCATGAAATTGTTCTGTATCTTGATTGTGTTGGTAGTTATGCAACTTCACATCTGACAAAACTCGTGAAACTACATGAAAAAGAGTAAATATTACTGTATGTTAAAAAACAGAGGCCAGGCTCTGTTTTCTATTTTAAAAAACAGAGGCTGAGCCTGGCAGATCATTTGAGGTCAGGAGTTCAAGACCAGCCGGGCCAACATGGTGAAACCTCGTCTCCACTAAAAACACAAAAAATGAGCCGAGAGTGGTGGAGCGCGCGTGTAGTCCCAGCTATTCCAGAGTCTGAGGTGGGAGAATTACTTAAACCTGGGAGGTAGAGGTTGCAGTGAGGTGAGATTGTGCCATTGCACTCCAGCCTGGGTGACAGAGCAAGACTTCGTCTCAAAAACAAAAACAAAAAAGTGAATTTAAAAACACATAAAAAGAGAGCTCAGCATTTTAAAAAAATAAATGTGGCCAGGTGTGGTGGCTCACGCCTGTAATCCCAGCACTTTGGGAGGCCAAGGCGGGAGGATCATGAGGTCAGGAGTTCAAGACCAGCCTAACCAATATAGTGAAACCCCGTCTCTACTAAAAATAGAAAAATGTGCCGGGTATGGTGGTACATGCCTGTAATCCCAGCTACTCAGGAGGCTGAGGCAGGAGAATCGCTCAAACCCGGGAGGCCCAGGTTGCAGTGAGTCGAGATCACACCACTGCACTCCAGCCTGGGCGACAGAGCGAGACTCCGTCTCAAAAAAAAAAAAACAAAAAACGACCTTTGCTTATAAAATGTCCTGCGAGGCTTGAGTTTCACTGTGTTTTTTCTCCAAATACTGATAACTTCATTCTTCAAATAACAAAGTATATTTAATTAAAATATGTTTAAAAATTTGAGTCTGGGCACAGCGGCTCACGCCTGTAATCCCAACACTATTTGAGAGGCCAAGGTGGGCGGATCACCTGAGGTCAGGAGTTCGAGACCAGCCTGACCAAAATGACGAAACCCCGTCTCTACTAAAACTACAAAAGTTAGCTGGGCATGGTGGTGTGCACTGGTAGTTCCAGCTACTCTGCAGGCTGAGGCACAAGAATCACGTGCACCCGGGAGGCGGAGGTTGCAGTGAGCCAAAATCACGCCACTGCACTCCAGCCAGGGCAACAGAGCAAGACTGTTTCAAAAACTAAATAAATAAGGTCAAAAAATTTGAGATATCAATGTCTGTTTAAATGAAAAGAACACCTCTGGGCTAGGCACAGTGGCTCTCAGCACAGGCTCTCTAGGCACCTGTGATCTCAGCACTTTGGGAAGCTGAGGCGGGTGGATCACTTGACTCCAGGAGTTTAAGAGCAGCCTGGGCAATATAGCAAGACTCCAATTGTACAAAAAATTTACAGTTAGCTGGGAGCCAGGCACAATGGCTCATTTCTGTAATCTCTGTAATTTGGGAGGTTGAGGTAGGAAGATCCCTTGAGCCCAGGAGTTTGAGACCAGCCTGGCCAACAGAGCGAGACTTCCCCTTTACAAATAAAAAAATTGGCTGGGGGTGGTGGCACATGCCTGTGGTCTCACCTACTTAAGAGGCTGAGGGGGAAGAATCACTTGAGCCCAGGCAGCCAAGGCTGCAGTGAGCCATGACTAAGCCATTGCACTCCAGCCTAGCTGAGAGAGCAAAATCCTGCCTAAAAATAAGAATTAACTGGGTGTTAGCCAGACGTGGTGGCTCACGCCTGCAATCCCAGCACTTTGGGAGGCCAAGGCGGGCGGATCACGAGGTCAGGAGAATGAGATCATCCTGGCTAATATGGTGAAACCCCGTCTCTACTAAAAATACAAAAAAAAATTAGCCAGGCGTGGTGGTGGGCGTCTGTAGTCCCAGCTACTCAGGAGGCTGAGGCAGGAGAATGGTGAACCCAGGAGGCAGAGCTTGCAGTGAGCCGAGATCACGCCACTGCACTCCAGCCTGGGCGACAGAGCAAGACTCCGTCTCAAAAAAAAAAAAAAAAAAAAAAAGAATTAGCTAGGCGTGATGGCACACACTTGTAGTCCTAGCTATTTGAGAGACTGAGGCAGGAGGATCGCCTGAGCCCAAGAGTTTGAAATTGCAGTGAGGTATGACCACACCACTGCACTGCACTCCAGTCTGGGCAACAGAGCAAGACCCTGTCTCCTCCCGCCATGCTATTTAAAAAGTAATATGGAAAGTTACATCAAAGTAAATAAATAAGAAAAACAAAAAATAAACTTTACACATAGACAACAAAAGAACAATCACTACAAATTCAAATAAAGCCAATCAAGATAGCAAATGTAAATCCAACAGTAATATGTCATGCATAAAATAAAGACCATTTAAACATATTTCAGTTAAAAGTTAGGCTAAATGATTCAAATAACTACCACTTAGTTAATCTATAATAACCTAGCACACAATGCTCTTCTCCTAATCCAAGCATATATCCTACATGATTTTAAAACAAAGGAAAAAATAATTTACAATTTCAACTATTTTCTCAAATTTCAGAAATTTTAATGAAATTATTAAAAGCACTTTCTAAATGCCAAAAGCAGACACGCAAAATATACTCCGCAAATTAGAAAAATGTCAAAATATGCTTCCCCATAAAATAAGCACATTTTTAGAGGCCCAGCACATTCATTCACTTGAAGAACAAAAGAATTAGTAAAGAATAAACAAAAGAGGATAAGATCCTCCCCATCCATGCAGAATGCATTTCCCACCTCTTTCTCCCTGTGATCCCCACCGTGTGAATTTTGATCCAATCTGAGTCCTAGCTAAGGATACACAACAGAAAAAAAATTCTAATCATCAGAGAACTCACGAAACCAAATCTTTTTCATGTCTAGACAGAACTATATATACATATGCATCTGACCAAAGGGGCATTTATTCCAACTTAAGGAAAATAATTCTTCATATCTACTGCACTCCATTTGTAGAGGTAATTTTACCTGTTCTGTAGAGTATAGGAATGTGATCAGTAGAAAGTTTATGTTCACTCCGTACAGCAATCAACAGAGGGCTACCTCGCCTGTAAATTGCAAGAACAGTTAGAATTAAATCATTTTTATAAATAATGGACTAATGATATAAAATGTAATGGCCAATACTCTTCAAATGTTTAAATTCTCCCCCCAAGCTCAACTTCAGATATAAGAAAGAACTAGATAAAAAGAATTTTTAAAAAAAATTCTGCATTGGGCCAGGTGCAATGGCTCACACCTGTAATCCCAGCACTTCAGGAGGCTTAGGCAGGCAGATCACTTGAGTCCCAAGAGTTCAAGACCACTCTGGGAAACATGGCAAAACCCCATCTCCAAATTAGCCAAGTGTGATGGCACGTGCCTATAGTCTCAGGTACTTAGGAGGCTGAGTAAGGAGGACTGCTTGAGCCTGGGAGGTGGAGGTTGCAGTGAGCCAAGATCACACCACTGCACTCCAGCCTGGGTGACAGAACAAGATCCTATATCCAAGAAAAAAAAAACCAAATTCTGCATCAGGGGTCAGCAAACTGACCTGCAGTCCCAGGGTTATTTATTTTTATAAATAAAGGGTTTTTATTTGTTTGTTTGTTTTTTGAGAACGGCCTTGCTGTCTCCCAGGCTGGAGTGCAGCGGCGCAATCACAGCTCACTGCAGCCTTGACCTCCTGGCCTGAAGTGATTCCCTTGCCTCAGCCTCTGAAGTAGCTGGGACTACAGACATGCACCACCACACCCAGCTAAATTTTTTATTTTTTATAGAGACGGGGTTTTGTCATGTTGCCCAGGCTGGTCTGGAACTCCTGGGGTCAAGCAATCCACCCACCTCAGCCTCCCAAAGTGCTAGAATTACAGGCATGAGTCACCACACCCAGCCTAATACGGGTTTTTTTTTTCTTTTAATTTTTAAAATTATTTCTTTTTTTAATTGACAAATAAAAATTGTACTAAACACAGTTATTTTGGAACATAACCATGCCCATTCTTTTACTTATTTTCTGTAGCCGCTTTCACACTACAACTGCAAAGCTGAGTAGTTGCTACAGAGGCTACATGGTCCAGAAAGCCTAAAATAGTTACTATCTGGTCCACTCCAAAAAAGTTTGCCAACACCTGTTCTGTAACAAGGTATTTTAATTTTTTTCCTTTGTAATGTTAAATGGAACATTCCTTTCAATTGTGCACAGAATGCCAATATATGAACATGTAGCACCTTCTCCTTAGTCACCCTGTTTTCAGATTAAAAATATCTCTCTCTTACCATATCTTAGGGCACCTCACTTAGGACTTCAGGATCAGGCCTAAATATCCTATTAAGAAGCAATGATGGTACAATTATCTAGGAATCTGTCTAGAATACATGTTTCAAAAAATACAGAGAAAGCTAACATTTTAACTTTATTAGATAATATTCAATATCCAAATTCACAAAGTAACCTTGGTGCGCCCAACAAAGACAAAAGGCCAATTAAATGCCAAAATGTACTTTTTCTTTTTTTTTTTTTTATTTTTTCAGACAGTCTCGCTCTGTAGGCCACAGTGGAGTGCAATGGCACAACGTTGGCTCACTGAAACCTCTTGCCTCCTGGGTTCAAGCGATTCTCCTGCCTCAGCCTCCCGAGTAGCTGAGATTACAGGCATGTGCTACCACACCCAGCTAATTTTTGTACTCTTAGTAGAGACAGGGTTTCGCCATGTTGGCCTGGCTGGTCTCAAACTCCTGACCTCAGATGATCCACCTGCCTTGACCTCCCATAATGCTAGGATTACATGTCTGAGCCACAGCGCCCGGCCTGTATTTGCTTTCTTAAGGGATTCTGTTAAATGGAAGAGTGGTAAAACAACAGACAAGAAGCAGCATGTGAAAATATGCTCACATGAATATATCTAATAAAGGGCAGAGCCTTTATAATAAAGGGTCATGTATAGTCTACGAAGAATAAACATGTAACTCAAATATGTTGAAATACATTAGTCATTGTTAGAGGTGTACGTACCTTGTGCCAACTGCTTGCCCAGGAAAATGAACACTTTTAAATACGAGTGCAAAAGCACCTTCCTATGGAGGGAAAAAAATGCATTAGCAATATTGACTATAATCAATTATCAAGTCAGAAATGCCTAGAACATACTGGCTTCAGCACAGAAATTTTTTGTTCACACAAATGCTCTTTTATACCAGTTTATAAACAAGTCTAAAGTTTAAGTAAACACTCCTAAGCTTCGGTGTATCCAAGACCCACTTTTTTTTTTTTTTTTTTTTTTTTGAGATGGAGTCTCACTCTGTCACCAGGCTGGAGTGCAGTGGCACGATTTTGGCTCACCGCAACCCCCGACTCCCTGGTTCAAGCGATTCTCCTGCCTCAGTCTCCCGAGTAGCTGGGATTACAGGCACGCGCCACCATGCCCAGCTAATTTTTGTATTTTCAGTAGAGACAGGGTTTCACCATGTTGGGCCAGGATGGTCTCAATCTCCTGACCTCATTCATGATCCACCCGCCTCGGCCTCCCAAAGTGCTGGGATTACAAGCATGAGCCACCACGCCAAGATCCACTTTTTTAACCAAGCTTATACTCAAAATATGCTCAATAGATAACAACTCCAAAAATAGATCATTTAAAAAGTCATCCTTTGTACAGGTTATGAACCTTCTCAACCGATATATCCTATCTCCATCATCTACTATGTCATCATAATAGTATGGATTATCAGAAGAAAGACAGAATTAGAAAAGATCCCAAGATCAAAATCCAAAACGTATTCTCTACCCTAGTAATTGTACACCACTGTTAACTTCCACTCTTTCTGACCTTGATATTAGAGAGATAAATATATACAATTATTAACATGCACACCACAGAAATCCATCAACCTGAATCCTCAGGGACAGGGCTTACAGGAATCAAGAACAGATAAAAGAGGAACATGAAGTAGGAGAGGGAAGAACCACCCTGGAACACAAACTGGATTATACGATGAATAAAAGGCAAAGCCTATTAGAAACAAGAAAAGGCTGGGAAAGCACACAACTCTACTCTGCCTTGGGTAAAGGGAAGGAACAGGCCTCTACATTCTCCATTTTCCTGCTTCCTCCTTTTGCTACAGATACAAGATTTGGGTGTAGGTGGGAGGGAAGTGAGGGTTGGACCTTAGTTGTGAAGTTAAGGACTTTTAAGTGGGAAAGAGTTATGCGTGGGGAAGGGAGATGTAGGTATCTCTATGGATTTGGACATTTGTAGATCTTTGATGTCTTTAATCTTTAATTAGGAATGTTGGATGGAATCAAAAAGAATACTGCTTTTCTCATGGGCTTGGAAATGCTTTTCTATCTATAGAAAAGCCTTCCTTCAGGGCCAAGGAAAAGTCCCCAGAAAGAAAAATAAGTAGTTGACTCTGTTGGCTCAGAGACAAGCAGGCATTATCCCAGAATATAAACTGTGAAGCTCCCATTGTGCTAAGTTATTGGTTGAGAAGAACACTCAATGAGCAAGAAGCAAGGGAATAACTAATCCTCCATTGTGTGTACTGTGTACATGTCCACGTGTGGTGTGTATGGATGTGTGTATATATGCATAATTGTTAGACACACTTTGATTCTGGATTATTTTTCATTCTCATGACATTAAACCAGAATGAAGCAAGCAGAATTTCAAGTGGAGGGTTGGGGGGGAAATCAATAAATCAATCAATCTCCCAAAATTATTCAACCTGAATAGTTATATGAGAAATAAAAGCCAAAAAAAACAATAGCACAGTTCCTGCTTATCAAACTTAATTTCCAGAAAGTTTCTCATGATTAATGTTGGCATAATTATCTTTTAAAGTGTGGCTTAATACCAGTTGTTGGATAACTCTCTCCACCAAGGTAGTAAAGCTGGTATCTTGACTTTCCTGATTGTCATACATATACTTAACGAGCTTGGCAATTGTCTCTGTATCTGTTTCAGATTCGAAGTCATAGCCTTTGCTTTCCTGTAAATAGAAAGAAAAAAAGATACAATTAAAGAAATATTCATGATATAAAAACCTTTTCTACAGAATTGTCCCCTCAAATATTTCACTAATTTCTAATATTCTTTGAACATCATATCCCATTATACAAAATTAAAGTCACCATCTGATTAGAGTGACTTCAAAACAGTGTTGTACTCTGTGTAACTGAACATAGACTTAACTTACTATCCAATAAATAGCCATTAGCTGTATGTGACTATTTCAATTTAATTAAAATTAAATAAAATTTAAAATTCAGTTCCTCAGTCATACTAGCTCAACAAACACATGTAGACAGTGGTTACTATACTGAATAGCCCAGATACACTATGTCTTCCATCACTGGAGAAAGTTCAATTGAACAGCCCTAAGAAAGCACTCATGCAGGTCAACATTATGACCACAACAATACAGTATATAGCTATTTAGGACACAGAACTTTCATTTAATTTGTACTGATTCTTCTTGTATTAATATGTCCTAGGAACTTTAAAACATGACAGAATCTCTCATAATGCAAAAAATGTCTCCACAAAATTCCAATTTTATTTGAGCTTTTGTCATGTATATTACAGTCAAATACTAATCATTTCCTTTTCATATCAAAAAACAGAATTGTTCCACTGTTAGCAAAGAAAAGTCCAATAAACCACCATGCCCTTGGAATTGCCCAAGGAATTACTTGATGACACCTATATGGTGTTGCACATCCCAACAACCAACCCCACTGCTCTCGTTAGAAGTATTCTCAAAGACTGGTGTCTTTTGAGGTCACCTTACTTACCAAAAACTTTTTCAAGTCTTTGTAGTTGGTGATGATTCCATTGTGAATAACAATAAATTCTAAAAGAGCAAGTGTTGATGACAGAAAAGTTAGAAGTCTGATAAACCTAAAATAGCTATTACTGTAACTGGATGTTTTTCGAGTTAAAAATTTGTAACACGCTATACTATTTACGTTATTTAAAACATAATTACATCTACTTCTCAGTATCAGATTATCATCACGTAGATCAGCAGCATTGTTTATGTGGCATAGCCAAAGCACACAGTGCAGGGGAGGTGGGTACAGTGGGGAAATAAACAGGAGTCTAGAGATAACAATTTCAGTTGTGGCTAAGCTAATAATAAAATGTTACCATGAAAGGAGCAAGTTTATTGGGTCTGTTGCCTCATTTGCAAAATGAGAGAGCTGAACTAAATATTATTCTTATTTCTCTGTTCATTCATTCTTGAGTATAAGTTTAAAGAGAAGGCCTTTCAAACTAAAATAATCTGATTTACACTAAATGAGTTTAAGAACTAGAACTAAGGAATTTGCTAAGAAAAACCAATCAATTCTATAGTTAACTTGTTTGAGATCCAGGTAAGTCATAGAATGTCAGAGAAATAAATGTTAACGTATCATTCCAAGAGAAGATAGATACGATCTTGGGATAATTATCTTCTTTTTTAACTAACTTTGAAAACTGTAAGAACAGATAATCAAGAGTTGACAATATCACTATTTGTAGCCACTGATGGTACATAAAAACTACCAATCTGGCTGAGCGCGGTGCCTCACGCCTGTAATCCAGCACTTTCAGAGGCCAAAGTGGGCAGACCACCTGAGGTCAGGAGTTTGAGACCATCCTATTCAACATGGTGAAACCCTGTCTCTACTAAAAATACAAAAACTTAGCCAGGTGTGGTGGCATGTGCCTGTAAACCCAGCAACTTGGGAGGCTGAGGCAGGAGAATCGCTTGAATCTGGGAGGCAGAGGTTGCAGTGAACCAAGATCGCACCACTGCACTCCAGCCTGGGCAACAGAGAACCAAAAAAAATCCTGCCAATCCTGGATTTATTATTCAGAGTTCATTTCAGTTAGGAGAAAAATTACTGCTAAATTAAATTTTATATTAAATTATCAAAATATATATATATATATATTTTTTTGGAGACACGACGTTGCTCTGTCACCAAGCTGGAGTGCAGTGGCTCAATCACGACTCAATGCAGCCTTGACCTCCTGGGCTCAGGTGATTCTTCCACATCAGCCTTCCAAGCAGCTGGGATTACAGCTGCTTATACCACACTCAACTAATTGTTTTATTTTACTGTAGAGAGTCTCACTACGTTGCCCAGGCTGGTCTCCTGAGCTGAAGCAACCCTCTCGCTTCATCCTTCCAGTGTCTTGAGAATATACGCATGAGCCACTATGCCAGGCCAAAATGTTCTTTTTTCTTTTTTGAGACAAAGTCTTGCTCTGTCGCCCAGACTAGAGTGAAGTGGCAAGATCTCGACTCACTGCAACCTCTACCTCTCGGGTTCAAACAATTCTCCTGGCTCAGACTCTCAAGTAGCTGGGATTACCGGTGCGTGCCACCATGCCCAGCTAATTTTCGTATTTTTAATAGAGATGGGGTTTTGCCATGTTGGCCAGGCTGGTCTCAAACTCCTAACTTCACGTGATCCACCTGCCTTGGCCTCCTAAAGTGCTAGGATTACAGGCATGAGTCACCACACCCGGCCCCTCACAATGTTCTTAATATACGTAAAGATCTGACATTTTGGCTGACAGTAATTAGAAACCAAATAATAAACATTTTCACTAGATTTTTGAGAGAAGATGTAAGCAAGTACTAAAATAAATTTATTAAAAAACTTGCTGGGTGTGGTGGCTCACGCCTGTAATCCCAACATTCTGGGGGGCTGAGACAGACAGATCACCTGAGCTCAGGAGTTCGAGACCAGCCTAGCCAACATGGTGAAACCTTGCCTCTACTAAAAATACAAAAAATTGTTGGACGTGGTGTCGGGCACCTGTACCTAACTACTTGGGAGGCTTGAGACAGAAGAATTGCTTGAAACCGGAAGGCAGAGGTTGCAGTGAGCGGAAAACATACCATTGCACTCCAGCCTGGGCAACAGAGCAAGATTCCGTATCAAAAAAAAAAAACAACTTAATTCTAGAACAAAGAGATTCATAAATAGCTAATTTAAAGGCCTTAACTTAAAGCCAAATTCTCAAAACATAATCTAGATGTAAGTTTTTGGGAATCTTTCATAAAGGCCTTGTCAGTGTCAAAAGTCTAAATTATTGCTACCATTATGATCATATTCAATAGTAATTATTGAAGCACAAGAAGCCTAAATAGGCAGCTTCTGAATTAAATTAAATATCAGAAAGGGCTGGGTGCAGTGTCTCATGCCTGTAATCTCAGCACTTTGGGAGGCTGAGGTGGGAAGATTACTTGAGTCAAGGAATTTGTAACCAGCCTGGGCAACAAAGCAAGACCCCTATCTCTACAAAAATAAATTAGCTGGGTGTGGTGGTGCAAGCCAGTGATCCTAGCTACTCAGGAGGCTGAGACAGGAAGATCACTTGTGCCCAAGAATTTGAGGTTACAGTGAACTATGATCCCACCACTGTACCCAGCCTGGGTGGAGGAGTAAGACCCTGCCTCTAAAATAAAAGGAAAAAAACAGGGAGGGATAAATACACACATATACACTTTTGTATGTATTCTGTACGTATTTCCTTATTTTTAAATGAAAGAACAGACTCAATAATTGGTGAACGTTATCTACACAGGGAACAAGAGGAAACAGAAGAGTCTAGACTTGTTTTGTTGAGCCAGTCTCACTCTGTTGCCCAGGCTGAAGTGCAATGGCGGCAATGGTGCAATCATGGCTCACTGGAGCCTCAACCCCCAGGTTCAGGTGATCCTTCTGCCTCAGTCTCCCGAGTAGCTTGGACTACAGGCGCATGCCACCATCAAGCTAATTTTTGTATTTTCTGTAGACACGGGGTTTCACTATGTTGCTCATGCTGGTCTCAAACTCCCAGGCTCAAGCAATCCCTCCATCTCAGCCTCTCAAAGTGCTGGGTAGACTTCTTTTAATATGTCTTGTTTTAAAGATGTGACTTCAGAATTATGTAAATATTTTAAATAATCATAAATAACATCTATTTTTAAATAATACCAATCCTTAAAATTAAAAAACAGGCTGCTGCGGTGGCTCACGCCTGTAATCCCAGCACTTTAGGAGACTGAGGTGGGCGGATCACAAGGTCAGAAGATTGAGACCATCCTGGCTAACACAGTGAAACCCCGTCTCTACTAAAAATACAAAAAATTACCCGGGCGTGGTGACACACGCCTGTAATCCCAGCACTTTAGGAGGCTGAGGTGGGCAGATCATAAGGTCAGGAGATCGAGACGATCCTGGCTAACACAGTGAAACCCCATCTCTACTAAAAATATAAAAAATTACCCTGGCGTGATGGCACACACCTGTAGTCCCAGCTACTTGGGAGGCTGAGTCAGGAGAATTGCTCGAACTCGGGAGATGGAGGTTGCAGTGAGCCAATATCACACTACTGCGCTCCAGCCTGGGCGACAGAGCAAGACTCAGTCTCAAAAAATAATAATAATTTTAAAAAAATTTTTTTTTAAACATATTAAAGTAATAATATCCAGCCAGTAGCACAACTGCATGGAGAAAGACTATTCCAAGTAACTCTAAAACACAGTAATTTGGTTATACATTTCTAGAGAGATATGCCCTAAGGACAAAACCGATAACAAAAGTTCTCAGCCAGGAGCAGTGGCTCACACCTGTAATCCCAGCACTTTGGGAGGCCAAGACAGGAGGATCACTTGAGATCAGGAGTTCAAGACCAGCCTGGCCAACACAGTGAAACTCCGTCTCTACTAAATATACAAAAATTAGCCAGGCATAGTGGACAGAAAGGGTCTCATTCTGTTGTCCAGGTTGGAGGGCAATAGCGTGATGTACGACCACGGCTCACTGCAGCCTCTACCTCCTGGGCTTAAACAATCCTCCCACCTCAGTCTCCCAAGTAGCTGGGACTACAGGCATGCACCACCATGCCTAACTTATTTTTTTATTTTTTGTAGAGATGGGGTTTCACTATGTTGCGAGGGCTGATTGTGAACTCCTGGACTCAAGCAATCCTCCCAACTCAGGCTCCCAAAGTGCTGGGATTACAGGCATGAGCCAGTACTCTCAGCTCTGTATACTCTCTACGACTTCTGAATGTTTGAAATTTTCCAAATGAAAAATAATTAAAATAATGAAAATCTAAGAGCCTTCTTTCTGCCCCCATTATTAGGCTTCCACAATCATTCCAAAGCACGAAAAATATTTCCATACCATTATTTTTATCAGAGCGCTGGGGATGGCTATTGACAGGATTGGGTTCTCCATGTGTTGCCCAACGGGTATGAGCTATTCCAAAGTGTACATCAAATTCTATATCCAAATCCATATCTTGTTGCTCTGAAGAATATGAAAAGAAAAATTTCAGTATTAAATCATGCTGCAGAGATAATGCTATAAGCTATATTTAAATATAATTATTACAATGCTGCTCTCTTGGAATATACAATCACTGAAACTAAAGATCAGGTATATTCAAAATAGTGATTAAAAGACTTAGGAGGCGAGTGCAGTGGCTCACACCTGTAATCCCAGCACTGTGGGAGGCCAAGGCAGGCAGATCACCTAAGGTCAGGAGTTCAAGACCAGCCTGACCAACATGGCAAAACCCCATCTCTACTAAAAACACAAAAATTGGCCAGGCATGGAGGCACACGCCTGTAGTCCTGGCTACTCCGGAGGCAGAGGCAGGATAATCACTTGAACTCAGGAGGCGGAAGCTGCAGTGAGCTGAGATCACACCACTGCACTCCAGCCTGGGTGACAGAGCGAGACTCCACCTCAAAAAAAAAAAGGACTTAGGAACACATTGTAGGTCTGTATCAAGACATTTCATGTACCCAGTAAATATATACACCTACTATATACCCACAAAAATTAAAATTGAAGATAAATAAAGACGTAGGAGTTTATGCAACTGAAATACTGAAGGCAAATGGTTTCAATAACAACCAAAAAACTAATATAGAATTAAAGCAAACACAACAAAAGTTTAGTAACGGATAAAGTTAGGTGAAGTATATACAGGTAATAATGTACTATTCTTTCAAGCTTCCTGGAGATACAAATACTCAAGAGTTAAGGACAAAACCAATTAATGTAACTTTTTAAATCTATATTTAATTCTTGCCTTAAAAAATCATTATCAATTTAATTAAACATGTATGTAAAAATAAATTCATTTTCCCAATGACACACAACCTTATGACTGCAATTTCTTTGGTCTCTGGTGAGAGTACACACATCTCACAATATAAACTGCAATTATGGAGTGCCTCCAAAATCAAATAGGTATTTGAGAACAGAGCAATGCTATGAAAGTATGGGGCTACTGGGAAATCAGCATAAGGCCAATGTTCCTTTATCTCGAAAAGTAGCTGATTCAGCCGGGTGCAGTGGCTCACACCTGTAATCCCATTTCGAGAGGCTGAGGTGGGCGGGACACAAGGTCAGGAGTTCGAGACCAGCCTGACCAACATGATGAAACCCCGTCTCTACTAAACTACAAAAATTAGCCAGGTATGGTGGTGCATGCCTGTAATCCCAGCTACTCAGGAGGCTGAGGCAGGAGAATTGCTTGAACCCAGGAGGTGGAGGTTACAGTGAGCCGAGATCACACCACTGCACTCCAGCCTGGGTGACAGAGCAAGACTTCCTCTCAAAAAACAAACAAACAAAAAAAGTAACTGGTTCTTAATTTATTTTTCATATAAGCTATCTTTTCTTGGGGCTTCTTAAAAAAAAAAAAGGACGGCCGGGCACGGTGGCTCAAGCCTGTAATCCCAGCACTTTGGGAGGCCGAGACAGGCGGATCACGAGGTCAGGAGATCGAGACCATCCTGGCTAACATGGTGAAACCCCGTCTCTACTAAAAAATACAAAACAACTAGCCGGGCGAGGTGGCGGGTGCCTGTAGTCCCAGCTACTCGGGAGGCTGAGGCAGGAGAATGGCGTAAACCCGGGAGGCGGAGCTTGCAGTGAGCTGAGATCCGGCCACTGCACTCCAGCCTGGGCAACAGAGCAAGACTCCGTCTCAAAAAAAAAAAAAAAAAAAGGACAGCTCCAGTTATTAACTAGTAATGCTCTTAATTTCCTAAATATAAAATTCATTTGGCTAAGAACCCAGATAAAGTTTATCAGAATTAGGTCTAAATTAAGAGCAAACTCGCTGGGCACCATGGCTCATGCCTGTAATCCCAGCACTTTGGGAGGCCGAGGCAGGTGGATCACCTGAAGTCAGGAGTTCAAGACCAGCCTGGCCAACATGGTGAAACCGTCTCTACTAAAAAAATTAGCTGGGTGTGGTAGCGCACGCCTGTAATCCCAACTACTCAGGAGGCAGGATAATCAACTGAACCCAGGAAGGGTAAGTTGCAGTGAGCCAAGATTGTGCCACTGCCCTCCAGCTTGGGCGAAAGAGCAAGACTCCGTCTCAAAAATAAATAAATAAATAAATAAATAAATAAATAAATAATAAATAAGTAAAACCACAATGATATATTCTGTTGTACTATTACATTTATGATGTTGTCAACCCAGCTTCCACTAGAATTCGAGTTCTACAAAAACAGCAGCCTACCTTATTATTTTTGAATCCTAAGCACTAAAAGGTATACATGGCAGATACATTTTTGTTGGATGGTTCAATCAATCAAAGAATAAAATCACGCATCTATTCTTTCCTGGCTTAACTGTGCTCTGAATAATTAAGGCAACCTGATAAATGACCTCAAGAAAAGTACAGGATTACTACTTACCATTATTCAACAGGCTAATGCAAGAAATGAAAACATTTATTTGACTACTTTATATATATATATATATATTTTTTTTTTTTTTTTGAAACAGAGTTTCGCTCTTGTTGCCCAAGCTGGAGTGAGTGCAATGGCACAATCTTGCTCACTGCAACCTCCGCCTCCCGGGTTTAAGCGATTCTCCTGCCTCAGTCTCCTGAGTAGCTGGGATTACAGGCGCGCACCACCACGCCTGGCTAATTTTTCTTATTTTTAGTACAGACAGGGTTTCACCATGTTGGCCAGGCTGGTCTTGAACTCCTGACCTCAGGTGATCCGCCCACCTTGGCCTCCCAAAGTGCTGGGATTACAGATGTGATCCACTGCGCCAGGCCTGTTTGACTACTTTTTAAAGCTAACTATAATTAAAGCAGTATCTCCCTGCACATGCTGGCAAGCAATACTGGAGAAAGTCACAAGATTCTGTATATTGAATCCATTTCAAATTCATGGTAATTACCACACCTTTATTTCACTGTTGCCGTAGGGACACTACTGAATGTCTAGTAAGAAAAAACTTACTGCTAGGCCGGGTGCGGTGGCTCAAGCCTGTAATCCCAGCACTTTGGGAGGCCGAGACGGGCGGATCACAAGGTCAGGAGATCGAGACCATCCTGGCTAACATGGTGAAACCCCGTCTCTACTAAAAATACAAAAAAACTAGCCGGGCGAGGTGGCGGGCGCCTGTAGTCCCAGCTACTCGGGAGGCTGAGGCAGGAGAATGGCGTAAACCCGGGAGGCGGAGCTTGCAGTGAGCTGAGATCCGGCCACTGCACTCCAGCCTGGGCGACAGAGTGAGACTCCGTCTCAAAAAAAAAAAAAAAAAAAAAAAAGAAAAAACTTATTGCTATGACAATAAGCACATTTCCCACAATAAATATTTCATGTCATATAAATTAATCATGACTTTGAATCCTTGACTCCTCCTTATTGTCTGTTACCCGTTTTAAAGCCCTTTGCTGAATCTTAAGTCTAGATAACCCCCACACTCAGTTTCTCTTCTCCCATCCACTGCAAAGCAATACTGAATAAAGTCAGAAAATTCTGTAAATTAAGACCCTTTCAAATTCATGATAATCAGCATATCTATTTCACTGTTGCTACTTAGGAAACATGTATCCAAGTTCCTTATTCATTAAACTGATAGCTCAATCCAGTTCCCCGACAGCTCATCATATCTTTTCTATTCTCTGTAAAGCTCAATCCTACCTGCAGTCCCTCAATTTCCACTTTACTCAGCTTTTGTCCTCTCACCTGGTAATTATCTGCTTTAAGTTTGTCTTTTACCTTTGATTCCTAAAGTACACTCTTTCTTTTTTTTTTTTTTTTGAGATGGAGTCTTGCTGTGTCGCCCAGGCTGGAGTGCAGTGGCCGGATCTCAGCTCATTGCAAGCTCCGCCTCCCGGGTTTTTACGCCATTCTCCTGCCTCAGCCTCCCGAGTAGCTGGGACTACAGGCGCCCACCACCTCGCCCGGCTAGTTTTTTGTATTTTTTAGTAGAGACGGGGTTTCACCGTGTTAGCCAGGATGGTCTCGAACTCCTGACGTCGTGATCCGCCCGTCTCGGCCTCCCAAAGTGCTGGGATTACAGGCTTGAGCCACCGCGCCCGGCCCACTCTTTCTTTTAAAGGCCAACTGCTTGCCTATGCCTTGATCTTCTTGGGCCATACTGCTTCAATAATTTCCGCATTTGTATCTTCCATCTTAACCTACCTCTACTCCCACGGCTCCTCGCCCTCTGCCTGCTTTTTCTCAGATGTCATCTTCCCTTTTTAAAAAAAATACTTAAAACATATTTAAATTTGCTGGGAATAATGAACACCCAACTACCCATACTCAGAGTTAACGAAACATCTACTCATTTGTGCTTTACATATTTTTTAGGATCTAAAATGTAAAAAATCAATGTGGTATATGAAAACTCTAAATAAATAAATGTAAAAAAAAAATGCAATTGATACCTCCTTTATATCCCCATTCCATTCATTTCCTCCTCAGAGGATTCTCAAGTCGACAGTCTTACTATTCATGCCTTTTAAACTATGATTATGTTAACATGAGACCATAAATGATAGTTATCATTTTGTGTTTTTAAATGTGCTATACTTTACATACCAGGAATTATCCATGTTCCCATATGCAGAACCAGATTCAGTGCACTTCTTTCAAAAGCTACATATGGTCATTCACTATCATATACAACTTATTTTTTGTTGTTTTTGTTGTTGTTCTTTTGTGGAGATGGAGTCTCACTCTGTTGCCCAGGCTGGAGTGCAGTGGCGTGATCTCAGCTCAATGCAAGATCTGCCTCCTGGATTCAAGTGATTCTACTGCCTCAGCCTCCCCGACTAGCTGGAATTACGGGCACACGCTGCCACACCCGGCTAATTTTTGTATTTTAGTAGAGATGGGGTTTCACCATGTTGCCCAGGCTGGTCTCAAACTCCAGAGCTCAGGCAATCTGCCCACCTCGGCCTCCCAAAGAGCTAGGATTACAGGCGTGAGCCACCACACCCGGCATACACAACTTATTATATCATCCCATTCCCTTATTTATAGACATTTAGGCTGTTTCTAATTTGTGACAATGAATCTTGTTGTCATGTCACCTTGTTCATTGTGTTTCCTTCAAGTATATATCCAAGAGTGGAAGTGCTTAGTCTCAGGGTATAGGCATTTCCCATGTAGATATTGCCAGATTGCTCTTCAAAGTGATTTACCAGTCACAAATTCACCAGTAATAGCTGCAAGTTTCCATTTGTAGCTAATAAATTCAATCAATACTTATTTTGCATGTATTGTAGGGTAAGATTAGCTAGGGGTTGGCCAGGCACAGTGGCTCAAGCCTATAATTCTAGCACTTTGGGAGGCCAAAGAGGGTGGATCACCTGAGGTCAGGAGTTCATGACCAGCCTGGCCAACATGGCAAAACCCCGTCTCTACTAAAAATACAAAAATTAGCCAGATGTGGTGGCATACACCTGTAATCCCAGCTACCTGGGAGGCTGAGGCAGGAGAATTGCTTGAACGAGGAAGCAGAGGTTGCAGTGAGCCGAGATTGTGTCACTACACTCCAGCCTGGGCAAGAGACCAAGAGTCCATCTTTTTAAAAAAAAAAAAAATTAGCTAGGAGTAAAGCAGACACCCAAATAATTACGCTTCAAAAACAAAACCAGTTGGCCAGGCACAGTGGCTAATGCCTGTAATCCCAGTACTTTGGGAGGCCAACGTGGGTGGATCACTTGCAGTCAGGAGTTCAAAACTAGCCTGGCCAATATAGTGAAACCCCGTCTCTACCAAAAATATAAAAATTAGCCGGGCATGGTGGCACAGGTCTATAATCCCAGCTACTCGGGAGGCTGAAACAGGAGAATCGCTTGAACTTGGGAGGCAGAGGTTGCAGTGAGCCAAGACTGTGCCATTGCACTCCAGCCTGGGCATTGCAGCAAGACTCCATCTGGGGGAAAAAAAAAAAAAAAAACAGTTTACTGGGAAGAGGCATGTTTCAATATGTTGACATTGAATAATGGTGATTCTGTTCACAATCTGCCTTTATAACGTCCCGTATTTGTCTACCAATACTGTAAATAAAAAGGATTACTATCAGGCTGGGCGCAGTGGCTCACGCCTGTAATCCCAGCACTTTGGGAGGCCGAGGCGGGTGGATCACCTGAGGTCGGGAGTTCGAGACCAGCCTGACCAACATGGAGAAACCTCGTCTCTACTAAAAATATAAAATTAGCTGGGCCTGGTGGCACATGCCTATAATCCCAGCTACTAGGGAGGCTGAGGCAGGAGAACTGCTTGAACCTGGGAGGCGGAGGTTGCGGTGAGCCAAGATCGTGCCATTGCACTCCAGCCTGGGCAACAAGAGTGAAACTCCGCCTCAAAAAAAAAAATAAAAAATAAAAATAAAATAAAAAGGACTACTATCATTCAAACCTGCCATTACTATTCTTATCTTTCTATGCTATTCTACTCAGAAGGTCCTCCCTTCACATCTTCACTGACCAAATATAATCAGCATCCATTCCCTATGTAATCCCAGTCTCGTCAACTTGTGGCAACTCTCCCCTGAATCTCACAGCAATGTCTGTTCTCTCCTACAGAACCCACTATATCAGCCTGGTATACAGGATGCAGAACACACAGTAGATATTTATACTATTGTTTTTGAAGTGTAGTTATTTGGGTGTCTGCTTTACCCCTAGCTAATCTTACACTACAATACAGGCAAAATAAGTATTGATTTAATCTGTTAAACAAGTACTACAAAGCTAAATGTATGGCTTATATGTGGGGAAAAAAAAAAGACAAAATCCATCATTATCCTCTACCTGTACTCTTCCACAATGATTATGATGGCATTCATACGAGTAGGTACATAAAATACTTGCTGTTTCCTGGGTTTTATGGAGAATTTTAAAAGTATTTTTTCAATCAATCTACTTCAAAGTTTGTTTTGTTTTCAAGTTTCTTGTGAAAAAATAAAATGTGTAAGCATAATGTTATGACCTAAATACTGAGAAGTAAATCCTCTTTGATGGGGCAAACATCTCTGACAACTCCTTGTGCCAGAGACGAAAACTATGAGGGAAAACATGATACTTACCAGATTCTATCAGACCTACTCAAAGATGCAACGTCAAAATTGACTACATCCAAGCTAGGCATTTAATTCAAAGTGAAGACATGTGTATAAGGGCATCACTAGAAATACCTTTTGTCCTATGGAAAGCTCTTCCTCAGGAATGGTGGCTCTGAAGATACTTCATTTATTATTCAGAGCTTGCACTGAAGGTATACACCTAACTAATTTCCTTCCCTAGTTGCAATGATTATTTTTCAGGCTCAGGTACATTTTAAAACTAGTCCAGACAGTAACAAAACTACTTTTCTTTCCTCCCTTCAATGTTACAGACCATTATCATTAAAATGGGTCCCAAAATATGGGGGGAGGGAGCAACTTGGTGGAGAATGGGGAGGGGAAAAGGAAGAGAAGGGGAAGGGGGACAAAAATCAACTTAAGTACGTTACTGTGAACTTCTTCATCCAGTGCCTTAACTTTTCCTTTCTTCTTAATAAGCTGGATTTTGCAGGCATTGGCTTCCCAATCTTTGTCATTGCCTCCATCAAATCCCACACCTAAACCATCATGAGGTAAAAAAGCAAGATTTAGAAACTGGCTACTGATAAAATTATTAATGAGGCAAAATTTTTAATTAAAAAATATATTCTCATCTAATTAATTCACTTATTTATCAATTCAACATCTACTGAAAACTTGTTGTGTATCAAGAACCAGGATAGCCGCTAGACACAAGAACAAAAATAACTCCATTCCTGTCCTCAAATTTCTAAGTCTATCAAGAAGACAGACAAGGAAAAAATAATTCAGCATAATTATGAATTATAATAAAAATACTATAGGTTACAGTTGGGATACAATGCAGAAATGCAAAATATGGGCACCCACCTCAGAAGGTAGCTAAGGAAGAAACGTCATAGAACACATCTCTTAAGAGTCTCCTTAAGTTGCTAACAAATTTGAAAAAGCTACCCTGAAGATACTGGGAAAACACTGTCCTTTAAGCAGACAAGTGATTCGGCAAAAATGTTTAGCAAAGCCCTTCTAGAAACAGTGTAGAGAAAGAACTGGAGGGAGAGAAACAGAAGGAAGAAACCAGCTGTCAAAAGCTACAGCTACAGCAAAGCAAAAATGAAGAAGACCTGAACTAAACAGTAGTAATGCAGACAGAGATAAATGATATTGGGAAGTGGAACTGACTGAATGTAAGTGAGAAAGCGGAAGTCTGGAATACCTCAAAGGACTTGTAGAATGGCTCCAAGGACTTGTTGAATGATTCTCAATAAAAGGGACATAGAAAAACAGTGGGCATGCCTGTAATCCCAGCTACTTGGGGGGCTGAGGCAGGAGAATGGCTTGAACCCGAGAGGTGGAGATCGCAGCGAGCTGAGATCGCACCACTGCACCCCAGCCTGGGCAACAGAGTGAGATTCATCTCAAAAACAAATAAAAAACAGAGTGGGAAGTAGAGTGAGGACTGCAGTGTATTCAGCTTATTTTTCTTTTTTCTTTTTTTTTGAGACAGAGTCTTGCTCTGTCACCCAGGATGGAGGGCAGTGGCGCAATCTCGGCTCCCTGCAACCTCCGCCTCCCAGGTTCAAGCAATTCTCCTACCTCAGCCTCCCAGGTAGCCGGGATTACAGGTACATGCCACAATGCGTGGCTAATTTTTGTTTGTTTGTTTGTTTGTTTAGTAGAGACGGGGTTTCACCATGTTGGTTAGGCTGGTCTTGAACTCTTTACCTCAAGTGGTCCATCCACCTCAGCCTCCCAAAGTGTTGGGATAACAGGCATGAGTCACCACACCCGGCCTCAGTTCAATTTTTGAACATGCAAAGTTTAAAATATCATGGTCTATCTAGGAAAAAACTTCCAGGAGGCCTAGAATACAGCTTGGGAGATACATCTAGATTAGAAGAAACATATCTGGATTAGAAGTCACCAACATACTCACACACAAAAAAAAATTAAAATAAAAAATAAAAAGAAGAAAACAAAGAAGGTACCAACATATATTAATAGAAGGTTGATGGGCTGGGCATAGTGGCTTACGCCTGTAATCCCAGCACTTTGGGAGGCCGAGGTCAGGGGATCACGAGGTCAGGAGATTGAGACCATCCTGGCCAACATGGTGAAACCATCTCTACTAAAAATACAACAATTAGCTGGGAGTGGTGGCAGGTGCCTGTAATCCCAGCTACTCAGGAGGCTGAGGCAGGAGAATTGCTTGAACTCGGGAGGTGGAGGCTGCAGTGAGCCAAGATCATGCCACTGCACTCCAGCCTTGTGACAGAGTAAGACTTCGTTTCAAAAAAAAAAAAAGAAGACTGATAAAGTCAGAGCTCACCCATGAAGACACCAAATAAGAGAAGTGGGCCTAGAAAAGAATCTTGGCTGGGTGCAGGGGCTCACGCCTATAATCCCAGCACTTTGGGAGGTCAAGGAGGGTGGATCTCCTAAGGTCAGGAGTTCAAGACCAGCCTAGGCAACATGGTGAAACCCCATCTCTACTAAAATTACAAAAATTAGCCAGGGGTGGTGGCGCGCACCTGTAATCCTAGCTACTAGAGAGGCTGAGGCAGGATAATCACTTGAATCTGGGAGGCAAAGGTTGCAACAGTGAGCCAGTATCGCACCATTGCACTCCAGCCTGGGTGACAGAGCAAGACTCATCTCGAAAAGAATCTTGAAGAACATTAATATTCGAGCTGTAAGTAGAAGAAAGGAGCCTCCAAAGCAAACAGAAAAGAAGTAATCTTAGCATCTTAGGAAGAGAATAAGGTGTGTTGTCAAAGAAGTCAAGGAAGGAGAGAATTTTAAAAACAAAGGAGTTGAGGAACTGACTTTCCATTACTAAGGAAAGTCAAGGAAGACAAATGCCCATTCCATGTGCCAATGTTAAGTGTACAAAAAAGAGTTAACAGAGCAGGTGTGAAACTGCTATCCTTAAAAAGGCCTGTTTTCAACATTGGCCCTTCACTGGTATCTAGAAACTTGGTTTTTGGAAGGATTCCTACCACCCTAACCAAAAGTATCTCACTAAACAAACTGTGCAAACAATGTGGTTTCTGCTGAACATCTGCTCTTCTTTTGGGAGTCTAGAATTTTGGTACATGCTAGGCAGAGGGTGCCTATGTGACCAGCTCCCAACGAAAACCTGAGGCACTGATCCACTGGTGAGCAACTTGTGCCCAGCTTTCTCAAGACTTCACTTCATGCACCTTCTCCCTTAGCTGATTGTGCTTTGTATTCTTTTGCTATAATGAAACATAGCCATGATTACAACCAAATGCTGAGTCCTGTGAGTCCTCCTAGGGAATCATCAGATTTGCGGATGGTCTTAGGAACCTCTGACACAATTGAGGGAAGGAGCTAGGGTAGAATATAAAGTTACCAGAAAGTTATGTTTATGTGTCACTTATTTAAGATAGAAGAGGCTGGAATCAGTGGTTTGCCTGTAATTCCAGCACTTTGAAAGGCCAAGGCAGAAGGATCACTTGAGGCCAAGAGCTTGAGACCAGCCCAGGTAACATAGTGAGACTCTCATCTCTATAAAAGCTTCTTAAAAATTAGCTGGGCATGGTGGCGCACAGCTATAGTCCTAGCTACTTAGGAGGCTGGGGAGGGAGGATTGCCTGAGCCCAGAGTTCGAGACTGCAGTGAGCTATGACCGTACCACTACATTCCAGCTTGGGTGCCAGAGTGAGACCCTACCTCAAAAATAAATAAGAAAAGTAAGAAAAAAGAATCTGAGGCAAGTTTATATGCCAAAACATGAAAACAATGGAGAAAAATTAAAGTTACAAGAAAGAAAAAAGAATTTACAGAGTAAGACCTTCATGAACTTTGTTTTACCACAATAATGCCCCATATGATGCTTTTACAATAATATTCTTAATAGAAGATCATCATAAGCAATACTCCACATAAATGGTAACACTGTAGAGACTACATAAATAAATCCTTTAAATATGATTAAAAGACAAAAATTCTTCCAATTTACATTTACTCAAAACAAAACAGATTTTAATAGTCTAGTCTCCTAATAATAATAATGAAAATAATCTCTATTTAAATAATCATGCAAAATCCATAGTATTTTTTTAAAAGTACCAGCAGAATCATATCCTCTGTACTCCAGTCTCTGAAGGCCTTTGATTAGGGTCTCCAAGATTTCTCGTCTCGTTCGAGGAACATGGTAGTTTAAGTAAGCAAATATACCTGCAAATAAACAAATATTTAATGAAAAATTCTGATTTAAAAATCAAAATTAGCATAATTATGTCAAGTATATGAAAAAATGTGACGTCAGATTCTGTCTTTCAAACAACATTTCAAACCGTTTAAAGTCAATGTAACGGCCGGGCGCGGTGGCTCAAGCCTGTAATCCCAGCACTTTGGGAGGCCAAGACGGGCGGATCACGAGGTCAGGAGATCGAGACCATCCTGGCTAATACGGTGAAACCCCGTCTCTACTAAAAAATACAAAAAACTAGCCGGGCGAGGTGGCAGGCGCCTGTAGTCCCAGCTACTCGGGAGGCTGAGGCAGGAGAATGGCATAAACCCGGGAGTCAGAGCTTGCAGTGAGCTGAGATCCGGCCACTGCACTCCAGCCTGGGTGACAGAGCGAGACTCCGTCTCAAAAAAAAATAAAAATAAAAATAAAGGCAATGGAACTTTTTCAAGGGAGAATTTCTCATAAGTATAAAAAGCTAAAGTAAACATGTCAAAATACACGTTTACAATTTTTTCAAAGAAGCTTATAAAGCTGGCTCCTTATTTTCCAAGACTGCCATTTTTGTCGAGTGAAATTTAATTTTTTTAAAAACCAATTAACAAATTTATAGTTTATGTCCTATATACAGAGCATTTCGTTTCAAGAAAAAAATTTCTGAAGTAATTTAAGCAACATACAGGCCCTAAAATCTATACCAATGAGATTAATTTTGCTTACTTCCAATAACCATGCTATCAGTGACATTTAAGAATAAATGATGGGGCCGGGCGCAGTTGCTCAAGCCGGTAATCCCAGCACTTTGGGAGGCCAAGGCGGGCAGATCATGAGGTCAGGAGATCGAGACCACCCTGGCTAACATGGTGAAACCCCGTCTCTACTAAAAAAATACAAAGAAATTAGCCGGGCATGGTGGCGGGCGCCTGTAGTCCCAGCTACTCAGGAGGCGGAGGCAGGAGAATGGCGTGAACCTGGGAGGCGGAGCTTGCAGTGAGCCGAGATCGCGTCACTGCACTCCAGCCTGGGCAACAGAGCGAGACTCCGTCTCAAAAAAAAAAAAAAAAAAAAGAATAAATGATGTGAAAAATACTCACCCCTTAAATAATTACGTAAAATAGTAAAAACTGACCAAATATATAACTATCTTAAAAGAAAACTGCTTGAATTACTTGTTTATCATATTAGCAAATGACAACCAGGTAACAACTCTAGAAAATTCACAGAAAAAGAGCAATCATGTGGAAAAACAAAACTAGAAATAAAAGGAGTAATACAATGTGAACTGAACCAGCCAAGCAAAGAAGTAACAGAACACAGGTAAGGGAAATCCACATTTTAGGAATGGCAGCATGGGCATTATCTGAGGTTTTCCATGGCTATGCTTTGGCCAGAGCGGACACAGCTTTAATGTATCAAAACTGAAGACTAAAATATTTTAAAATACAAGTTCAAGCTGCTTATTTTAAAACTTCCCTTTTTCTTAACTACATTTCACTGTAATTCTGATTCATAAGATGTTTAAATTAATTCTGTGAGACAGAACTCCCAAATAACTAGTCTTCATTTCCATCTGAAAAGAGATATTTACTTCTATAGTGTGATTCTATTGAAACATTTCAGCATACAAAAATAGCGCATTGTTGATACCCAACAGGAAAGCCATAACATATATGCTGATCACCATGATCAATACAGTGCAATTTTCTCAAATAAACTATTATGCCCTAAAAAAGAGAAACTCACACATTAAAATCCAAAATAACCTGAAACAACGGTTTCAACTCTTCCCAAAGAAGTAGTTCCAGGCCAAACACTTACAGAAATCCTGTATTTCATTCAGATTTAAAAAAAAAAATACACACACATCTTACAATTATATTTTTTAAGCTTTCCTGTAATGTACAGTCATCTTACTTTCACAGCACGACCACCCTGTAGGGGAGGGTAGAACATCTATCTTACCTAATTCAAAAGTAGAAAATGAGTTAACTGATATCCCAGAGATACCCACAAATAGCATTCCCAACCTCAAAGCACAGCAATTAAGATAAGGATAAACAACATGCTGCTTAAGGGTATTTCTAAAGTAAGAGTGGTAGCCGCACAGCCATGTGTAGCTTCAAACTTTCAATGGCTACTCATGATATAAACACAAGAGGACAGTAGAAGAGTCTCAAGACCAACTCCACCCATTTAATTCAGAAGAATGAGTCTCTGGTTTTTGTTGTTACTTCTGTTCCTTCATAAGGTATCTGTAATATGAATAAGCCAATAACCCATTTGTAAATCAAACTTTGCACTCTTCACCCATGGGTCACTGATATTTGAGAAAGATTAAACACCTACAGATAACTATCAGTTAAGTATTTTAACCAGGCAATTAAAAGACAATACACAGAACACAAATCTTTCCTAAAACAATACTTTAATACAAATGTGGGCTGGGTGCAGTGGCTCACACCTGTAATCCCAACTTTGGGAAGCTAAGGCAGGCGCATCACCTGAGGCCAGGAAATCAAGACCAGCCTGGCCAACATGGCGAAACCCATCATTACTACTAAAAATACAAAAATTGGCTGGGCATGGTGGCATGCGCCTGTACTCCCAGCTACTTGGGAAGCTGAGACCGGGAGAATCGCTTGAATCCAGGAGGCAGAGTTGTAGTGAGCCGAGATTGCGCCACTGCACTCCAGCCTGGGAGACAGAGTGAGACTCGTCTCAAAAAAAAGTGTGAAAAAAACTGAATCTGAACTAGTCCCCATCACTGTGACTGCATCAGCTAGAGTCCTTTAAAGAAGGATACAATCTAGCTGATTTGAAAACACAAGCCTGTCAAGGATTGTTTGCAGTCTGTCCAGAGCTGACAAATTCTAATAATGCAGTACATCCAGAAAAACTCACTCCTAAACTCTTTTTTAAGAAATCTAAGTCTGATAGTTAAAGTAAAAATGTAAGCCGGATGGTAAAAACGAAAGTGTGATGGTAAACGATTTAAAGATTAAATATGTATATTAATTTGTTAAAACCATTTAAATGCTAATGATATAAAACTGTTTTTAAGACAACTTATAGACTCTACCTTTTTTAAAAGATTAATGCAGCAGGGCTGGGTGGCTCATGCCTGTAATCCCAACACCTTGGGAGGCCAAGGCAGGTGGATCACACGAGGTCAAGAATTCAAGACCAGCCTGTGCAACATGCTCAAACTCCATCTCTACAAAAATACCGAAATTAGCTGGGCATGATGGCAGGTGCCTGTAATCCCAGCTACTGAGGAGGCTGAGGCAGGAGAATTGCTTGAACTTGGAAGGCAGAGGTTGCGGTGAGCTGAGATTGTGCCACTGCACTCTAGCCTGGGCAACAGAGCAAGACTCTGTCTCAAAAAAAAAACTTAATGCAATATTAAATTCACTGTTTTTAATAATGTAACTCAACAACAGCATTCAACTTTGATAATACTTCTTTTTTTTTTTTTTTTTTTTTTTTTTTTGAGACGGAGTCTCGCTCTGTCGCCCAGGCTGGAGTGCAGTGGCCGGATCTCAGCTCACTGCAAGCTCCGCCTCCCGGGTTTACGCCATTCACCTGCCTCAGCCTCCCGAGTAGCTGGGACTACAGGCGCCCACCACCTCGCCCGGCTAGTTTTTTGTATTTTTAGTAGAGACGGGGTTTCACCATATTAGCCAGGATGGTCTCGATCTCCTGACCTCGTGATCCGCCCGTCTCGGCCTCCCAAAGTGCTGGGATTACAGGCTTGAGCCACCACGCCCGGCAACTTTGATAATACTTCTAACTTCAATCTCCTTGGTTTATAATGGCTCACTATATGAATCTTGAGAGCCGAAGAACATTTTGGCTGAGTGCTGTGGCTCACAACTGTAATCCCAACACTTTGGGAGGCCGAGGCAGGTGGATCACGAGGTCAGGAGTTCAAGACCAACCTGACCAACATGCTGAAACCCTGTCTCTACTAAAAATAAAAAAAAATTGTTTTAAAAAGCCGGCTGTGGTGGCACATGCCTGTAGTCTCAGCTACTCGGTAGGCTGAGGCAGGAGAACAGCTTGAACCTGGGAGGCAGAGGTTGCAGTGCACCTAGACTGTGCCATTGCACTCCAGCCTGGGCAAAAGAGCAAGACTCCATCTCAAAAAAAAAAAAAAATAGAGCTACAAGAAGGAAGGGGATTAGCCTCAGACATACCTGATGAGGAAAATGGGAGCTAAGAAGTTAAACCTGTCAGTTTCATAGCCCTGTCCCTTGACAGCACTGCTAGCCCAAGGCATTCCACCTGTGGGGCTACTGGGTTAACTATAATCTTGGGGTGCCGAAGACAATATTGGCAGCAATTCATCAGGCACGCAGGGCATGTTCACAAGGGAGGCATTCACAACTCACAATGATGCTTGTTAGAGCAGAAATCGTTAGTTTGACCTCTATTTTCAGGTCTTTGACTTGTCTTATCAAAACTCCCAATAAACAGCTCTTTTTTTTTTTTTTTTCTGAAACAGAGTCTCGCTTTGTCGCCAAGGCTGGCGCCATCTCGGCTCACTGCAACCTCTGCCTCCCAGGTTCTAGCAATTCTCCTGCCTCAGCCTCCCAAGTAGCTGGGATTACAGATGCTGCCACCATGCCCGGCTAATTTTTGTATTTTTAGTAGAGATGGGGTTTTGCCATGTTGGCTAGGCTGGTCTCGAACTCCTGACCTCAGGGGATCCACCCGCCTCAGCCTCCCAAAGTGCTAGGATTACAGGCGTGAGCCACTGCACCCAGCCTAACATCCCAATAAACAGTTCTTAAGTAAGGTAATGGCAAAAGCCTAAAATCAACTTTCCACCACTCTTCGGTAATTGCTCTAAGAGCACACACAGTAGCTGTATAAGCATAGATGTATACAGCATAGTAGCTGTATAAGCACCCCCAAATCAGCATGTACTTCACAAGTGTAAGCTTTCTTACTAATGGAATATACTTGGAATAAAATAACTCCCTAACTGAAGGAGATGCTTGAACTTACAGGCATCATTCTCAGAAAATGGCAACTTAAATTCAATGACAAAAAAGCATTTATGAGTACCTTGCTAACAAAATTTCAGAAGCAATCTGGATCACAGACTAGACACACCTGGTTGAAAGCAATGTAGCTGCAAATAAAGACTGTTAAACCTTATTGAAAAGAAAACTAAACACAACTGACTAGTCAAATTATTAAAATTCCTATGCCTGGTTGCATTTATGTCCTTATGAATAGGAAATATTATTTTTATATATTTTATCATTTGACAGCTTCAATATTTTGGGACCCTAAACATTGTAACTTATCAGTGATAAGTGTTCAAATTCATTCTCTAAACTTAAAACTTCTGAATCCTAAATCCACCTACAATGTCACTTAAATTCTAAATTTGTTTTATTGTTCTTATAATGCTAGTCACAAATTAATTCATCATCATCATTAAAGATTCAAACTAGGCCAGGAGCGGTGGCTCACGCCTGTAATCCCAACACTTTGGGAAGAGAGGCAGGAGGATTACTTGAGCTCAGGAGTTCGAAACCAGCCAGGGCAACATAGCAAGACTCTGTCTCTATTAAAATTTGAAATAATAAATAAAGATTAAAACTATACAGAGAGGCCGGGCGCGGTGGCTCAAGCCTGTAATCCCAGCACTTTGGGAGGCCGAGGCGGGCGGATCACAAGGTCAGGAGATCGAGACCACAGTGAAACCCCGTCTCTACTAAAAATACAAAAAATTAGCCGGGCGCGGTGGCGGGCGCCTGTAGTCCCAGCTACTCAGGAGGCTGAGGCAGGAGAATGGCGTGAACCCGGGAGGCGGAGCTTGCAGTGAGCTGAGATCGCACCACTGCACTCCAGCCTGGGCGACAGCGTGAGACTCCGTCTCAAAAAAAAAAAAAAAAAAAAAAAAACTATACAGATGCTACAGAATTAATTGTAAAAATCTCTCCTTTCTGTCTCCATACAGGTTCCATCCCCTTTCTCAGAGATAGCTGTTAATTCCATACACACAGTCCCAGTCCTTCAGCTATAAATTTTTCTACAGGCCGGGTACAGTAGCAGACACCTGTAATCCCAGCACTTTCAGAGGCCAAGGCGGGAGGATCACTTGAGGGCAGGAGTTTGAGATCAGCCTGGGCAATACAGGGAGACCCTGTCTCTACAAAAAATAAAAACTTAGGCATGGTGGTGCATGCCTGTAGTCCCAGCTACTTGGAAGGCTGAGGTGGGAGAATCACTTGATCCCAGGGGTTCAAGGTTGCAGTGAACTAGTCAATATTATAATTATGGAATCACATTCTACATTTAAGATTTCTTTAAAATTAAGTATTATTTGAGATACTTTATTTTCTTTTCACCAGGGGCTCTGCTCTGTCACCCAGGCTGGAGTACAGTGGCACAATCCCAGCTCATTAAAACTACCACCTCCTGGACTCAAGTGATCCTCTCATCTCAGCCTCCCAAGTAGCTGGGACCACAGTGTGCCTGTTATTTGTTTGTTTATTTATTTATTTATTTATTTTTCAATTTTTGAGATGGAGTTTTGCTCTTGTCGCCCAGGCTGGGGTACAGTGATGTGATCTCAGCTCACTGCAACCTCTGTCTCCCAGGTTCAAGCAATTCTCCTGCCTCAGCCTCTGGAGTAGCTAAGATTACGGGTGTGAGCTACCACGCCCAGCTATTTTTTTATTTCTTGTAGAGATGTGGTGTCACTATATTGCCCAGGCTGGTCTCGAATTCCTGGACTCAAGTGATCCTCTTGTTTCAGCCTCCCAAAGTGCTGGGATTACAGGCATGAGCCACTGCACCCAGCCAAGATACATTTTCTACAATCCTAAAAGCATACATAAAGGCTGAGCGCAGTGGCTCATGCCTACAATCCCAGCACTTTGGGAGGCCGAGGCAGGTGGATCACTTGAGGTCAGGAGATCGAGACCAGCCTGGCCAACATGGTGAAACCCCGTCTCTATTATAAAAATACAAAAATTAGCCAGGCATAGGTGACGCATGCCTGTCCCAGCTACTCAGGAGGCAGAGGCAGGAGAATCACTTGAGCCCCGGAGGTAGGGCAGAGGGTGCAGTGTGCTGAGATCGTACCACTGCACTCCAGGCTGGGCAACACAGTGAGACCCTATCTCAAAAAAATAAAAAATTTAAAAGTAAAATAAATCGCACATACAAAAATAACATATGAAGTGAAACAATTAAGACTTTCAATTATTTGTGTGTTTTTTTAATCGGTTCATGTCTCCCCTACTTTATTGTAATTATTGCCACTAGAAGGGGCTCCATGACACATCTCTTGCACATTTAACATTCTGGAGCTCAAATCACTAGTTTAAGTCCTGACATCTCTAATTATACACTCCCTCACAGTCTACCTATGTCATCATCCTTCTTGAGGAAAAAAAAAGCATGCACTTCCTGCTCACAATCTTCAAATATTCCGTCTCTCTCTATTCTCTGACCATTCACACCAGATGACAATTTTTCATCATTCTGCCAAGTCAAACCCTCTGGGTCCACTGTGCTGACTCCAGGTCTCTGAGCATCTCTACATTGAACTATGACAGCCACGCAGAACTCATCTATCCATTTCAGTCCACTTTCGGATGGGCTCTCCGAACTGCTGACCAATCCTATTAACTCATCACTTGCTTAACTTTCAAACCTCTCCTAGATATTATTTTAGAGTCTAAGCTACATACTACTCTCAAATCCTCATTTTCTCCTCCCAGCTTCTTTTTCATTTTTGGTAGATTCTTACTTTATAGAATTTTTCTTTTTTTTTTTTTTTTTTTTTTTGAGACAGAGTCTCGTTCTGTCACCCAGGCTGGAGTGCAGTGGCGCTATGTGAGCTCACTGCAACCTCCACCTCCCGAGTTCAAGCAATTCTCCCACCTCAGCCTCTCGAACAGCAGCTGGGATTACAGGCGTGCGTTACCATGCCTGGCTAATTTTTGTACTTTTAGCAGAGACCAGGTTTCACCATGTTGGCCAGGCTGGTCTCGAACTCCTTACCTCAGGTGATCTGCTCACCTCGGCCTTCCAAAGTGCTGGGATTACAGGCGTGAGCCACTGTGCCCAGCCAGAATTAAGGTCTTCATTTTCTTTTTTTGTTTTTAAAATATAGAGACAAGGTCTTACTATGCTGTCCAGGCTGGTATCAAACTCCAAGCCTCAAGTGATCTTCCTACCTCAGCCTCCCCAAGTAGTGAGTTTACAAGGGAGAGTCACTGCCCCTCACCCATCTTCTTTTCAACAGTTTAACAACACATATATTAAATACTTCTCATCCTTCCTTGTAACCTCAAGAGAGATATATTACACATACTACTCTCTGGAGCTAGCCTCTCCCCTACTTGTAACTTTAAAAAAAAAAAAAAAACAGCCCTGCTCTGTCACCCAGTACCCAGGCTAGAGTGCAGCAGCACAATCATAGCTCACTGCAGCCTCAAACTCCTGGGCTCAATTCTCCCACTTCAGGCTTCTAAGTAGACTGGACTACAGGTATGCACCACCACACCTGGCTAATTTATTTTATTTATTTATTTTTTTTATAGAGATGGGATCTCACTATGTTGCCCAGGCTGATCTTGAACTCCTAGCCTCAAGTAATCCTCCTGCCTCAGCTTCCTGAGTGGCTGGGATTATAGGTGTGAGCCAAAGCACTGGCTACTTATAACTTTTTTTTTTTTTTTTAATTGAGACATTGTCTCACTCTGTCACCCAGGCTGGGGTACAGTGGCATGATCTCAGCTCACTGCAACCTCCACCTCCCAGGTTCAAGCAATTCTCCTCCCTCAGCCTCCCAAGTAGCTGGGATTACAAGTGCGTACCATGACACTTGGCTATTTTTATATTTTTAGTAGAAATGGGATTTCGCTATGTTGGCCAGGCTGGTCTCAAACTCCTGACCTCAAGTGATTCGCCCACTTCAGCCTCCCAAAGTGTTGGTATTACAGGTGTGACCCCTGCTCCGGGCCTTACTCATAACTCTTGATGAGTGTTTCTCCAACTTTGTAAATACAGAACTCTTTTGTTAACATCAAAATATTCTGAGGCTCCTTCACAACAATGGGTTAAATGTTTATTATTCAATGATCTAGAACAATTTTTATTCAACTTACAGACAAAGTTATAAGCATATTAATAAGCAATGAACACCCTTTAACAACTTCAGGGCTTGTAGGTCAGGAACCACAGCTCTAGAATTCAACTTCTCAACACTCCCAGAGGACTTCAATCCCAAAATCCTCTTCTTTTTCGTATTACTTGCAGCCCTCTTCCTGAACACAAACTGAGACCCTTCTGCCTTGACATATGCAATTTATCTAATAATTTCTTCATAACCATATCCAATTAACTTCTCTGCAGTATTACATATGAATGATGTTTTTCTATTTTTATAGACTCTGTCCAAGGCAATATACTACTTTGGAACTCTTTTGCCTTTAACCACTGTTCTTTGGTCTGTTTTCCTGGCACTTCTATTTTCTCCTTCAACCCTTCTGGTAGTAGTTCTCAAACTATTTCCGCCTCCATTCACTGACGGGTAACATATGCCATCAATGATTACCTCTCACAGTATACTAATTCTCTACAAGCTGGCCCTATTCCTCAAAGTAAAAGTCCTGCCCCATCACCCAGAACATTCCTGACCTAATGCAGATACCCAAAGCCCAGAGTTCTCCAGTCCCTAAATTTCTACTCATTCTACTTGTGGTCTACGACATGGCAATGAACAATGACTGTGTATTTTCACCTGAAGCTGTTGCATGTGCATTCTTTCCTCTGATCAGGCAGCAATTCCTTGAAGGCAACTCTCTTATTTTAGTCATCTCTGTAAAGGGCAGAGTGCCAAGTATAAAGCCATCATTTCAAATATCTGCAAGTATCTTCTAACACTTTCTAGGCACCTGAAATATACAGTCAAAAAATTCCCAAACCACAGAAACAGAACACTATTTCACCGGATGCTAAAAAGGAATGAAGTAAAGAAAGGTTTCATAATTAAAGGTTTAAGAACTACCTGGTTAAATAAAGTTAGGTATATATTTAGAACTTTCTAGAACCTTTAATCTCGCTAATTGTGAATCTCCAAGAGCAGAATTTCCCAAACTTGTGTTACAAAACCCTTTCCCGCCTTCTACTGCTCATTACCAGAACCTATTAATCTCCATTTCCAGGGGACAATTGAAGAAATGTTTATTAAGCAATTATTTTCTCTCACAACTTCTTCATATCCAGTATGGTATGTAAGGATATGTTAATAGTACCGGTTTTATGACCAATCCTAGCAGCCAATCTCAGCATTCCTCAATTATCCCCAAAGCCATTAGACAGTATAATTACAAAAACCTTTTGAAAAATTCCTTTCAGGATACTTTAAAATTGCAAGTTCCTTTACTGCTTTTAAAAAGGATCTCATTTGCAAACATTCCATTTTATTTATTTTTATTTATTTATTTATTTATTTATTTATTTATTTTTGAGACAGAGTCTCACTCTTGTCACCCAGGCTGGAGTAGAACGGCAAGATCTCAGCTCACTGCAACCTCCGCCTCCTGGGTTCAAGCGATTCTCCTGCCTCAGCCTCCAGAGTAACTAGGATTACAGGCGTGCACCACCACGCTCAGCTAATTTTTTAATATTTTTAGTAGAGATGGGTTTCACCATCTTGGTCAGGCTGGTCTCAAACTCCTGACCTCAAGTGATCCACCCACCTCAGCCTCCCAAAGTGCTGGGATTGCAGGCATGTGCCACAGTGCCCAGCCCAAAAATTCCATTTTATATACACCATCGGATCAGAGGGGTATAACCCCACATTTATAAAAACAATAGCAGAGTCTGTTAAAAGCTAGGGATAGCTTAAGTGACTTGACACTCAGCAAAACCAAAAATAATACAAATAAAAAGGACAAAGTATACTTCAAACTAACGAGAAAAAGGAAGATAAAATAAATTTGGAAAATAGACACTATTCTTCTCTGGGAGATTCTCAATGCTTATTATTAATAATACATTAAAGATTCTAAGAACTCCAATCAAAAAACAAAACAAAACATTATCACGCGATTTAATATGTTGCTTCCTAAATTTACCAGACCATAGGATCTTTTTTCCTAACACTTATTAACAACCCAAAACAAGCTGGTAAACATTATTATATCAGTTTCAACAGTGTATCTGATTGAAAAAAGCATATCAGAATCTTCAATTGTCATTCTTCTGCTTCAACATTGTACAACGTTGAAATAAAATAATCTTTTAGGAAAATTTAACTAGGGCTGGGTAAGGTGGCTCACTCCTATAATCCCAGCACTTTGGGAGGCCAAGGCAGGTGGATTACCTGAGGTCAGGAGACCAGCCTGGTCAACATGGTGAAACCCCACCTCTACCAAAAATGCAAAAATTAGCCAGGTGTGGTGGTACACCCCTGTAATCCCAGCTACTCGGGAGGCTGAACCTGGGAGACAGAGGCTGCAGTAAGCCACTCCAGCCTGGGCGACAGAGTGAGACCCGTCTCCCAAAAAAAAAAGAAAGAAAAAGAAAAACTTAACTAGATAGCAAGTAATCAGAAGGTAAGCTTCCAGATTTTCCCATCTATTCTAATTTTCACTCCATTTCTCTGCTCAGGAATTTTAGTTCAATGATTAAGATGTGGGAGGAAAATAACGACACTCATCTTCTTATCTTTCAGAATTTATATTAGAGAGAAAATAAATTCTGAACCCTATCCCTAGAATCACGCAAAACTGTGGTATGACTTAATAAAAGCAGGACCTCAGAAATGCCTCAAATACTCACTTTTTATTTCTTCAATATCTGTTTCCTCAGCAGTAAAATTCTGTGGAATGGAGACACAGACTATGTGAAAACTCCCAACATTTAGTCTCCACCCTAAAGGTATCTCCCTTATCTGAACCTGATTTCCATATCTGAGTTATTTTTTGATTTTTATTTATTATTTTTGAGACGAGGTTTCGCTCTTTTTTGTCCAGGATGGAGTGCAATGGTGCGATCTCGATCTTGGCTCACTGCAACCTCCACCTCCTGGGTTCAAGCAACTCTCCTGCCTCAGCGTCCTGAGGAGCTGGGATTACAGGCGCGCACCACCACGCCCAGCTAATTTTGTATTTTTAATAGAGATGGAGTTTCACCATGTTGGCCAGGCTAGTCTTGAACTCCTGACCTCAGGTGATCCGCCTGCCTCGGCCTACCAAAGTGCTGGGATTATAGGCGGGAGCCACCACGCCTGGCGCTGATTTTTTTTTTTTTTTTTTCAGTAAGTACTTTACGTTTTTTTTCCTGGACCATGATGAAATGACCTGCAACCAGAATGTCGAGTACTTGATGAGGACACACCCCGTCATTCAGGAACAGTTAACTAGCAAAGGAAGCACACTGGAGATTGACCAGTTTGCAAATCCACTACTTCGCAGCTCCAAAGTAAATGCAAAGCCATTCTAAGCAGACGCTGCAAAAGTCTGATTCTGAAGTCAGCTCTACTCTAATAATTTCAGTAAGCTATTTATAGGTGTTTCTGTTTTTATGCGGGTTTTTTTTAATCTACTCTAAATTTAAACCTGGTCCTCATTTTCAGAAGCTGAAATGAGCATAAATACAGGAAATATATACACTAACGAGTACAATCCACCTCCTGTTCAGTTCCTTCGGGCAAAAGGCTGCAAATAAGAAGTCTCCGAGAGAGTTTTCAATTCTCTTACAATGGTACTTCCCTTTTAAAAAAAAAGTGTTCTTTCTTCCAGGGATAAAGTCGGTTGTAAATTTCAGTAAGAAAGGTAAGAATACAATTATTTTTACTGGCAATAGCCAAGTTGAACACCAATTTTAGAGGACATCAGTCATGTCAGACACGGTTCTCAAAATCTCTTTCACTAACACTTAGGTAATAATAAACGACTCTCAAAACATGAAATAAAAGAGCCTAACCTTAATTCTTTAACTGCTCTAGCAAAAGTATTTGTTAAACTTTCCATAGTTAGTATTTTTAACGGGTGCATATGCAAGGGATAAATGATGTTTTTCATAGTTGGCATTCTAAAGGGGTATACATCCAAGGTATAACTGATATTTTTCAGAGCTGGCGTTTTTAATGGGTGTACATGCAAATGATAAATTATGTATAACCTATTGCCACAGACATTTGAAGGACTCTTCCACTAGAGGATCAGGTCTAAGCCCATTAACCAAATTATTGATTAGCAATTATTTCTGTTGAGACAAGGGATGGCAGGAAGTATCACGTTTAATGCCATTATCGTGGCTCTAGCTAGGGTCTGTTTTCTATCGGGCCTGCCTGAAAACAAGTAAAATATTTTTTGAAAGGTTTTTAGAAAAATGCAAGATAAGTTCAACAGACCTCGCCCAATGTTCCACAGGTTGCCTCACTCACCTGGTGGGCCCTTTTGAAGGCACCCCCTCCACACCTCAATTCCCTCAGCCCTTTCCTCCTTTTTCAATAAAGGCGTCTCTCTCCCCTCTCCGTTCCTTCTCAGCGCAAAGGCGCCCGCTGGCCCCCAGCGGAGGGGGCCCGCCTCCCTCTCAGGTGCCTTTCTCCCGGCCGCCACCCTCTCTCCCGCACGCGGATGCCGACCCCCGCCCCCGCAGACACCACTGGACGCCCCTTGCCCATCAGCTAGACTTCGCACCCTCCACATTCCCGCTTCCTCCCGTCGCCTTGGGCCTTAACGGCGCCCGCACCGCACCCCAGCGCCGCCCGGCAACACGCCCCCCGCCCCCGGCCCCCTTACCACACATGATGCCGGAGACACGGCCCGCGAGGCCAGGGGCGAGTGGCTGGCGGAATCGGGGATGCACACACGAGCTTCGGTGGGCAATCTGCTGGCTCGGGGGCCGGGGTGGCGCCGACACGACTCCCTCGGGGATGCGACGGCCAAGGCAACGACAGCCTTCTCCCCCTCCAAGGCTCCGCCAGCAACCGCCGCCAGGCCCCGCCCCTCGGCGCGCAGCGCGCCGCCGCCGGTAGGCCCCATTGAACCGCTCACGCGCCGCTCACGCGCAGGTCCCGCCTCCCAGCGCTGCCCCGCCCCCCGAGCCCACGCAGGCGCTGGACTGCTGGCGGCGGAGACGTGGCAGTAGCTCGTGGCAGTGTCCGCCTGGAGTTCCTGGAGACGCCCTCACTGGGGCGAGCCGCGGGAGGCACCAAGCCGAGAGGGAGGGAGAAACTCAGCACCTGGCTGGGAATGACGGAAAGAGAAGGATGGAATTGTTAGCAAAGCAGTAGCTCCGGGTGCGCGCGCAGTGCAGCCCCAGGCCCCACGCTCCAGCACTGCACGAAGCGGAGGAAGAAAGCAGGAAGTCTCAACAGGGAATCCTGGGGGACATAGGCTAAAAAAAAATTGCAAAGAATTGGGTAAGGTGGGAGGAGAGAGAGAACAAAATTCTTGACTGCAAAGCCCCAAAGGGTCAGCCTCTCTGGTGATAAGCAATTCAATTCCATGTGTAATATGCTTGGCCCCTAAAAGCCCTCCGCATCCATTGCCTCCATAACCCTCAGTTTATTGTGGAAGGGTAGAGGAGGAATGCAAGGCTCAACTATCCGACTATGAGCCTGGACGTAAGAAACTGCTGGCCCACCTCCTCCCATGGCCTACCTGAGAGGGCTAGGAATTCCCTAGCTTTAACAGCCGTGCGTTTGACTTATGAACGATTCGTTCTATGAATTAATGCGCCATGTCTGACAAGAGAGACTTGATTAGAGAGGGATGATGTTTCTCAATTTATTACCTGGGCATTTGCTTTAAACAGCCTTAAATGGTATCTTCAGTGAAATGTAGAGTTATCAGAACTCTATAATGGCTCTAGAGTAGTATTAAAAACGTTCATGGCACACAGAATTCCTGGAGTGCTGACTGCTGTTCTTGTGTCTGGTCTTATCCGTCCTTCCAGCCCGATACACTCCCAACAGGCTCAACAGGTAGTTCCTGAACTGGGCCAGGATTGTCAAATCTTTTGCACACTTTGGTTACTCTGCATGGAATGCCCACCCTATCTCTGTTTAGATGCTACTTCTTCAGGAAAGCCTTTTTTTATCTCCCCTAGACAGATTTAGAGACATGCATTAACCTCTCACTCTTTGAGCCACTCACTGTAAAGAAATATGCTTTGATATCTTATGATTTTCTGTATTTTCCCACTGGGCTATAAGTTTCTTGAAGCTAGAACTAGATTTTACATACCCAACACTTTTAGACCACAGCACAAAATAAAAGATCAAATTTATTTTGGAATGAGTGAAAAAAGTCCTATTTTCTTAGCAGAATTAACCTTCTATGGCTGGTTGTATGATTAAGTGATCATAAAGCTTTCAGTTTTTCTTAAGGGGAAAAATGCCTTTTATCACTTGCCTCAGAGAGGCTGAAAAATGTCACTAAGCATTTAACTAAAAATGTAACTAAGCAGAAGATTTCTCACCTAAAAGCCCTTTTAATATTTCAATCCCCTAAGTCCCTAGATCACCCAGAGCAAAGTTAAAAAAAAAAAAAAAAAAAAAGAAACAAAAAAACCAGTGAGCTTTTTGGTAATACATTTCTTAATTCAAGAAACAAAAGACTGTGGATATACATCTAGCCTAAGAACCCTCATCTAAGGCTCTGGTAGGAACTCCGTTGTATTACCTAGAAGCCAAGGTATGGTTCCAATGCTTAAGCAACATCTTTGTGCACTGGCAGCAAACCTGTCAATGCCACAAAGAAAATGTCAGTAGTACCACCAGAGTTCTCACGCTCCAACTATAATAATCTATTTAACCCTTCGCTTTCCTTTTCTGCCTGCTACTCCATCACAATGACTATCAATTTGTCTTATCTATCTCCACTCAACAAGCTATTTTGGAAGATATTTATAAATAAGTTGAGAAGAAGAAAGTAGTGTTGAGAAGAAGAAACTAGTGTTACAGGTCTTTTAAAATTTGTCTAAATACAAATTTTTAAAAGTTTTCAGTAAAGACTGGAAAGTCCCCAACTCAAAAAAAAAAAAAAGTTAAAAAAAAAGTAAATAAAAAAACAATTTGACAAAAAAGAAACTTTGAAGGACAGTATTTTCCCAACTCAGCCTTGAAGAACCTCATTAACCCAACACAACAAAGAACCCTTTGTAACCATGTGCCAGTTAAGATACACACTTTGGGTGCTTGACCTCCCTTTATACAGAGCTCCACCTTAGTTGGGCCTTTGGGAATAAGGCCTGGAAGAGAAGAAAATAAATGATCTATGAAGGAAAGGAGACATCTGGGTCTAATTCGAACATCTGAGGGAATGGATTTTCTCTCCTGATCAAAACATTCTGAAAGACAACAAAAAAAGTAATGATGGCAAGGGGGTGTCATTCACCATCTCTTTATGTAAGTACATTTCCCTGTTCATAGATTCAGTCCCATTGGATCTGATGGCTGAAGGCCATCAGAGCTTCCAGTTGCCATTACTAACGCAATGAAGAACCTTGATTGAAATAGCTATAGTCATTTTTGTTAACCTTTATGTGAATTCCAGTAATAAATAGCAATAAAATTATGAAAATAAAAATTCCTTTGCATAAGAATTTTTGGAACTACCAAATGGGGAGCTAGGGCACATATGTCCTACTTTTTAGGGAGCTTTGCGGAGAAATGTACCCCAGTGGACAGAGAAGATGGTAGCAAGTATCAAAGGAAAAAGAAATAGGTTGAGCCCCTGCGGCCTATGAAAAGAAATGAGGACAAGAACAAAAGGCACCAATCAAGGTCTCAGAAAGACCCTGTGAGTGAACCCCATTAGCCTCCCACAATTCATCCCACACACGCTGGCTCCAGAGGGACCTGTCAAAAATACAAATGTGATCCAGTTTTTCCTTGCTTCCAATTTCGTGGGTACTCTTCACCCACAGGATGAGTACTGGGTTTCCCAATTCAGTGGCAGCACTCCTACAGAGAAAAGCTCTCACAGAGCTCTTCAAGGATGCAGCTCTCACAAATTTATTTCTCACAGTCATGGCGAAAGATGCGCCTAGAGGGCAGAGCTTTCACTGACAAACAATAAATAGAAGCCCACTCAAACTAGATGAAGAAGGGGATTTACTGGCTCACGTAATTGGAACGGACAGAAATACAAACAGCTTTCAGCACATCTATACCCAGGGACAGAATGTTGTCAGAACTCTTGAACTACCTCTCTGACCTCATGGACAAGGAAATAACCCTTAAATAGGTCTGCAATCACATCTTTATAGTTTGCAGCCCAAAAGGAGAGAGAGGCTATTCCTCCATCCTTACTTTTTATATTCTAGACAAGGATTCTGGCCAGTCCAGTGTGACTCACATGCCCCACTCCTGTGGCAAAGAAGGCAAGACACTGTGATAGGACAGGTCCACCAGAGCCCTGTAGAGTCATACAGCCACATATGGCAAGAGGGAGCAGTTACTCAAAGGAAAGAGGAAGGTGTTGCTAAAAGAAGAACACTAAGAAGGCACACAAAAAAATATGTCCACCACATCAAGCAAATATGACCTGATTGCCACCCAGAAAACCTCAGGCTTGAGGACAAAGGATGCTGACTCCAACTAGAAGTTGTGCCCTCCCCAATACTCCTCTCCACGGTAGCTCCAAATTTTTCCAGTAGGCAGAAGCTGGGGCAGAGTTTTCTAGCTCTGCGAGAAAGAAACTCATTCTACTGCCACGAAAGTCAACAAATTGAAAACCATGAGATTAACTGGTCCTATCTTTAACCTACTATTTCTGTCCTGTAAGATGTGAACAGAGCCACAATAAGGGTGAACCATTCAGGGAGCTGCCTAGAACTGAAAGATCACTTGAAACGTAAGGACACCGAAAAAGTACTATTTTCTAGGGTTTCTTTCAAGGGATACAAAAGTTGCTTCTCTATATCCTATAAGCCCCTAGGGAATAATCACAGATAACACTGATATGGCAAAATGGAGTATATGGCTAGGATTTCCCAAGAGGGGTGCAGATTCCCTCTGGACTGGAAAGCAACCAGCTTCATATTCCTGCACAAAAAAATGGACACACATGTTCATACCACTGCTTTTGTCTACTGTGGTTCTAGACTCTTGCCCATTAGTAAGCACCTATGAAAGCAAGGAAAGCTTCTCCCCTCCCTCAAGTAGGAATACTCAAGAGGGGTATGGGCCCAACTTCCTTAAGACAGAATAGAATAGCTATAATGTGCATAGGCCTTGCAGCCAGAATGCCAGAGTTCATGTTCCTGGCTTTTCCACTCAAGTTGCATGGCAATGGACAATGTACTTTTCCTTGTACCTCCATCTTCCAATTTATAAAAATGGAGACAATAGGCCAGGCACAGTGGCTCATGCCTGTAATCACAGAGCTTTGGGAGTCCAAGGCGGGTGGATCACTTGAGGTCAGGGACCATCCTGGCCAATATGGTGAAACCCTGTCTCTACCAAAAATACAAAAATAGTCGGGCATGGTGGCACATGCCTGTAATTCCAGAAGAATCGCTTGAACTTGGGAGGAGGAGGTTGCAGTGAGCTGAGATGGTGCCACTGCACTCCAGCCTGGATGACAGAGCAAGACTTTGTCTCAAAAATAAAAGGGGGGGGGTGCGGAGGAGGGACAATAGTTGACAATCGCATACGATTAAATGACTTCATAAATGTAAGGTGCTTAGAACAGTGTTTGTGAAAACCTCAGGCTTGAGAACAAAGGATGTTCAATGAATACATGAACATTGAATGTTCAATGAACGTTTGCTATTTTTATATATGTTGCTCTCATATGACTGTATGTCATCCTGTATAGGGCTTCATCTTAATTTTGGTTAGTGAAAAATCCTCAGGCCAGGCGTGGTGGCTCGCGCCTGTAATCTCAGCACTTTGGGATGCTGAGGCAGGTGGATCACTTGAGCCCATGAGTTGCAGATCCACCTGAGCAACATGGTGAAATCCTGTCTCTACAAAAAAAAAAAATAATAATAGCTGGGTGTGGTAGTGTGCACCTATAGTCCCAACTACTTGGGAGGCGGAGGTGGAAGAATCACTTGAGTGTGGGAAGTCAAGGCTGCACTGACCCACAATCACGCCACTGCACTCCAGCCTGAAGGCAATAGAGTGAGACCCTGTCTCAACAAAAAAAAAAAAGAAAAACCCCCCAAATGCCTGGCGTACTCTTGACCAATAATCTTAGTTTCAAATACTTATTGAAGCATCCTATATTTACAAAGTGTTTTCAGGATATTTCATGTAAAATATTTTATAAAAGCTGGACATGGTTGTGCATGCCTGTAGTCCTAGCTACTTGGGAGGCTGAGGCAGGAAGATGGCTTGAGCCCAGGAGTTTGAGGCTGCACTGAGCTATGATTGCACCACTGCAACTCCAGCCTGGGTAACAGGGTAAGACCTCATCTCTATTTTAAAAAGAAAAAGAAAAAATAAATAAATACAAAATATTTTATACATTTTGGGGGTTTCTTGTATGTTTGGTTTTTTTTTTTTTAATTTTTGTTTTGGCTAAACACAACTAATAGTGATTATTAGTCTTTCTTTGGGATTATATAGGGAGAAATTCAGTATAAATATTCCAAAATAAAAACCATTACCTGATTAAACTTAGTATTTGTTTTTTTTTTTTTTTTTTTTTGAGACGGAGTCTCGCTCTGTCGCCCAGGTTGGAGTGCAGTGGCCGGATCTCAGCTCACTGCAAGCTCCACCTCCCAGGTTTACGCCATTCTCCTGCCTCAGCCTCCCGAGTAGCTGGGACTACAGGTGCCCACGACCTCGCCCGGCTAGTTTTTTTTTGTATTTTTAGTAGAGACGGGGTTTCACCGTGTTAGCCAGGATGGTCTCGATCTCCTGACCTCGTGATCCGCCCGTCTCGGCCTCCCAAAGTGCTGGGATTACAGGCTTGAGCCACCGCGCCCGGCCTAAACTTAGTATTTGAATAGTGGTTCAATTAATTTAAAAATACAAGTTAATTTGTTTTTGTTTTGACATGGAGTCTTGCTCTGTCATCGAGGCTGGAGTGCAGTTGCGTGATCTCAGCTCACTGCCACCTCTGCCTCCCGGGTTCCAACGGTTCTCCTGCCTCTGCCTCTGCCTCCCGAGTAGCTGGGATTACAGGGGCCCACCACCATGCCCAGCTAATTTTTGTATTTTTTTAGTAGAGACAGGGTTTTACCATGTTTGCCAGACTGGTCTCGAACTTCTGACCTCAGGCGATCCACTTGCCTCAGCCTCTCAAAATGCTGGAATTACAGGCGTGAGCCACTGCAGCCGGCATGTTTTCATTTTAAGGTTGACATTTGGCAGTTTACCACAAATGAAAAATTGGTAAAAGTATTTACCAAGTCCTCCATCACTTACCAGTCTCTCCGAATGCAATCAGCTTCAAGTTACGGAATACCTGATAACAGTAGCTAAAACAAGAAAAACATTTATCTCACGTCATATAAACTCTGAAAATGAGTGTAATTCTTAGTCTGGCCAAAAGGCCAACAATGTCTCAAGGATCCAGGCCCTCCCTTTTTTTTTCCTTTTTTTTTTTTTCTGAGACACAGTCTTGCTGTCGCCCAAGGTGGAGTGCAGTGACATGATCTCACCTTACTGCAACCTCTACCTCCCAGGCTCAAGTGATTCTCAAGCCTCAGACTCCCTAGCAGCTGGGGCTACTAGGTGGCATATGCCACTGCACCAGGCTAATTTTTGTGTTTTTAAGTAGAGATGGGGTTTCACCATGGTGGCCACACTGGTCTCAAACTCTTGGCCTCAAGTGATCTACCCGCCTGGGCCTCCCAAAGTGCTGAGATTACAGGTATAAGCCACCGTGCAAGGCCAAGGATCCAGACCCTTTCTTTGCTCTTTGCTATTCTCAGTGAACAAACTTTTAGTCATGATTACAAGTTGATTATCATTGCTTTGAACATCACACTCTACAGTGTACCAAGCAGGAAGAAAAGGAATGGAGAAAAAAAACGGGGGCCTTCTTTCCAGAGATTAACTCACATACACACTGTCTTAACCAGGAAAGACAATCTTTCCAGAATTCTCCAACAGACTTTCTCTTCCAGTTTACTGGCCAGAGCTAGGTCATATGGCTACCCACAGACTAATGACTTGGAAAAGAAAAATGGAGTTAAAGTGACTGGTTTAATCATAACTTATCCCCTGGGACTGAGGTGAGACCTACTGAGAGGGCCTTCCTTAACAAGAAGTGAGGGTATATGTGAGGGTAGGCAACCAAGAGTTTCTGTGGCATTCTCTATACTACCACTGCCTACTTGTGCACCATTTTCACGTTATACTCAAGCCATACTTAGCTTCTTGAGGTTCCCAAATACATTTCACACTTACAATTCTGATTATACTACTCTTTATGCCTAGAATCCCACACCTTTCCTCCTTGTTCTTCATGGCTGTTAATTTTGTAGAAAATCTTTCCAATACTTTGGCTTCTCAATTGAAGAATTTCCTGATTTTTTTTGTTGTTGTTGGTTTGTTTGTTGAGACAGAATCTCGCTCTGTCACCCAGGATGGAGTGCAGTGGCATAATCCCAGCTCACTGCAACCTCCGCCTCCCAGGTTCAAGGGATTTTCGTGCCTCAGCCTCCTGAGTAGCTGGGATTACAGGCACATGCCACCTCACCTGGCTAATTTTTGTATTTTTAGTAGAGACGGGGTTTCACCATTGGCCAGGCTGGTCTCGAATTCCTTACCTCAAGTGATCTGCCCACCTCAGCCTCCCAAAGTGTTGGGATTATAGGCGTGAGCCACTGCGCCGGGCCAATTTCCTCTCTTCTAATAATCTAACCCTCCACCCAATTCAGCCTCTTATTTCATGGTCACATCCAAGATATGCCATTACTTGCATCTCATCTACCATGTCAATTTCCTGTAGCTTCAACTAAAGGGCAGGTTAAGTTGCCTTGCTTATGAAGCAATTCCCAGGGTCTAAATTAAATTCATACATGATATCTCCAGGAATGAATTCTCCAACCCTACTATTTGGTTCAGTGAACCAAAGGATAAAAGTAAAAACTTCAATTCCCAGCACTCACAACTGCTAGAGTTCTTCCTGTTTCCATGACTATCTTAATCTCCTTAATTTGAGGGACTAGAATTCCAGAGATGCAATTTATCACTACTATTTCCCATCTTTCCTTTCCCTGTATTTTCTATTAACTGCAGTCTCTGAATTACTATAGAAAAATGAGAGAGAACGCTAAATCACTCTTTTGGCTACCTGAAAAAGCAGCACCCCTAGAGTAGAAAGATAACAGTGCACATTTCTGGCATGGTACAGATTATGAATCTCTGAGTCAGAAGCCAGTGGAAGGACCAAAGCAGCTTCTTCTCTCTTCTTCAGCAATTCTGATTCATAAGGTAAAGGCTGGGCATGCTGAGGCAGTTTTTCTAATTCAGCCATCTCCATCTTAACCAATAGAAACTGTGTCCGGATTCTAGAAGTTAGTTTTTGATCTTTTGCGTTTGTTTTTGAGATGAAGTCTCACTCTGTTGCCCAAGCTGGAGTGCAGTGGTGTGATCTCAGCTCGCTGCCACCTCCGCCTCCCGGTTTCAAGCAATTCTCCTGCCTCAGCCTCCTGAGTAGCTGGGATTACAGGAATGTGCCACCATGCCCGGCTAATTTTTGTATTTTTAGTAGAGACAGGGCTTCACCATGTTGTTCAGGCTGGTCTCAAACTCCTGACCTCGTGATCCGCCCACCTCAGCCTCCCAAAGTGCTGGGATTACAGGCATTAGCCACCACACCGGGCCATTTTTGGGATTTTTTGGTCTTAAGTTCTTCGCTACTTAATTGAGGGCTAGTAGCCAGATACCATTTTTAAAACAGAATTGTTTAGCTGGGTTTTTTTTTTTTTTTTTGAGACGGAGTCTCACTCTGTCCCCAGGCTGGAGTGCAGTGGCTGGATCTCAGCTCACTGCAAGCTCCGCCTTCTGGGTTTACGCCATTCTCCTGCCTCAGCCTCCTGAGTAGCTGGGACTACAGGCGCCCACCACCTCGCCCAGCTAGTTTTTTGTATTTTTTAGTAGAGACGGGGTTTCACCATGTTAGCCAGGATGGTCTCGATCTCCTGACCTCGTGATCCGCCCGTCTCAGCCTCCCAAAGTGCTGGGATTATAGGCTTGACCACATGCCCCCTAGCTGTTTCTTAAGCTAAAAACTTCATTTTTTTTTTTTTTTTTTTTTTTTTTTTAGGTCTCGCTCTGCACCCAGCTGGAGTGCATGCGATTGCTCACTGCAAGCTCCCCTCCCGGTTCACGCCATCTCCTGCCTCAGCCCCCATAGCTGGCACAGGCCCGCCACCCCCGGCTAGTTTTTTTATTTTTAGTAGACGTTTCACGTGTCACCAGGATGGTCTCGATCTCCTACCTCATGACCGCCGTCCGGCCTCCAAGCTGGATTACAGGCTTGAGCCACCGCGCCCGGCCTAAAAACTTCATTAAAAATAGTTTTAGATATTTTGCAAAAAGCCATTTTAGAATATTCTGAAAAGCATTCTGTTTCTTCCTGTATGAAAAAAGTAAATAAATTAGATGGGGAGGAAATGTATTTTAAACTCCTTCACACATATGCAAAGGAGCCATGGGAAATGAGGAACAAAAATAAAAATATCCTTGGATAAAATCCACATGTACAGAAGATGATTCAAGAGGTTATAAATAACTCATATGAGGTAAAGCAAACATGTAATATTTATATATCATTCTCTGAAGAGCATATTTTATTAATCTTCAAGTTCCTCAGCATATTAATAATAAAAACTTCATATATATTATCAACAAGTCTGACTGTTGTGCCCAAAGAAAATCCAGATTATTTTAAGGTGAGTTTGCTTCTTTTTCATCCGATTCGTCATCCATAACCTAAAACCAAAAAACAAAGACAATTTAAGAATTAAGAAAATGATTAGATTTTGCTATTTTCCTGATTTTACTATTACTTCTTTACCTGATATACTCTGTAACAATGCATGACAAGCCAGTAAGAATAAATCTATTAACAGCCCCAAAGAACAAGGTTTTAATCATAACCTGGTATCCTAAAAACATAAAAGCAAATTAAATATTTGGAAATTAATTAAAGCATTGATCACTTCTCCTTGTCTCAAAGAGGCTACCCACAGCAGAGTCTCAGCTGGGCAGAAAAGACTATAAATAATTAACTGGGACCAGGCACCGTGGCTCATGCCTGTAATCCCAGCACTCTGGGAGGCCGAGGCAGGTGGATCACAAGGTCAGGAGATGGAGACCATCCTGGCTAACACGGTGAAACCCCGTCTCTACTAAAAATACAAAAAATTAGCTGGGCGTGATAGCGGGCATCTATAGTCCAAGCTACTAGGGAGGCTGAGGCAGGAGAATAGCGTGAACCGGGGAGGTGGAGATTGCAGTGAGCCGAAATCATGCCACTGCACTCCAGCCTGGTGACAGAGCGAGACTCTGTCTCAAAAAAAAAAAAAAAAAAAAAAAATTAACTGGTATTCTCTATCCATAAGACTAACGTAATTGACTTTTTCTTTTTTTCAAAACCATCTTATTTACTTAAATATATTCTGTGAAGCTATACCAAACTGTTATTATGAAAGCATTTATTTTTATTAAAATTAATCCCCAAGGAAAGTAAAAAACAAAACAAATCCACCATATTAGAAACTAATTATTTTAGTTTTACTCAGATAAAAGGTCATTTTAAACCTCAGGAAAATGTTACAACAACTATTATCTTTCCATGAGTTAATGTATTACTAAGATAACAGACTAACTCCATTGGAGAAGGAAAAAGTTACATAAACCTAAGAATGCTTTTTCCTCCTTGCCACACCTACTACAATTAGATGCCAATTCAAGTTTCTAATCTGAAGGCCAATTCATCACCCCACCCTGGACAAATGAATAAAATGTTTCTCAGTCAATCCACCAAAGTATCAACTAATGTAATTTTTTAAGGCATATAGATGATAATGGAACAAAATAAGGTTTAAAAAAAAAAAAAAAAAATCTGGGCCAGGCACGGTGGTTCACGCCTGTAATCCCAGCACTTTGGGAGGCTGAGGCGGGCGGATCACCTGAGGTCAAGACTTCAAGACCAGCCTGGTCAACATGGTGAAATCCCTGTTTCTACTAAAAATACGAAAATTAGCCGGGCGTGGTGGCGCGCGCCTGTAATTCCAGCTACGGGGGAGGCTAAGGCAGGAGAATCATTTGAACTCGGGAGGTGGAGGCTGCAGTGAGCCAAGATCACGCCATTGTACTCCAGCCTAGGCAACAAGAGTGAAACTACGTCTCAAAAAAAAAAAAAATCTAGATTCTGGCTCTGATCTGAGACAATCAATAGAAAAAGAATTCTTTCATAGGATATCTTTTCGGTTGAGTAAAAATTGGTATTTATTTCCAAGAAATTAATATTTTACGAGGCCGGGTGCGGTGGCTCAAGCCTGTAATCCCAGCACTTTGGGAGGCCGAGACGGGCGGATCACGAGGTCAGGAGATCGAGACCATCCTGGCTAACACGGTGAAACCCCCTCTCTACTAAAAATACAAAAAAACTAGCTGGGCGAGGTGGCGGGCACCTGTAGTCCCAGCTACTCGGGAGGCTGAGGCAGGAGAATGGCGTAAACCCAGGAGGCGGAGCTTGCAGTGAGCTGAGATCCAGCCACTGCACTCCAGCCCGGGTGACAGAGCGAGACTCCGTCTCAAAAAAAAAAAAAAAAAAAAAATTTACAACCAATTTCAACAATACCCAATCCAAAAAATTTTGTCAACCAACTCATATTTTAGGCAGAATTATTCCTTAATTTGGAATAATATTCCCAAATACTTAATACAAAACATGTATAGGACATTTGTAAGGCACACAGCTAGTTGTTGCAGAGGAATACAAAGACTTGGATATGATTTCAGGTCTCTTAGGGAGCTTCCACATAAACATAAAGCTAAAACAGATACAGAAAGCCACATAAATATAAAACCAAAACAGAAGCTTTGGACCTGTCAAAAAGAACTTAATTCCAAGTGGGGGATTGATAAAAACTTCAAAGAGGAGATGGCATGTACTGGACCAAAACGATGGTGTGGAGGGTAAAGCAACTCCATCTTGGATGCTAATCTGCCACATTGACTAACCTCAGTTCTAGGAATGCCTCTGAGATTTCTATTTAATTCTGCCTTAGGTAGGTAAAAATAACCTTGATGTTATCCTAAACAACACATACTTAGCATAAATCTTGCCTTTAAGCAAATTATAGGCTATTAGGCAAATAGCATTCTTGCGTTTTCCAGAAGGGCTGACTTCAATTGTCCTACACATGTGTACTACACATGCTTCTGAAGCATGTGTACACATTCCTCCTAGGCTATATACGCCCTGAGTCTAGGGGGTAACAATGCAGGGATCCATCATCTTGCAGCTGCCCGATAAATGGCTTCTGTTCCTCAGTCCCTATTAAATCTTTCTTTCTGACCAACTGGATTTGTCAGCCTCTTTCTTCAGCCTCTCATCAGCTCCCTAAGACTTTGGGGAATAGGTCTATATAGACCTGCTCACTGTGGAACAGATGAATTTTAATACTACCCAAGGATGAGTGATTCCCAATGGAGCCCTTAAGGGCACAGAATTACCTGAGGTGGTCAGGCGTGGTGGCTCATGCCTGTAATCCTAGCACTCTGGGAGGCTGAGGCGGGCAAATTGCCTGAGCTCAGGAGTTCAAAACCAGCCTGGGCAACACGTTGAAATCCCATCTCTACTAAAATACAAAATACAAAAAATGGTGGCATGTGCCTGTAATCCCAGCTACTCATGAGGCTGAGGGATGGGAACTGCTTCAACCTGGAAGGTGGAGGTTGCAGTGAGCCGAGGTAGCATGTCACTGCACTCCAGCCTGGGCAACAGAACAAGATTCTGTCTCAAAAAAAAAAAAAAAAAAGAATGAATTACCTGAAATTCTGTGGGTTGGAAATTTCTAATTTCCACACATCCCTTCACTCCTTGATAATCTCTCTCCATAAGGCCATGCTTTTTGGTTGAGAATCACTGCAGTATTAAGAGTCATTATTACTGATGACAAGGTGCTGTGTTATACTCCTTAGGTATGTTGGCAAAAAAAAAAAAAAGTTGATATTGTGCTATACATAAAGCTTTAGAATTCTATTCAGTATAATGACAAACTACGATTTCTAATAGGCTTCTTGCTTGCATATTTAAGAATACGTAGATTAGGCCAGTTGTGTTAATCCTTAATCCCAGCATTTTGGGAGGATCACCTGAGGCCAGGAATTCAAGACCAGCCTGGGCAACATAGCAAAACTGTCTCTACCAAAAAAAAAAAAAAAAAAAAAAACTGGTAAATATGATGTAGTAGAGTTTTTCCACTAAAGATTTCTAAATCTCATCTATAAAACACTGTATCACATGTTAAACCTTTTTCATAATTTTTGTGCAATCAGGACAGCAATATGCCCTCTGAGTCTCTGTGACCTTATGTGCAAAATGGAAATGACTTAATGCACTGTGTTACTAGAAGATGAAATGAGCAAAATGCCTGGCACATAGTAGGTTCTCATAACACTAAAGTTACTTCTTTTTCTTTTTTTTTTTTTTGAGATGGAGTTTTGCTCTTGTTGCCCAGGCTGAAGTGCAATGGCGCGATCTCGACTCACCACAACCTCTGCCTCCAGGGTTCAAGAAATTCTCCTGCCTCAGCCTCCCGAGTAGCTGGGATTACAGGCATGCACCACCACGCCCAGCTTATTTTGTATTTGTAGTAGAGAAAGGGTTTTCTCCATGTTGGTCAGGCTGGTCTGGAACTCCCTACCTCAGGTGTTCCGCCCACCTGAGCCTCCCAAAGTGCTGGGATTACAGGTGTGAGCCACTGTGCCCGGCCTAAAGTTACTTCTAAAATAAGAGACTTCAAGTCTGATAAAAATTGCAACACAAAAATCTAGCCCTTGAAGAAAAAGCTAGGTCATGAATTTCTTTTCAAATACTTGCCTTAACATCTATTTCCAGCCTTTGTATCTACAAAGAAAAAGAAAAAAATGAAAAAAAATCTAGACCTGTCATATAATATTGGCATACCTGTTCTACGCCTTCTACCTCTGGAATATAAAACTGCAGCATGTTCTGAATTCCATTTTTCAGAGTAATGATTGAACTAGGACAGCTAGTACAAGAACCCTGGAGTTTCAGCTGTACGATGCCATCTTCAAAGCCTTTATAGATTACATCCCCTCCATCTTCCTGCACAGTTGGCCTGTGAGGTCAAAGAATATTTATGACATATTCTTTAAAATACAAGTTTTCATTGAAAAAATTTAATACAGCTCAGAGCTTACATTTTATATTAGTAAAATTCACAAAGTTAAAGCTACTTTTATAATAGAGAATAATAACTGTGGCTAAGTTTTATTTATAATTAATTTTTTTTAAATCTCAGGTAAAATATCAAAATTCACTCATACAAATATTTCCTCCACTTACCACATTTGATCTTGCTTACTAATATCTTTTTAAGGCTGGGCATGGTGGCTCACACCTATAATCGCAGCAATTTGAGAGGCCAAGGTAGGAGACTGCTTGAGCCCAGGAGTTGGAAGCTGCAGTGAGCTATTATCAAATCACTGCACCCCAGCCTGGGTGACACAGCAAGACCCCATTTCTAAAGAAAACTTTTTTAAATAAAACGATATTTTAAAGCACTTAACATTTCAAATTTCCTAATAATTATTGTGATTACCTAAAACATACTCAGTCACTTGTTTTGAGTGAAGGAGAAGGGAGACTGTCATATGCTGGCTTAATTTTCAGGTAAACTTTTCATTGAAATACAACATTAACACAGAAAAATGCTTAAATCCTGTATGTACAGTTCACTAAGGTTTCACAAAGTGAACACACATTTATAACCACCCAAACCAAGAAGAACACCACACCTCCAGAAGTCCCCTTTGGGCTTCCCTCCAATCACTCCCCACAACCAAAATGCAGCCATTATCCTAATTCATATCACCACTGATGAGTTTTGCCAGTCTCTGAACTTTATAATTTACAAATATAAATTCTATTTATAAATCACGTAGAATTACCCTTTTGTATCTGGCTTCCTGTGCTCTTTGTGAGATTCATCTATGTTGCTGAGTATAGTACTAGGTCATTTACTCTCACTGCTGCATAGTATTCCATTAAGCACATATACCAGAATTTATTTATCCATTCTACTGTTGATAGACATTTAGGTTAATACTAGGTTTTGGCTTTTACAAATAGTACAGTTATAAAGATTCTTAGAAATGTCTTTTGGTATGCATATATATTACTACTGGGAATATACCTGAAAGTGAAATTGCTGAATGAAGAGTATGAATATGTTGAGATTTAATAAATACTGCCATATAGTTTTCCAGTTATATAAACTTACATTTCCACCAGCAGTGTATGAGAGTTTCTGTTGCTCCACATCCTCACCAACAATTGGTGTTGTCAGTCTTAATAGTTTTAACTATTTTACTGGATTTGTACTAATATTTAATTGTAGTTTGAATATTCATAATAACTAATGAGGTTAAGTACTTTTTCATGTTTAGTGGCTACTTATTTTCTTTCCTTTTTTTTTTTCAGAGACAGAGTCTCACTCTGTTGCCCAGGCTGGAGTGCAGTGGCACGATCTCAACTCACTGCAACCTCTGCCTCCGGGGTACAGGTGATTCTCCTGCATCAGCTTCCCAGATAGCTGGGATTACAGGCATGCACCAATACCCCCGGCTAATTTTTTTTTGTATTTTTAGTAGAGACGGGGTTTTACCATGTTGGCCAGGCTGATCTTGAACTCCTGACCTCAGGTGATCTGCTCACCTAGGCCTCCCAAAGTGCTGGGATTACGGGTGTGAGCCACCATGCCCAGCCGCTATTTGATTATCTTTTGCGAAGTACTTGCTGCAGTCTCTGATTGTCTTTTTCTTACCAATTTGTACAAGTTATTTATATATTCTGTCATATAAACACTGTAAATATCTTCTAATCTGTACCTTGCCTTTTGACTGCAAATGACACTTTTTAAACATCTCGCTTTGTCACATAGGCTGGAATACAGTGGCATGATCACAGCCCACTCAATGCTACCTAAAACTCCTAGACTCAAGGAAGCTTCCCCTGCCTCAGCCTCTTAAGTAGCTGGAATTAAAGGCATAAGCCACTGTGCCCAGCCAATGGCATCTTCTGATGAAGAGAGAGTCACAATTTGACTGTAGTCCAATTTATATGTATTTTCCTTGACTTTTATCTGATTTTCTTTGAGACAGACTTTCGCTCTTGTTGCCCAGGCTGGAGTGCAATGGTGCGATCTCAGCTCACCACAACCTCCGCCTCCTGGGTTCAAGGGATTCTCCTGCCTCAGCCTCCCAAGTAGCTGGGATTACAGGTGCCCACCACCATGCCTGGCTAATTTTTTATGTTTTTAGTAGAGAGAAGATTTCTCCATGTTAGTCAGGGTGGTCTCAAACTCCCAACCTCAGGTGATCCACTCGCCTCGGCCTCTCAAAGTGCTGGTATTACAGGTGTAAGCCACCGTGCCCGGTCTTTATCTGATTTCTTGTGTCCCGTTGGAAAAAAAAATTGCCTACCTGAAGGTCATACAAATATTCTATTTCTTTACTTTTCTCTTCTCTTTTCTTTTCCCCTCCCTCCCTCCTTCCTTCCTTCCTTTCTTCCTCCCTCTCTCTTTCTTTCATTGTAGAGATGGGGTCTCACTATGTTGCCCAGGCTGGTCTCAAATTCCTGGGCTCAAGCAATCTACCACCTCGGCCTCCCAAAATGCTAGGATTATAGGCATGAGCCACCATGCCTGGCCCCTATATTTCTTCTAAGCAGTATATAGTTGGTTTTGTCTTTTCACATCCAATATGACAATCTTATTTTTGTACATCAAACCATTGTCATTTAAATGCCAATACTTTTGAGTTTATATTACCATTTGCTGTTTCCTATTTTATATCATTTTGGATTGAGGAAGTATTTTTTATTCTATTTCTCCCCTCCATAAGTTTGATTTCTTTTTTTTTTTCTTTTTTTTTGGTGAGACAGGGTCTTGTTCTGTCTCCTTGACCAGAGTGCAATGGTGTGATCACAGTCCACTGCAGCCTCAACCTCCCCAGCTCAAGCAATCTTCCCGCCTCACAAACAGCTGAGACTACAGGTGCACACCACCACACCCAGCTAATTTTTTAATTTTTTGTAGAGACAAGGTCTCACTATGTTGCCAGGGTTGTCTCTAACTTCTGAGCTCAAGCAATCCTCCTACCTCAGCCTCCCAAAGTGCTGGGATTATAGGCATGAGCACCATGCCCATCATCTTATGCTTCTTTCCTATATCTTCTATTCTCTTCTCTCTCTGTGCTTCAGGCTGAATATCTTCTACTGACTTAAATTCCGGTATACTAATCTTCTCTTCAACTATGTCCAATCTAATGTTAACCTAATCTAATGAGTTCTTAAGTTCAGTCATTATAATTTTAGTTCCAGGGTTACTAATTCTTTTTCTTTTTTTTTTTTCGAGATGGGGTCTCACTCTGTTACCCAGGCTGGAGTGCAGTGGCATGATCTCGGCTCACTACAAGCTTCACCTCCCAGGTTCACACCATTCTCCTGCCTCAGCCTCCTGAGTAGCTGGTACTATAGGTACCCGCCACCACGCCTGGCTAATTTTTTGTATTTTTAGTGGAGACGGGGTTTCACTGTGTTAGCCAGGATGGTCTCGATCTCCTGACCTCGTGATCCACCCACCTTGGCCTTCCAAAGTGCTGGGATTACAGGTGTGAGCCACTGCACCCGACCACTAATTCTTTTTTTTTTTTTTATAGATTCCAGTTCTCTAATGAAATTCTTCATCTTGCTATTTTTTATTTTAATCATAGTTCTTTAAACACTATGATAACTCCAATATCTAGGTTACCTATGAATCTGTTTTACTTTCCCTTGGTTTAGTTTCTAGATATGTCTAGCAATATCTGACTGAATTATGAACACTGTGTATGAAACACTGAAGTGACCTCGGATTATATTTGATCAGAAAGGATTCACCTGGTTGGGTGCTGTGGCTCACTCCTATAATCCCAGCACTTTGGGAGGCTGAGGCAGATGGATCACCTGAGTCCAGGAGTTTGAGACCAGCCTGGGGAACACGGGGAAACCCCATCTCTACAAAAAATACAAAAATTAGCTGGGCATGGTGGCACATACCTGTAGTTCTAGCTACTCAGACAGCCAAGGTGGGAGGATCACTAGAGCCTGGGAAGCTGAGGACACAAGTAGCCATGAGCATGCCACTGCACTCCAGACTGGGCAGGAAAGCGAGACCCTATCTTAAAAAATAATAACAATTTAAAAAAAAAGGATTCATCTTATGTTTTGTCAACAGCTCATCTACTCTGGAATTAAACTGACTTAATACTGGCCTACAGTTTTGTAAGCTTACTATACCTTTGATGTGCCTTCATTTCAAGAGTATAATTCTCCGGGGAGCCTAATCACCAAGAGCTTAGAATTTTTTTTTTTTTTTTTTTTTTGAGACCGTCTCGCTCTGTTACCCAGGCTGGAGTACAATGGTGTGCAATCTTGACTCACTGCAACCTCTGCCTTTGCTTGCAATTCAAGCGATTCTCCTGCCTCAGCTACCGGAGTAGCTGGGATTTTTCACAGAGACGGAGTTTCACCATGTTGGCCAGGCTGGTCTCAAACTTCTTACCTCAAGTGATCCACCCACCTTGGCCTCCCAAAATGCTCAGATTACAGGCATGAGACACCGCACCCAGCCAGGCTTGGATGGTTCTCAAGACCCAACCTCCTTGACAGAGTCTAAACTCCAATTTTTGTCCCCGACCCCAGCACCATAAGACTGTCAAAAGTCTGCTCTGCCTTCCAGCTACTTTTTTTTTTTTTAAACACTTCTTTAGCCCCTTTTACATAGCTACAATAAGTAATTGCCTTATGGGGGAAAATCTGAGTGTTAGGATTACTTTTCTTTCTTTTTTAAGTAATTATTACTGTAGTTTTTTTTGTTTTGTGTTGTTTTGTTTTGAGACAGAGTCTTACTGTATTGCACCCAGGCTGGAGTACAGTGACACAATCTTGGCTCACTGCAAACTCCACCTCCCGGGTTCAAGTGATTCTCGTGCCTCAGCCTCCCAAGTAGCTGAGATTATAGGAGTGTGCCACCACACCTGGCTCATTTTTGTATTTTTTAGTAGAGACACGGTTTTGCCATGTTGGCCAGGCTGGTCTTGAACTCCTGACCCCAGGTGATCCACCTGCCTCAGCCTCCCAGAGTGCTGGGATTACAGGCGTGAGCCACCCTGCCCGGCCAATTAATTATTATTATTTTTTTTTTTGGTGGAGTCTCACTCTGTCACCCAGGCTGGTGTGCAGTAGCATGATCTCGGCTCACTGCAAGCTCAGCCTCCCGGGTTCACGCCATTTTCTTGCCTCAGCCTCCCGAGTAGCTGGGACTACAGGCAACCGCCACCACGCCCAGCTAATTTCTTGTATTTTTAGTAGAGACAGGGTTTCACCGTGTTAGCCAGGATGGTCTCGATCACCTGATCTCACGATCCACCCGCCTTGGCCTCCCAAAGTGCTGGGATTACAGGCCTGAGCCATCGCGCCCAGCCTCCAATTAATTATTCTTAATTCAGAAAAATTATAGATATTTACACGTACAACATGATGTTTTGAAATATGTAGGCCAGGTGCGGTGGCCCATGCCTATAATCCCGGCACTTTGGGATGCCGAGGAGGGTAGATCACCTGTCAGGAGGTCGTGACCATCCTGGACAACATGGCAAAACCCTGTCTCTACTAAAACTACAAAAATTAGCTGGGTGTGGTGGTACATACCTGTAATCCCAGCTACTCAGGAGGCTGAGGCAGGAGAATCACTTGTACCCGGGAGGCAGAGGTTGCAGTGAGCCGAGATCACGCAGCATTCCAGCCTGGGTGACAGAGCAAGACTCCGTCTCAAAAAAAAATCTGTATACACCATGGAATGACTAAATCAAGCTAATTAACATATACATTACCTCACATACCTGTTTTTTGTGTCAAGAACTTAATAACTACTATCTTAGCAATTTTTTTTTTTTTTTTTTTGAGAAGGAGTTTTGCTTGTCACCCAGGCTGGAGTGCAATGGCGCAATCTTGGCTGACTGCAACCTCCGCCTCCTGGGTTCAACCAATTCTCCTACCTCAGTCTCCATAGTAGCTGGGACTACAGATGCCCACCACCACGCCTGACTAATTTTTGTATTTTTAGTAGAGACGAGGTTTCAACATGTTGGCCAGGCTGGTCTTGAACTCCTGACCTTAGGTGATCCAACCGCCTCGGCCTCCCAAAGTACTGGGATTACAGGCGTGAGCCACCGTGCCAAGCCACAATTTTCAAGAATACATTGTTACTAACTATAGGCTTACTTGGCTGGGTGCTGTGGCTCACATCTGTAATCCCAGCACTTTGGGAGGTTGAGGTGTGAGGATCACGAGGTCAGGAGTTCAAGACCAGACTGGCCAACATGGTGGAATCCCATCTCTTCCAAAACTACAAAAATTAGCTGGGTGTGGTGGCACGTGCCTGTAATCCCAGCTACTCAGGAGGCTGAATGTGAAGAACTGCTTGAACCTGGCAGGCGAGGCTGTAGTGAACTGAGGTTGCACTCCAGCCTGGGCGACAGAGCGAGACTCCGTCTTAAAATAAAAAAAAACTATCTCAAGAACAGAAAACCAAACACCGCATGTTCTCACTCATAGGTGGGAATTGAACAATGAGAACTCTTGGACACAGGAAGGGGATCATCACACACAGGGACCTGTTGTGGGGTCAGGGGAGGGGGAAGGGATAGCATTAGGAGATATACCTAATGTAAATGACAAGTTAATGGGTGCAGCACACCAACATGGCACATGTATACATATGTAACAAACCTGCACGTTGTACACATGTACCCGAGAACTTAAAGTATAAAAAGAAAAACAACAACTATAGGCTTACTTTTCTTAACTTCCCTACTCTCTAGGATCTTGGTCCTTGAAATCAAGATTTCACTGGTAACCCAGAATTTTAATTTTTGTCTTCCCATCTAAATAAATTTTCTGAGAGCCCAGTGGTTTCTCCGATTCTTAGCAGCTGCCCTCTGCCCAGCTTCTTCTACCCCCTATGTAGCAAGGTACAGCAAATGCCTGAAGGGAAAACTCAGTGAGCTTCCCTTCTCTCCAGGATCTTGGCACCTCAAATCTTGCTTGCTTTGGCAGCTATCTAATGCTTTCAAACAAATTCTTTTTACTGTACTTTATCCAGCTTTTCTGGGAGTTCTCAGCATGACTATTGGTCTGCTACAAGCAAAAGTAGAAGCCTGCTGTTCTCCACTCATTTAAATTTATTTTGTATGGGCAATACACTGAAAATAGGTACTCATTCTCTCTTCGCAACCTTTCCAAACATTCAGTCTTTTTTTTTTCTTTTTAAGAAATTTGGTATTATAACAATATCGAATCTAAATTGAGACTGTGAATAATACATTTCTTCATTGAATATGTTTAAAAACATTGGATGTTTTAAAATTTTGAGCAAATGTAGTGAAGATACAGGCTTTAAATTCGATTGTCATGGTTACCTGCTGTGGTTTACGTTAACCTGCACTTATTCTGAAAATCTACTATAATCTCATGGCCAATTAAAACTGTATTGCTATAATGTAAAATGCCTCCGAAGCACTTGAACTCAGGTAGAGAGAGGAGCACATACCGTATTCTAGTATCTAACAATTCCTTAATCATTGCCACAACTTCATCATCTTCTTCAGATCCTAGAAATAATTACATATAAAAACATCAAGAGTAGAAATTTTATAGCCATGCAAGTACAAGTATTAAAACAGAATGATTTTAACTACATGGTTCATTAAAAACATAAAACTATAGAACATGTAACTTGGTATGGAGATATATTTTGGGAAACTGAAGAGAAAATCATTCATGTGATTCTCTGAAGAAAAATTTGGGAATACCGATCAACTCAACATTTGGTGATAAAGATGAGTACACTAAAACATCTTGGTATACTAATGATGTTAGGGTTTGAAATTTTAAGCCAGTAAATATGCAGATGTTCTCTGTTCTCAAGGATTGAAAGTATCAGAGAAAAGAAACTGAATTTTGATGGAAACTTTGAGACAAAAAGGCACACCTATTTTGCAAGTTAAGTTACATCGTCAGTTTCTCAACTTACTGGTTTTCAAAATGTCAACCATACTAAATATAGATGTAAGCCTTCTGGAAATTTCTGAAATGTTTTTTTTTTTTCTTCTTGAGACAGCGTTTCACTCTGTTGCCCTGTCAGGAGTGCAGTGGTGTGATCACAGCTCACTGCAACCTCAACCTCCTGGGCTCAAGCAGTCCTGCCTCAGTCTCCCAAGTAGTCTGGGACCACAGGTGTGAGCCACCACACCCAGGCAATTTTTTTTATTTTCTGTAGAGATGGGGTCTCGCCATGTTGCTGATATGGTTTGGCTGTGTCCCCAGTCAAATCTCATCTTGAACTGTAGTTCCCATAATCCCTATGTGTTGTGGAAGGGAGCTGGTGGGAGGTAATTGAATCATGGGGATGGTTACCCTCATGCTGTTCGCGTGATAGTGAGTGAGTTCTCACGAGATCTGATGGTTTTATAAGGAACTTTTCTCCCTTTTGCTTGGCACTTCTCCTTGTTGCCACCATGTGAAGACTCACATGTTTGCTTCCCCTTCCGCCATGATTGTAACTTTCCTAAGGCCTCCCCAGCTATGCTGAACTGTGAGTCAATTAAACCTCTTTCCTTTATAAATTACCCAGTCTCAGGTATGTCTTTATCAGCAGTGTGAGAACAGACTAAACCAGTTGCCCAAGATGATCTTCAACCCCTGGGCTCAAATGATCCTACTGCCTCGGTCCCCCAAAGTACTGAGATTACAGGCATGAGCCATGCCAGGCCTCTGAAATGTTCTACACATCTTCTGAGCAAAAAGTTAGCCTTTGAGAAAACCAAAAATGTAGAGATTTCATATCACATTATAACAAACACTAGATTCTGGCAACCCCTAAAATTAAATTACATTGAGTTTTTAAAGAAAAGAAATAAAACATGGCTTATGCCTGTAATCCCAGCACTTTGGGAGGCTGAAGTAGGCACATCACTTGAGGTCAGGAGTTCCAGACCAGCCTGGCCAATATGGCAAAACCCTGTCTTTACTAAAAATACAAAAATTAGCCAGGTGTGGTGGTGGGTGTTTGTCATCCCAGCTACTCAGGAGGCTGACAGGAGAATCACTTGGACCCAGATGGCGGAGATTGCAGTGAGCTAAGATTGCACTACTGTATTCTAGCCTGGCTGACAGAGCAAGACTCTATCTCAAAAAAAAAAAAAAGAAAGAAAGAAAGAAAGAAAAGAAAAATTTAAAAATTTAAAAGGAAAAGAAAACACACAAAAGGTGGTTCCCACCTATAATCCCAGCACTTTGGGAGGCTGAGGCAGGCAGACCACCTGAGGTCAGGAGTTCAAGACCAGACTGGCCAACATGGTGAAACCCTGTTTCTACCAAAAATACAAAAATTAGCTGGACGTGGTGGCACATGCCCGTAATCCCAGCAACTTGGGAGGCTGAGGCAGGAGAATTGCTTGAACCCAGGAGGTGGAAGTTGCAGTGAGCCGAGATTGCACCACTGCACTCCAGCCTGGGCAACAGAGTGAGACTCCACCTCAAAAAAATAAATAAATAAATAAATAAATAAATTTGTTGGGGGAAAAAAGCACAAAAGCTAAAACTGTCTTAGATCAGTAAACCTAAATTCCACTTCCCTACCATCCCTTCCATAGACAATCACTATCATGAGTTAGGTTTATATCTTCCCAGCATGTGTTTACATTTACATGTATAAATTAACACAAATGAGATCATACTATACATACTATTCTATATCTTGCTCTTTTCTATGTAAAATATCTGGAAGGTCATTCCCCATTGGCATATACAAATATGTCTCAATAAAATAGGTACACAGTAACTTTTATATAGATTTGTCTTTGGCCAGTGTCTTATTTCAGTTGTTTATACAGTTTGCTGCTATTTCTAACAATCCTGCAACATACTTGCTTATATAAATATATATCAAAAGGCCGGGCTCAGTGGCTCACACCTGTAATCCCAGCACCTTGGGAGGCCAAGGTGGGCAGATCACTTGAGGTCAGGAGTTCAAGACCAGCCTGGTCAACATGGTGAAATCCCATCTCCACTAAAAATACAAAAATTAGCCGGGAGTGGTTGCGGGTGCCTGTAATTCCAGCTACTCCAGAGGCTGAGGCAGGAGAATCACTTGAACCCAGGAGTCGGAGGTTGCAGTGAGCTGAGATCACGCCACTGCGCTTCAGCCTGGGTGAAAGAGTGAAACTCCGTCTCAAAAAAAAAAAAAAAAACACACACACACACACACACACATATACATCAATGTACTTTTGCAATTATATTTATGAGATAAATTCCTACTGGTGGGATATTTCAGTAAACAGGCTTGTGCTTTTTTTTTTTTTTTTTTTTTGACAGAGTTTCACTCTTTTTGCCCAGGCTGGAGTGCAATGGCAAAACGTCAGCTCAATGCAACCTCGGCCTCACAGGTTCAAGTGATTCTCCTGCCTCAGCCTCCTAAGTAGTCAGGATTACAGGTACCTGCTACCACACCTGGCTAATTTTTGTATTTTTAGGGGGGTTATGCAATGTTGGCCAGGCTGGTCTCGAACTCCTGACCTCAGGTGATCCACCCGCCTTGGCCTCCCAAAGTGCTGGGATTACAGGCATGAGCCACCGCGCCTGGCCTAGCTTGTGCATTTTTAATGTTAGTGGATATAGTCAAATTACTCTAAAAAAGTTATAAGGTTTACATATGGATCCATAAAGAACACACGTAACTGTTTCATGTAGTACTAAAAATTTTCATAAATGGTACATTTATAAATGTACATACATTTGAATTTTCCTTTTTCACTTAATATTTTCTTTTTTATGTTTCTATGTTGCTATCTCCCAATCTAGTTCATTCCTTTTAACTGCTGGTATAGTTAAAAAATATTTCAGTGAACATGTTTCTACATGTTGCCTTGTGCATATCTCTAAGACTCTTAAGATATACATCTAAAAATATATCTGTATCACCTAAAGATAATTATACAAATGTTTCTGCATGTCATAGTCTACTTAGTGTTGCTATAAAGGAATACCTGAGACTGTGTAATTTATAAAGAAAAAAATGTTTATTTGGTTGATTCTGATGTCTAGAAAAGTTGAAGACTTGGCATCTGGTGAGGGCCTCAAGCTGCTTCCCCTCATGGAAGAAGGGAAGCTGGCCCACGCAGAGATCACATGGTGAGACAGGAAGGAGATGGTCTTAGTGGGACTCTTCTTAGCACTCAGCTCTCAAAAGAAGTAATAGAGTAAGATCTCACTCCCCTCCCCTCCTACCCCCGGCTTTTCCAGAGGGCATTCATCTACTATTGAGGGATCCATCTCCATGACCCACTCACCTCCCATTAGACTCTACCTCCAACACTGGGGATCAAATTTTTTTTTTTTTTTTTTTTTTTTTTTTTTGAGACGGAGTCTTGCTCTGTAGCCCGGGCTGGAGTGCAGTGGCCGGATCTCAGCTCACTGCAAGCTCCGCCTCCCGGGTTTACGCCATTCTCCTGCCTCAGCCTCCGGAGTAGCTGGGACTACAGGCGCCCGCCACCTCGCCCGGCTAGTTTTTTGTATTTTTTAGTAGAGACGGGGTTTCACGGTGTTAGCCAGGATGGTCTCGATCTCCTGACCTCGTGATCCGCCCGTCTCGGCCTCCCAAAGTGCTGGGATTACAGGCTTGAGCCACCGCGCCCGGCCTTGGGGATCAAATTTTGGCATGAGATTTGGAGGGGACAAACGTAGAAACTATAGCAGTGTATATATGTGTGTATGCACATATAAATGTTTTTGTAGTCAATGCGTATTAACATTGATGAACTACTAGAACTAATGAGTGCTAATCTTGACAGATATAAGATCAATATACAAAAATCAACAGTATTCCTATATCCAACACCCCAAATTAGAAAACATTATTTTAAAACATACAGGGCCGAGTGAGGTGGTTCACACCCATAATCCCAGCACCTCGGCAGGCCAAGGCAGGCGAATCACCTGAGGTCAGGAGTTCGAGAGCAGCCTGGCCAACATGGCGAAACCCCATCTCTACTAAAAATACAAAAATCAGTCGGGCGTGGTGGTGGGCGCCTGTAATCCCAGCTGCTCAGGAGGCTGAGGCAGGAGAATCACTTGAACCTGGGAGGCAGAGGTTGCAGTGAACCGAGATCACACCATCGCTCTCCAGCCTGGGCAACAAAGACCATGTCTCAAAAACCAAAAAGCAGATACAGGCAGCATGGTAGAGTGGTTAAAAGCATTAACGCTGGAGCCAGATTGCCCAAAGTTTGTATCTATCTCTGCCACTTACTACCTGTGTGACCTTGAGCAAATTACTCAACCATTCAATGCCTCAGTTTTCTCATGTGTTAAATGTGATAACAGTTCCTATCTGATAAGGTTACTTTAAGAATTAAGTGAGTTTATACTTGTAAAGTGCTTAGAATTGTGCCTGAAATATCGTAATCAGTATATCTAAGTGCTTACTAAACAAAATAAGAACCTTTATGACAACAAAACCTATATGGTACCTAGAACTAACATGAGCTCATACCAAGAAAAGAACATAAGTCTCAAGTAAATGGGAAAATTTGGGGATGAAAAAATATCAATGTTGAAGAAATGTTAATTCTCCCAAATTTAATCTATAAATTTAATGCAACTTCAACCAAGCTCTTGACATGGTTTTTCAGAGACTTTACAAGATGATCAATACATTTACAAGGAAGAATAAAGTGACCAGACCACCTGAAAGTTTTTTTTATTGAGGAACTTTTTTTTCCAGATATTATCATATACTATGCTAATTGTTACAGAGATACTGTAATTAAAACTCTGTATGTTATTAAAACAGGAAGAGGGCAAAAAGACCACAGGGACAAAAAACATCTTAGAAAAAGACCCATGTATAATATTATAAATTCATGAGGAAAGACTGGGATACTTGTTTAGCTATTTAGAAAAAGATGAAATTATATTTTAAACTATACAGAAAAACAAATCCCACAGTGATTAAATATGTAGGTGTAAAAAATAAAACTTTAAAAAACAAAAATACATACACATATGACAATATCTTTGTGATAGAGAAAGGAAAAACTTCATCAACAACAAATACAACAGTATCAGCAAATACTTATGGAGCTTTATGTATAGTCACTCTTCCAAGTGCTTTACACTAAATAACTTACTAAAACAAGGTACAAAAGGCACAAACCACAAAGGAAAAAGATGAACAAATGTAACCACATTAAAATGAAAATTTTCTGTATGACAAAAGACATCATAAACAAAATGCAAAGTTAAGTCACAGTTAGGGAGATATCATTTGCTAAGAAAATACCTAACAAAGAATTAATATTCAGAATATTTATATATATATACAGAGAGAATGAGACCTTTTTTTTTTTTTTTAAGAGATATGGCCTAGTTCTATCAACCAAGATGGAGTGTACTGGCGTGAACATGGCTCACTGCAGCCTCAGCCTCCTGGGCTCAAGCGATCTTCCCACCTCAGCTTGTCAAGTAGGAGGGACTACATGCACGCATCACCATGCCCAGCTAATTTTTGTGTTTTTTTGTAAAGACAGGGTTTCGCCACATTGCCCAGGCTAGTCTCAAGTTTCTTTTTTTTTTTTTTTTTTTTTTTTGAGACGGAGTCTTGCTCTGTCACCCAGGCTGGAGTGCAGTGGCCGGATCTCAGCTCACTGCAAGCTCCGCCTCCTGGGTTTACGCCATTCTCCTGCCTCAGCCTCCCGAGTAGCTGGGACTACAGGCGCCCGCCACCTCGCCCGGCTAGTTTTTTTGTATTTTTTTTTTTAGTAGAGACGGGGTTTCACCGTGTTAGCCGGGATGGTCTCTCGATCTCCTGACCTCGTGATCCGCCCGTCTCGGCCTCCCAAAGTGCTGGGATTACAGGCTTGAGCCACCGCGCCCGGCCTCAAGTTTCTGAGCTCACAATCTGCCGCCTTCACTTCCCCAAGTGCTAAAATCACAGGTGTGGGGCATGGTGTCCAGCCCAGAATATTTTTTAAAAACCTGCTTAAATAAATATAAAAAATACATATGGGCCAGGTGGCGGTGGTTCATGCTTATAATCTCAGTACCTTGGAATGCTGAGGCAGGAGGATCACTTGAGGCCAGGAATTTGAGACCAGCCTGGGCAACATAACAAGATCTCATCTCCACAAAAAAATTTTTTTTTTTTTTTTTTGGGACGGAGTCTTGCTCTGTCACCAGGCTAGAGTGCAGTGGTGCGATCTCAGCTCACTGCAACCTCTGCCTCCCGAGTTCAAGCGATTCTCCTGCCTCAGCCTCCTAAGTAGTTGGGACTACAGGAGCGTGCCACCATGCCCAGCAGATTTTTGTATTTTTAGCAGAGATGGGGTTTTACCATGTTGGCTAGGATAGTCTCAATCTCTTAACCTCATGATGTGCCCACCTTGGCCTCCCGAAGTGCTGGGATTATAGGCGTGAGCCACTGTGCCAGGCCTCTACAAAAAAAAAAATTATTTATTTTTTTTTTATTTTATTTTTTTTTTTTGAGATGGAGTCTCACCCTGTCGCCCGGGTTGGAGTGCAGTGGCACAATCTTGGCTCAATGTAACCTCCACCTCCCAGATTCAAGCAATTCTCCTGACCCAGCCTCCTGAGTAGCTGGGATTACAGGCACATGCCACCATGCCTGGCTAATTTTTGTATTCTTGGTAGAGATGGGGTTTCACCATGTTGGTCAAGCTTGCCTCAAACTCCTGACCTCAAGATCTGCCCACCTTGGCCTCCCAAAGTACTGGGATTACAGGCGTGAGCCACCATGCCTGGCCAAAAAATTTTAAAAATAAAAACATTAAACAGGCATGGTGGCAGGAGTCTATAATCCCAGCTACTTGGGAGATGGAGGCAGGAGGACTGCTTAAGCCTGGGAAGCTGAGGATGTAGTGAGCCATGATCATGCCACTGCACTCCACCTTGGGTGACACAGCAGGTCACTGTCTCCAAAAAATAAAAAGACACGTGACTCAATTTTGTTTTTAAGTAGAAAAGATAAAAATAGAAAATTTACTGACAAGAAAAGTAAATGGCCAATAAACATATGAAACTCTTCACACTCAGTATTAATCAAGGAAATGCAATTAAAACAAGATACTGGCTAGGCGCAGTGGCTCATGCCTGTAATCCCAGCGCTTTGGGAGGCTGAGGCAAATGGATCACGAGGTCAGGAGTTCGAGACCAGCCTGGCCAACATGGTGAAACCCCGTCTCTGCTAAAAATAGAAAAATTAGTTGCGCATGGTGGCAGGTACCTGTAATCCCAGCTATTCGGGAGGCTGAGGCAGGAGAATCGCTTGAACCCGGGAGGTGGAGGTTGTGGTGAGCCGAGATCATGCCATTGCAGCACTCCAGCCTGGGCAAGAAGAGTGAAACTCTGTCTCAAAAAAAAAAAACAAACAACAACAACAAAAAAAACAAGGTACCATTGTATACCCAACATACAGGTTAAAAAAAAGAAAGAAAAAGAGAGACACTAAATGATGACAAAGATCAAAGATGTAAGAACACTGAAATTCTTACAATATACTGCTAATGTGCACTTAATTAGATCAACATATGATATAGCAATTCCACTTTTAGGAACATAGCCTAAAGAAGCTCTCAGCCAGGCATGGTGGCTCATGCCTGTAATCCTAGTACTTTGGAAGGTCAAGGTGGGTGGATCCACCTGAGGTCAGGAGTTTGGGATCAGCTTGGCCAACGTGGCAAAACCCCGTCTCTACTAAAAATACAAAAATTAGCTGGGTGTGAAGGTGCATGCCTATAATCCCAGACACTCAGGAGGCTAAGGCAGGAGAATTGCTTGAACCTGGGAAGCGGAGGCTGCAATGAGCTGAGATCATGCCACTGCACTCCAGTCTGGATGACAGAGCAAGACTCTGTCTCAAAAATAAATAAAAATAAGGCCGGGTGCAGTGGCTCATGCCTGTAATCCCAGCACTTTGGGAGGCCGAGGCAGGTGAATTACGAGGTCCAGAGTTCAAGACCAGACTGGCCAACATGGTGAAACTCCGTCTCTACTAAAAATACAAAAATTAGCCAGGCATGGTGGTGGGCGCCTGTAATACCAGCTACTTGGGAGGCTGAGGCAGGAGAATCACCTGAACCCGGGAGGCAGAGGTTGCAGTGAGCTGAGATCATGCCACTGCACTCCAGCCTGGGCAACAGAGCAAGACTCCATCTCCAAAAATAAATAAAAATAAACAAACAAACAAACAAAGAAGCTCTCCACATATTCACAAACAGACTTGCATAAGGATGCGCACTATAGAGATGTTTTCAATAAAAAATTAGTATAAAACTTTACTTGAACATAAAGGAACAAATTAACTATACCTTATTCCTATAATGAAATGCTATCCAGCACGTAAGATGAGTAAACTAGAACTATATTTTTTGAAATGGATATATTTCAAAAATATCATACTTAGTGAAAAAGGCAATTAGAAAGTATAACACAAGATATTTAAGGTTGGACACAGTGGTTCATGCCTATAATCCCAGCATTTTGAGAGGTTGAGTCCAGCAGAACACCTGAGGTCAGGAGTTCAAGACCAGCCTGACAAACATGATGAAATCACCTCTACTAAAAATACAAAAATTAGCTGGGTGTGGTGGTGCATACCTGTAATCCCAGCTATTTGGGAGGCTGAAGCATGAGAAACACTTGAACCTGGGAGGTGGAGGTTGCAGTGAGCAGAGATCGCGTCACTGCACTCCAACCTGGGTGACAAGAGTAAGAGTCTGTCTCTTAAAAAAAAAAAAAAAAACAGATATTTAAAACTTAAGAACAAAAACTAATACTATATATTCCCTGCAGAGACTTACATGTATAGTATAAAACAAACCAAGTTTCACATATCTCTGAAACTAGAGAGGGAAAAGGGATGGGGGTATAGTGGTTTTAGCTGTTTCTTTTTTTATTTACTTTATGCTCTAGAATCTGACACTGTATGTTTAATATTTTATTTTAAATGAGTCTAAAGCAACTGTGGCAAAAGATAACATTTGTTTTGTTTTTCCCAAAAGCCCATTCTGTAATTTAATTAACATTTGTTAGATATGAGTGGAGGGCAAATTGGTAAACATGATATTATTTTCTGCATGTTTGAAAATTTTTGTAATTGAAAATTTTGGTTTTATATAGTAATGCCAATTTATACACAAGTTTTCAAAATGATATATAAATGTGCAGAGCTAAATATATTAAATGATAGAATTCTAGGTTCCTATGACTTCTAAAATCAAGGTAAATGTGAGGAAAATAGAAAAGTCTAAAAAAAGGACAAATTTTAATTACTCAATACAACATGTTACCTGCTTCTCCTGAAGGTGTTTCCTCAGTAACTAGGGGTAAGCCAGATGCAAAGAAGTCCATGATTGTTGCATAAATATCTGGTTTCAGTAAATTCCAGTCTAAATCTTCATTTTCCTATAAACATTTAAAGGAAAATGCTGTATTTGCAGGCAAGGGCAGAGACCCATACAGAACGCTACCTTATACCTCTTTTTTTTTTTTTTTTCTGAGGTGGAGTCTCACTCTGTTGCTCAGACTGGATGGAGTGCAGTGGCATGATCTTGACTCACTGCAACCTCCACCTCCTGGGTTCAAGCAATTCTCCTGCCTCAGCCTCCCAAGTAGCTGGGACTACAGGTGTGTGCCACCACAGCTGGCTAATTTTTTGTAGTTTTAGCAGAGATGAGGTTTCACCATGTTAGCCAGGATGGTCTCAATCTCCTGACCTTGTGATCCGCCTACCCCGGCCTCCCAAAGTGCTGGGATTACAGGCGTGAGCCACTGCGCCCAGCCCCCTTATACCTCTTAAGAATCTTTTCCTGGCCAGGTGTCGTAGTTCATGTCTAATCCCAACATTTTGGGAAGCTGAGGCAGGAGGATAGCTTGAGTCCAAGAGTTCAAGACTAGCCTGAGCAACACAGTGAGACTTCATCTCTTTTCATATTTTTAAAAATAATAAATAAATGGAAAGGAAGAAAGAAAAAAGAGAGAAAAGAAGCAGAAAAAAGGAAAGGAGAAGAAAGGCAAGCAGGCGGGCGAAGGGAAGGGGAAGGGAAAAGGGAAAGGGAAAAGAAAAGAGATAAAAATAAGAAAAGAAAAGAGTAAAGGAAAAGAAAAAATATCTTTTCCTATATACACACTATACCTACGCAATGGCAACCACTTCTGGAGAATGTATATTAGCTCCACATCTTAAAGGGTCCTGTTTAAATAAATTTCAGAAGATAAAATCTTAAAGATTCCCCCATTCATTAACTAATTCATTCACTTATCAAACTTCCGTTGTTCTAATTTGATTTAAATGATTAAAAGACATTTTTCGTGCCGGGCACGGTGGCTCACGCCTGTAATCCCAGCACTTTGGGAGGCCGAGGCGGGCGGATCACAAGGTCAGGAGATCGAGACCACGGTGACACCCCGTCTCTACTAAAAATACAAAAAATTAGCCAGGCGCGGTTGTGGGCGCCTGTAGTCCCAGCTACTCGGGAGGCTGAGGCAGGAGAATGGCGTGAACCCGGGAGGCGGAGCTTGCAGTGAGCCGAGATCGCGCCACTGCACTCCAGCCTGGGCGACAGAGCGAGACTCCGTCTCAAAAAAAAAAAAAAAGACATTTTTCGTGATGTGAAAACAAAATATTAAATGGATTTTCTGTCTTTAAAGAGGATGATAAAGAGATACCCATTCTCTTAAAAAAATAGGATGTAATTGCTTGACCAAGTATACAGAACAGTCTACAACTATTCAAAAAATTTACTTACATATATTACTTAAAGGGTATGAAAGAAATTTGGCTGGGCGTGGTGGCCCACGCCTATAATCTCAGCACTTTGGGAGGCTGAGGCAGGTGGATCGCCCAAGGTCAGGAGTTTGAGACCAGCCTGGCCAACATAGTGAAACCCCGTCTCTACTAATAATACAAAAATTAGCCAGGCGTGGTGGCAGAGGCCTGTAATCCCAGCTACTCCGGAGGCTGAGGAAGGAGAATCGCTTGAACTTGGGAGCCAGAGGTTGCAGTGAGCCGAGATCACGCCACTGCCCTCCAGCCTGGGCGACAGAGTGAGACTCCGTCTCAAAAGAAAAAAGAAACAATATAGAGATAGTACATAAAAGGTGACATAAATGGGGACTGCTAAGGTTATAAAAGTAAAACTAGTGAAATAGCGTAGTGATTGGGAAAGGAAACTAGTTCTAGGTAATAAATCATTTGGAAAATAAATCAGAGTGTTACCTCAGATCTTCAGTAAATAGTAGACTCTACTAAATAGGAAAATATTGGTAATAAAAATAAGAAAAACATCCTAAAGTTGTCTGAATGAGAAAAAAAGGCAGCATATAAGCTGCAAATATACATATACATTTCGAAAAAAATAACACAAATGATGCATAAAGAAATCTAATTATCAACTGGAAATCAGAAGTAGAAACAGGTGATTGCTGAAGACATTCAGTAAAATGTGATAGTCCATGATGAGAAAGGTTACTAGAAGAAAACAAAAAAATCCAATATTCCGTCTATTAAATACCAACGTGGGCAGGCGTGGTGGCTCACACCTATAATCCCAACATTTTGGGAGGCCGAGACAGGAGGATTGCATGAGCCCAGGAGTTCAAGACCAGTCTGGGCAATATAGAAGGACACTGTCTCTACAATTAAAAAAAAGAAAAAAGAAAAAAAAATTAGCTGGGCATGGTGGCATGCACCTATAGTCCCAGCTACTCGGGAAGCTGAGCTGGGAGGATTGCTTGAGCCTGGGAGTTAGTGGTTGCAGCGACCCATGATCGCGCCACTATATTCCAGCCTGGGAAACAGAGCAAGATCCCATCTATATGGATGTGTAGATAGATACACACACACATACATATATATGTATCAACATATATATACCCTAACTTGGGATATTATCTATTGGTTACGTCATTTCACTTAAGAAAAAATTGCAGAGTTAGGGCAATTTCAAATAGGGTAACTAAATAATGAAAGTAAGAGAGCTAAAGGATGACTTACTAAATCTAATCAAGAAAAATAGGAAAAGGCCGGGCGCAGTGGCTCAAGCCTGTAATCCCAGCACTTTGGGAGGCCGAGACGGGCGGATCACGAGGTCGGGAGATCGAGACCATCCTGGCTAACACGGTGAAACCCCGTCTCTACTAAAAAATACAAAAAACTAGCCGGGCGTGGTGGCGGGCGCCTGTAGTCCCAACTACTCGGGAGGCTGAGGCAGGAGAATGGCGTGAACCCGGGAGGCGGAGCTTGCAGTGAGCTGAGATCCGGCCACTGCACTCCAGCCTGGGCGGCAGAGCGAGACTCCGTCTCAAAAAAAAAAAAAAAAATAGGAAAAGTAAAAAAAACAAAAAAAAACCCTTTAAGATATAATCACATTTTTACCTATAAAAATTTACATATAGCATAGGCTATATGTAAAAGAACTAAATAACTTTTAAAAATAAATATATAATTTCCCACTTATAACTAGTTGTAAGAATTAGATAACATATATAAAGCACTAGTGCCATATCTGACATTGAATATATTAAAAAAATGCTTATCCCTTCTTCCCCTTAAAAAATATGGAAGAAAGAAAACTGGAGAATGGGGGACTGGATGTGGCGGTTCACACCTGTAATCCCAGCAGTTTGGGAAGCCAAGGTGAGCAGATTGTTTGAGCTCAGAAATTTGAGACCAGCCTGGGCAACATGGCAAAATCCCATCTCTACAAAAAATACAAAAATTAGTTGGACGTGGTGGTATGCACGTATAGTCCCAGCTACCAGGGAGGCTGAGGTGAGAGGATTGCTTAAGCTCAAGAGGCTGAGGCTTCAGTGAGCCTAGATCATGCCACTGCACTCTGACCTGGGTGACGGAGTGAGACTTTGTCTCTAAATAAATAAATAGGTACAAGAGAATACTGGACTAGATGACTAGATTTAACATGTCACTAACCCAGTACGTCCACTTTTTTTTTTTAATTTTTTTTTTGAGACAGAGTCTCACTCTGTCACCCAGGCTGGAGTGCAGTGGCCCGATCTTGGCTCACTGAAAACTCGGCCTCCTTGGATCACACCATTCTCCTGCCTCAGCCTCCTGAGTAGCTGGGGCTACAGGCACCCGCCACCACACCCGGCTAATTTTTTTGTATTTTTAGTACCGACGGGGTTTCACTGTGTTAGCCAGCATGGTTTTGATCTCCTGACCTCGTGATCCGCCCACCTCAGCCTCCCAAAGTGCTGGGATTACACGCTTTGGCCACCGCGCCTGGCCCCCAGTATGTCCACTTTTAAGGACATAAAGAGCTCAGACTAATCCTTTCAAATTGCTTAAAGGGAGTTTAATAAATACTTGCAATTTTCACACACTATCAGGCAAGTGATTTAAGTTCAGGGGATATATGTCAATCAACAGATTTAAAAGGATACATAGTTCAAATTTAAATAGTTCATGTCCCATTAATCTAGTAGACATAAAAAATGGAACAGGCCTTTCTAGCAGATATTTCCTTGACTGTTGAAAAACACAGCATATTTTGGCCGGGCATAGTGGCTCACGCCTGTAATCCCAGCACTTTGGAGGCTGAGGCGGGTGATCACCTGAGGTGAGGAGTTCTAGACCAGCCTGGCCAACATGGCGAAACCCTGTCTCTACTAAAAATACAAAAATTAGCAGGGCATGGTGGCAGGTGCCTGCAATCCCAGCTACTCGGGGTGGCGGGGGGGCCAAGGCAGGAGAATCGCTTGAATCCGGGAGGCAGAGGTGGCAGTGAGCCAAGAGCACCATTGCACTGCAGCTGGGGGACAAGAGCGAGACTTCGTCTCAAAGAAAAAAAAAAGAAAATGAAAAAGAAAAACATAGCATATTTCGCTTGATTTTTCTGACATTTAGAGGGCAAGAGAGTAAGACCCTGTCTCAAAAATAAAAAATAAAAATTAAAGAACAGAAAAATGGAAATGTTGGAGAGAGAGGCACTGGACTCAGAAAAAAATGAAAAGTATTTCGAGTCTTATTTTATATAATCCTATGTTTACCTTTGTGACAGTGATGAAATCTGGTCCAAAGAAGACACTTTTTACTCCTTCAATCCTAAATAACTGCCTGCAAAAAAAGAAAAAAATAAGAGATACTAAAATGCTTGATTATGGAAAAGTTTAAACATACACAAAAGTAGAGAAAAGCAAAAAACTCTCCACATATCTCTTGCAGCTTTAACAATTATCAACTCATGGCCAATTTTGTTTTATAATTCCTACTCTATGATTTAGCAATCCCACACTATTTACCAAAAGAAATAAAAACACATGCTCCACAAAGACTTGTAGATAAATCTTTATAGCAGCTTAATTTTAAAATAGCCACACATATAGAAAAATATGGAAATGTCCATCACCTGGTGAATGAATAGACTGCTATATCTATACTATCAATCATTCATGAAACAAATATTTGACACCTACTAAATGCCAGGCACTGTACAAGCACGAAACAGACTATTTTCTTTCTTTTTTTTTTTTTTCTTTCGAGATGGAGTCACCCTCTGTCACCCAGGCTGGAATGCAGTGGTAAGATCGTGGCTCACTGCAACCTCCACCTCCCAGGTTCAAGTGATTTTCCTGCCTCAGCCTCCCACGTAGCTGGGATTACAGGCACCTACCACCACACCAAGCTAATTTTTGTATTTTTAGTAGAGACGGAGTTTCACCATATTGGCCAGGCTAGTCTTGAACTCCTGATCCCAGGTGATCTACCCGCCTCGGCCTCCCAAAGTGCTGGGATTATAGGCATGAGCCAGCACACCCGGCCTAAACAGACTATTTTCAAAAGACTACCTTGAAAAGAGATTTTGCCAACTGAACATCTGACAGAAATAATCTCTCACTAATCTATAACTGAATTAATTGGGGCTTTTTTACTTTTACATTTTTAATACAAAATATGAACTCATCCTTGATGTAAATGTTTCAAACAATAAAATTTAAATGCCCCTTGACCACCCCTACCAAATCCTGTTATCAGTTTCGTGTGTATTCTTCCAGATCTTTTTGTCAGTGCATTTGTTGTTCTGTGGTTTTTGCTTTCATATACATAATATCATATTGGACTCACTGTTCTGCAAGTTGCTTTCTTCACTTGTATGTCTCATATGTCTTTCTACGACAGTAAATACATCCCTGCACATATCTTGGGCACATGTGCAAGTAACTTCTAGGGTAGTAACCCAGTAGTGAGTTGTGGAATCATGTATGTAGTTACAGGGTTTTATTTAATAAAATAAAACAGAACAACAGAAAGAGATGAAGAAAGGAAATTTAAGAATCTATTATCTATTTTAAGGGTGAAAAAAGAGTCAAAACTATCCCATCAAACACTTGTATCTCACATATACACACACACGATGTAAAACACTTTTTACTGTGACTTATGTCAAAAAAGTACGAAAAACAGCCTGTAATTCCAATACTTTGGAAGCCAAGTAGGACAGATCACTTGAGCTCAGGAGTCTGAGACCAGCCTGGGCAACATGATGAAACCTAGCCTCTACAAAAAATACCAAATTTAGCCAGGTAAGGTGGCACATGCCTATAGTCCCAATTACTTACGAGGCTAAGGCAGGAGAATAGCTTGAACCCAGAGGTGGAGGTTGCAGTGAGCCAAGATCACGCCATCACACACCAGCCTGGGCAACAAAAGTGAAACCTTATCTCAATAAATAAATAAATAAAAGTTTAAAAATAAAATACGAAAAACAAACACTCTAAGGTATATTGAGAAGTGATATGTTTAAGTAAAAAGAAAAAGTACTTATTAATTATAAATTTTAAAAACAATTCCAGAGCTTAGCAAATCCCTAGGTTCCTTAAATGAGACATATAAAATGGCTGTATGTATAGAAACAGTTACCTAAGCTCTGTTTTCCGAGTATCCCTGGCAATCAGATTGAGGCTTCAGTTCCCAAAAATTTCAACTGATGCTGACTCTAATATTCTTTATTATTAACTTCTCTATCAGTTAAAAAGAGCTTCATCCCAACAATTTTATCATTTGTGCTTTTTTTTTTTTTTGAGACAGAGTCTCACTCCGTGGCCCAGGCTGGAGTAGAGTGGTACAATCTCAGCTCACTGCAAGCTCCGCCTCCTGGGTTCATGCCATTCTCCTGCCTCAGTCTCCTGAGTAGCTGGGACTACAGGCGCCTGCCACCACACCCGGCTAATTTTTTGGTATTTTTAGTAGAGATGGGGTTTCACTGTGTTAGCCAGGATGGTCTCGATCTCCTGACCTCATGATCCGCCCACCTCGGTCTCCCAAAGTGCTGGGATTACAGGCATGAGCCCCCGCGTCCGGCCCTATGCTTTATCATCTCTAACATACAGTAGTCCCCCCTTATCCCCAGGGGATCCATTCCAATGGCCCCAGTGGATCCCTGAAACTACACGTAGTATTGAACCCTGCAAGTACTATGTTTTTTTCCTATACATATATATCTATGAAAAGTTTAATTTATAAATTAGGCGCAGTAAGAGATTAACCACTGATAATAAAATAGAACAGTTATAACAATACGCCAGCAATATGCCAGCATCACTACTTTAAGAGATGGCTACTAAGTAACCAATGATGTGGCGAGGGCAGTGGGGGGGGTCAGCAGAGGGGAGGGCACAGGCAGACAGATAGTGTATATGACATGGATACACTGGAAAAGGGATAATTTATGCCCTAGGGAGGACAGAGCAAGATTTCACCATGCTACTCAGAAAAGCAGCACAATTTAAAACTGATGAATTGTTTATTTCTGGAATTTTCCATTTAATATTTTTAGACTATGGCTGATATTGGGTAACTGAAACCGGGGAAAGTGAAACCACAGATAAGGGAGGACTACTGGTTTAAACATGCCTTTATCTGGTGAATTTTAAAACTGTCCCTACTGACTAGTTTTCATTTACAGTTCTGAATAGAGTATTTTAGGAATTACTCCACCTAGAAAGAACTACAACATTCTCCTGCCTCAGCCTCCCGAGTAGCCGGGACTACAGGCGCCCGCCACCTCGTCCGGCTAGTTTTTTTTTTTTTTGTATTTTTTAGTCGAGACGGGGTTTCACCGTGTTAGCCAGGATGGTCTCGAACTCCTGACCTCGTGATCCGCCCGTCTCGGCCTCCCAAAGTGCTGGGATTACAGGCTTGAGCCACCGCGCCCGGCCAGAACTACAAATTCAACTACCCTTATGAATAAAATAAGCAAGTTCTCATTATTCTTAAAAATCAGATTTTTAAGATCTGAAATGGAAATTTACCATATTTATCAATTTGATGAATATTTTTTCTTAAGTAAAAACATAAGTTTTTATTTATTCATGCTATAGGTCTCTCAAATATATCGCTCTTCAGGAGAAAATTTTTTTAATATCAACTCTCATTTTTCTTTTCTGAGACAGGGTCTCACTCTCATGCCTAGGCTGGAATGTAGTGGCACAATCATGGCATCACAGCTCATAGTTTCCTTAATCTCCTGGGTTTAAGTAATCCTCCCACCTCGGTCTCCCTAGTAGCTAGGACTACAGACACGTATCACCACACTTGGCTAATTTTTGTACTTTTTGTAGACAGGGTTTCACCATGTTGCCCAGGCTGGTCTCAAACCCCTAAGCTCAAGTGATCCCCACCTCCTCAGCCTCCTCAACATGTTTGGGGTTTTTTTGAGACAGGGTCTCACTCTGTTGCCCAGGCTGGAGTACAGTGGAACCATTATGGCTCACTGCAGCCTCAACCTCCCAGGCTCAAACGATCCTCCCATCTCAGCCTCCCGCATAGCTAAGACAAGAGGTACACACCATCACACCCAGCTAAATTTTTGTGTGTGTGTCTGTGTGTGGTAGAGATGGGATCTCTGTGTGTGTGAGTGTGTGCGTGTGTGTGGGGGGGGGGGGGTAGAGATGGAGTCTTTCTATGTTGCCCCGGCTGGTCTCAAACTCCTGGACTCAAGCAATCCTCCCACTTCGGCCTCCCAAAGTGTTTGGATTACAGGTGTGAGCCACTGCAACATGCCTTATTATTTTTTTTTAATCTCTCATCTGAAAAGAAATTATTCTCTACACTTAAAAAAGAATGCGGTGCACACAGAAATGCAATAGTTAAATAAAGTTGTCTTAACCCCAATGTCAGTTATTTATGTTTCTTGGTAAAAGCAAATGAAAACAGTAATATACCTAGCCAGAGGGGAGCGAAATGCTGCAGCTGGGGTGGGAAAATCCATGGTCCTTGTCTCAAGAACTGGTTTTCCTGGTATAAACTTTAAGCTGTTGGGATTTGGAGTATCCTGTGTTTGAATAAACATGTATCTCACTAAAAAAAGGAAAAAGAAGAAAATGTTATTCTAGAAAAAAACAGTTAACAAGTTTATGGACTATGACATGCTCATTTGCACAGAACCAGAAGAAATAAGAAAAACTGGGGAAAAACCCAAGACTTTACTGCCCTGATAAAGCATTTATAAAGATAAGAAAGAAATATATCAATATATAGCCGGGCACAGTGGCTCACACCTGTAATCCCAGCACATTGGGAGGCCAAGGCGGGTGGATCACGAGGTCAGGAGTTCAAGACCAGCCTGGCCAAGATGGTGAAACCCCATCTCTACTAAAAATACAAAAATTAGCCAGGTGTGGTGGCAGGCGCCTATAATCCCAGCTACTTGGGAGGCTGAGGCAGAGAATTGCTTGAACCTGGGAGGCAGAGGTTGCAGTGAGCTGAGATTGTGCCACTGCACTCCAGCCTAGTGACAAAGTGAGACTCTGTCTCAAAAAAAATATATATATATATATCAATATATTTAAGTGTGTAGAGTTTTCTATTAATCTCTGGTGTTTTGTTTTCTGGGGTTTTTTTTTTTTTTTGAGACAAGGTCTTGCTCTGTTGTCCAGGCTGGAGTGCAGTGGCACAATCACGGTTCACTACGACCTCAAATTACTGGGCTCAAGCAATCCTTCCATATAAGCCCCAAAAGTAGCTGGGACTACAGGCGTGCATCATCACACCTAATTAATTTTTGTATTTTTTTGTAGAGACAGGGTCTCACACTGTTGCCCAGGCTGGTCCCAAATTCCTGGACTCAAATGATCCTCCCACCTCAGCCTTCCAAAGTGTTGGGATTAGAGCGTGAGCGCTGTGCCCAGCCAATACTCTGATTATTTAAATAGCTGTGTTATGAAACAGATTCCAGAAATAGTCTACACTTAAGTCTTATATATATTCATAATTCAGGAGTCCTATACATATTCTATTTGGTGACTTTGTACCAATGGCTATCATAACCATAGATCACTTATTGCTGACATTAACACAGTAAAATGCTACATTCTCTTCTTTCCAAAGTGCCACCATTATTTTAAAGACAATAAAGTTAGCAATTTATAATAGTAATAATAAATATTTATTGTGTGCTTATTATATGCCAAATACAGAGTCAAAGGCGGTTTTTTTTTTCTTTTTTTGAGGCGGAGTCTCACTCTGTCGCCCAGGCTGGAGTGCAGGATCTCGGCTTACTGCAAGCTCCACCTCCTGGGTTCATGCCATTCTCCTGCCTCAGCCTCCCGAGTAGCTGGAACTACAGGCGCCCGCCACTGCGCCCGGCTAATTTTTTTTTTGTATTTTTAGTAGAGTTGGGGTTTCACCATGTTAGCCAGGATGGTCTCGAGCTCCTGACCTTGTGATCCGCCCGCCTCGGCCTCCCAAAGTGCTGGGATTACAGGCTTGAGCCACCGCGCCCGGCCCAAAAAAAACTATTAAACAGACCTGATTATTCATTATGAAAATGAACCTTCTGGCAGGGGGCAGTGGCTCATGCCTGGAATCCCAGCACTTTGGGAGACCAAGGCGGGTGGATCACAAGGTCAGGAGTTCCAGACCAGCCTGGCCAACATGGTGAAACCCTGTCTCTACTAAAAAAATACAAAAATGAGCCAGACGTGGAGGTGTCTGCCTGTAACCCCAGCTACTCAGGAAGCTGAGGCAGGAGAATCGCTTGAACCCGGGTTGCAGTGAGCTGAGATTGTGCTATTGCACTCCAGCCTGGGTAATAGAGAGAGAGTAGGTCTCAAAAAAAAAAAAAAGAAAAGAAAATGAATTTTCTGGCCGGGCGAGGTAGCTCACGCCTATAATCCTAGCACTTTGGGAGCCAAAGCGGGCAGATCACCTGAGGTCAGGAGTTCCAGGCCACCCTGGCCAACATGGTAAAACCCCATCTCTACTAAAAATACAAAATTAACCAGGTGTGGTGGCGAGCACCTGTAATCCCAGCTACTCAGGAGGCTGAGGCAAGAGAATCACTTGAACCTGGGAGGCAGAGGTTGCAGTTAACTGGGATCATACCATTGCACTCCAGCCTGGGCCAAAAGAGCGAAACTCCATCTCAAAAGAAAAAAAAAAAAAGACAGGCTGCGCATAGTGGCTCACGCCTGTAATCTCAGCACTCTGGGAAGTCAAGGCAGGTGGATCACAAGGTCAGGAGTTTAAAACCAGCCTGGCCAACATGGTGAAAACCTGTCTCTACTATAAATACAAATGTTAGCCAGGCATGGGAGCGTGCGCCTGTAGTGCCAGCTACTTGGGAGGCTGAGGCAGGAGAATCACTTGACCCTGGGAGGTGGAAGTTGCAGTGAACTGAGATTGCACCATTACACTCTAGCCTGGGCAACAGAGTGTAATGAAAAAAAAAACAGAAAAAAAAAAAAAGAAAATGAACCTTCTGAGTAAAAATAAATCCTCCATCTTACAGCAGTATATTTAAATAGATTGGCAATCGTATATAACAATTAAAATTTATTCAGTGCCTGGGCGCGGTGCCTCATGCCTGTAATCCCAGCACTTTGGGAGGCCAAGACAGGCGGATCACCTGAGGTCAGGAGTTCGAGAACAGCCTGGTCAACATGGTAAAACCCTGTCTCTACTAAAAATACAAAAATTAGCCAGGCGTGGTGATGTGCACCTGTAATCCCAGCTACCCAGAAGGCTGAGGCAGGAGAAACACTTGAATCCGGGAGGGGGAGGTTGCAATGAGCCAAGATCCAGTCACCATACACTCCAGCCTGTGAGACATAGTGAGACTCTGTCTCAAAAAAAAAAAAAAAATTATTCAGTGCCTATCATGTGCTGGGCAGAGTGCTAAGCACTTTACAGGTATTATATCATTTAATCCTTACATGCTTTCAATGAGGTACTGTTTTTATGTTGTTTTATAATAAGGAGACTAAAGGTCACTCAGCTACTAAGTGACAGAGCCAGGATACAAAGCTGGACAATTTTGTAGGTGCTGACTTTCTTAGCCACCGTACATATTGCTAATCCTTATCTAACATTGCCAAGCATAATAGGAAAATACATTTAAGGTCAGTCTTCCTGTTCTAATTTTCATATCACCTATTTTAGGAGAGAGAATAAAATACCAAAAAGCAACAGTTTTATTTTAAATTTGGAAGAGTTTAAATTTGGCAAAACATATGGTTGGTACAAAAATGCTTTTCTTAGCCATTAGGGAAAAGGTTCTAATTTGACAACTGAGAGTCATTTTTGCACTTTGCCATGCAGTTCCAGCTAGCTGAAGTAAAACCATTTCGTGGATAAAGAAAAAAATTAAAGGTGAACTCCTATACATTTTGCTTAAGTCATTGTCCTAATCAGACAACCAGACAATTCCTAAAAAATGAAAAAATAACCGCAATGTCCAAGTACTTCTTTAAAATATGTATATTTCTAGTAAGACATTCTTCTGAAAATCTATAAGGGAATGATTTTTCAATGACACATTAAAGAAAGGGCTGCAAACACTTTCTGTAAATAATCTTCTAACTCTGGTTCTGAACCAATCATTTCTTGCAGCTTGTATTAATAATTTATTGCTAACCAAAATCTGCACACAGTACTCTACCAATATTTGAAGAATTAAATCGGCTTTGGCTGGGTGCATCAGCTCACACCTATAATCCCAGCATTCTGGGAGGCCAAGGCAGGAGGATCACTTGAGGGTAGAAGTTCGAGACCAGCCTGGGCAACACAGATCCTGTCTCTACAAAAAACTACAAGTTGTTGTGGCATGTGCCTGTAATCCCAGCTATATGGGAGACTGAGGCAAGAGGACTGCTTGAGCCCAGGCATTAGAGGATGCAGTGAGCCAAGACAAAAAAAAAAAATCTGGCTTTATTCTACGCAGCCAATTTGAGAAAAACTGTACCTGCAGAAAGCAAAATTTTTAGAAATCCTTGAGGGTAAAAACTACAAATGCAAAAAAAAAAAGTCATTTAAGAGCATGTACTCTATACTATCTAAAGTAGAAAGTATGAAGATGAATGACATAATCACAGAACTTTTTACTTTTGACAATAAAGGCGCGCACCACCATGCCCAGATAATTTTTGTATTTTTTTGTAGGGTTTGACCATGTTGCTGAGGCTGATCTCGAACTTCTTGGGCTCAAGGGATCTGCCCACCTCAGCCTCTCAAAGTGTTGGGATTACAGGCATGAGTCACCACGCCAGCCTATTTCTTCCTATTATGCTTGGTACTAATAGGTACCTAAGGAGGTAGACGTAAACTCCCCCAAAATACAGATTAGTGATGCTTAAAGTCAATATCAATGACTAAAATTAATGGGTTTCCTATTTGAAAAGCCTATATGACCACATATTTCAGTCCTACAAAGTTTAAAAGTCCAATTAAAGTGGTTTAATCAGCTGAGTTACTCAGTATTTACAATATTTATATCTAAACTATTCTGTGATTCAAGCAGTCAGGCAAGTCTGCAGGAAAGTGCTCCTCTTCTGGCCCCTGGCTACTGAAGGGGTAAGGTCTACCCTGATTTAACTCATGCCCTTAGCCAGAATCAGCCAGAGTATGGCCACCGGAATGTGTTCAAGCTAGCAATGGAAAGGAGAGGCTGAATTTATATGCTTACAGGTCCATAACACATATAGGTGTACATTTACATACATGCACACATGCAGACACACATACCCTCTCCCCTTAAAACTTCCCTAACTCTACATTATGGTCATCACACTTCAAATTATTTTCAAATCATATCTATTTCCCAAATTAAAGAAAATCAAGTATGTATCTTGTTAACAATCAAGATTATTAACAAAACCATAGTAATTAATTTTGACAAAAAAAGTTTTTATTTCTTTTTTTTGAATGTAATGTTCTAAGGTCTGGATAAAAGCCAGAAATTTACTGATTTTAAGGGTATACTTATCCAAAAAATGTAAAGCACTAGCTTGAAATACATAGAATTCTTTGAAACACAATCCCCATTTGAAAACTTCTTTTTGAGACAAGGTCCCACTCTGTCACCCAGGCTGGAACACAGTGGTGTGATCACGGCTCACTGCAAGCTTGAACTCCTGGGCTAAAGGGATTCTCCCACCTCAGCCTCCCAAGCAGCTGGGACTACAGGTATGCGCCACCATGCCCAGCTAATTTTTTGTATTTTTTGTAGAGATGGGGTTTCGCTGTATTGCCCAGGCTGGTCTCAAACTCCTGGGCTCAAGCAATCAACCTGCCTCAGTCTCTCAAAGAACTGGGATTACAGGCATGAGCCACCACACCCAGTCAGATTTTAACTTCTACAATATTTTCATTTTGGAAATCATTTGTTGAGCAACTTTTGTGTTGCAGTGGAAGTGTTATACAAGATACTGAGATTTCATAGATCTATTGGACAATGTCCTTGCAAATAAATTTTCTACTTAGAAGCCTATAAGAAAAATATGGCTTTTTTTCCTACATTCTTTCTATAGGCTTCTAAATAGAAAATATACACATTCTCATCTTTTATGATCCACAAAATCCTAACACAGTTCCATTAGTTTCTGAAACACAACTGCTTTAAAAGAGGTGAAATTTTACCTGGGTTACAAAAGGCTGCAGGTAGTGGGAAAAGTGGTCTTTGTACAAATTGATGCAGAGGCTGTTTCTTAATGGTGTATGGATTCTTCAACATATGACAGAACCTATATTTAAAAGCACATAATGAATGACATTTTAAGAGCTCTAATCTTTTAAAATTGGTTTCTACTTCTCATGTATAAAAAAGACCTACGTAAAATTTAAACATAACCAGCAATAGAAATAATTAGAGAACTGACTTTTCATTTTCCATCTACCTTATTTCCACTTACTTAGGCAAGCAATACCTATAAACAATTCAAAATCAGATAGAGCTTAAATGGAAATTCCTACCCTTGATAACTGGGTGTGCACAGGATAATATAACATCCAGATATAAGAAATAGAATTGGGCCGGGTGCAGTGGCTCACACCTGTAATCTCAGCACTTTGGGAGGCCGAGGCAGGTGCTTCACCTGAGGTCGGGAGTTCAAGACCAGCCTGACCAACATGAAGAAACCTCATCTCTACTAAAAATACAAAATTAGCTGGGTGTGCTGACACATGCCTGTAATCCCAGCTACTCGGGAGGCTGAGGCAGGAGAGTCGCTTGAACCCAGGAGGTGGAGGTTGCCGTGAGCCAAGATAAGCCATTGCACTCCAGCCTGGGCAACAAGAGTGAAACTCTGTCTCAAAAAAAAAAAAAAAAAAAAAAGGCCGGGCGTGGTGGCTCACGCCTATAATCCCAGCACTTTGGGAGGCCAAGGTGGGCAGATCACAAGGTCAGGAGATCGAGACCACAGTGAAACCCCGTCTCTACTAAAAATACAAAAAAAATTAGCCGGGCGCGGTGGCAGGCGCCTGTAGTCCCAGCTACTTAGGAGGCTGAGGCAGGAGAATGGCGTGAACCCGGAAGGCGGAGCTTGCAGTGAGCTGAGATCTGGCCACTGCACTCCAGCCTGGGCGACAGAGCGAGACTCCGTCTCAAAAAAAAAAAAAAAAAAAAAAAAAAACAAGAAACAGAATTGTATCTACATTAGTAATTTATAACCCATAGTCCCAGACTCTTGGTTATGCACAAAGGAAGCAAATAACTATAAGCTTTTTTCTTTTAAAAAAAAATTTAGGCCAGGCGCGGTGGCTCAAGCCTGTAATCCCAGCACTCTGGGAGGCCAAGACGGGTGGATCACGAGGTCAGGAGATCGAGACCATCCTGGCTAACACAGTGAAACCCCGTCTCTACTAAAAAATACAAAAAACTAGCCGGGCGAGGTGGCAGGCGCCTGTAGTCCCAGTTACTCGGGAGGCTGAGGCAGGAGAATGGCGTAAACCCGGGAGGCGGAGCTTGCAGTGAGCCGAGATCCGGCCACTGCACTCCAGCCTGGGCGACAGAGCGAGACTCTGTCTCAAAAAAAAAAATTTAGAATTAGGCAATAGAGTCACATGGTTCAAAATTGATAAGGATAAAAGCATATATAGTGGAAGTCTCCCTCCTTTCCTGTCCCTTACCACGTTTCCCTCTCTCAAGATAACCTGTATTACCTGTTTTGAAAAGTATTTCAATACTTCAAAAAATCTAAAAGAAAGTATACTATTGGGCTGGGGGTGGTGGCTCACACCTGTAATGCCAGCACTTCGGGAGGCCAAGGCAGGTGGATCACCTGAGGTCAGGAGTTCAAGACCAGCTTGGCCAACATGGTGAAACCCCGTCTCTACTAAAAATACAAAAACTAGCTGGGAGTGGTGGTGGGCGCCTGTAATCCCAGCTACTTGGGAGGCTGAGGCAGAGGAATCACTTGAACCTGGGAGGTAGAGATTGCAGTGAGCCGAGATCGCACCACTGCACTCCAGCCTGGACCAAAGAGCGAGACTTCATCTCCAAAAAAAAAGTATACTATTGTCCTTTTTGTTTTTGAGATGGAGTCTCGCTGTTGTTGGCCCAGGCTGGAGTGCAATGGCACAATCTCGGCTCACTGCAACCTCCGTCTCCCAGGTTCCAGCAATTCTCCTGCCTCAGCCTCTCAAGTAGCTGACATTACACGTGCCTGCCACCATGCCCAGCTAATTTTTGAATTTTTTAGTAGAGACGGAGTTTCACCATGTTGGCCAAGATGGTCTCGAACTCCTGACCTCAGGTGATCTGCCAGCATCGGCCTCCCAAAGTGCTGAGATTACGGGCATGAGACACTGTGCCTGGGCCCATCCTTTTTTTTTTTTTGAGATTGAGTCTCACTTTGTTGCCCAGGCTGGAGTGCAGTGATACGATCCCGGCTTACTGCAACCTCCACCGCCTGGGTTCAAGCAATTCTCTTGCCTCAGCCTCCCTAGTAGCTGGGATTACAGGTGTATACCATCACACCCAGCTAATTTTTTTATTTTTAGTAGAGATAGGTTTCATCATCTTGGCCAGGCTGGTCTTGAACTCCTGACCTCATGATCCACCCGCCTCGGCCTCCCAAAGTGCTGGGATTACAGGCGTGAGCCACCACACCCGGTCTCTAACTTTACTTTACTCTTATAGAGAAAACATAATTGGCTATTTTTGATGGCTTTGACAAACTGAAAACAAAGGAAGAAAAGAAAAGCAAATATTACTGGAAAAGGAAGTAAAAGCAGACTTTAGTAGTGAAAATTCTTAAAATCCTAATGCAATTTACTTTAAAATCCAGTTTACTTGAAAATATCATCGCTCTCCATTACAACTGCCACTTCATAGAAGTCATGGAAAAATTTTAAGCACAAGAGTCATTTATAATTGCCAATGGGTTCAGATACTGCTAATTCATCAATACAGGGGATTTGCAATAGTTTAATTCACACGGAGCCAGCTGCAAGGGAGACTGGAGTTTCAGCACTCAGTCTCTCTGGATCTGAGTCTAGGGGTTTTCAACGATAGACTGGCAGGCCAGGGAACGGGTGCTGCTGATTGGTTGGGGATGCAATCATAGGGTTGTGGAAAATGGTCCTCCTGAGTGCTCAGTCCGTTTATGGGTGGAGCCACAGAACCAGTCAGAAATGCAAAAATCTGAAAAGGCTAATCTTAGGTTCTACAAGAGTGATGTTTCCTGCAGGAGTAATTGGGGAAGTTGCAACCCTTATGACCTCCAGAATAATGGCTGGTAATCATTTATATCTACACCTTAGCAGAATTCAGGCTCCTCTCATCCTCCCAACCCAATGGTCTTTCATTAGCCTTACAAAGGTGGTTTAATTTTGGGAAAGGGCTATTATCATTTAAACTATCAACTTAATGTCTCCCAAAGTTAGCTTGGCCCAAGCCCGGGAATGGGCTGTTGTCTAGAGGTTAAAGTCAAAATGGTGGTTGGTTAGAACGGTCTTTCACTGTCATAATTTTCTGTTAAAATGTTTTGCAAAGGCAAAAATTGTGATCATACACAAGATCACATTTATCTAATTATTTGCTGCTTAAAATAGGCAAGAAGCAACAAGGGCTGTCACATTTTTTTCTCTACCAAAACTGGAATTCTTCTTGTGGAAAAGAATGAGTGGGCACCAATGAAGTATTAATAGAATACAGATGAACTTTTTCCAACCTTGGGTAATCATTATATGCCATTGATAAGCAAAAGACTACTTTACTGGGATACTGTGGGACTCTAACCCACATAGTTTCTTAGACGCTATTGGAGAGATAAAAGTATTGGAACCGAGGATTCAAGAGAACAATGGAATCAACACTGAATGGGAATCAAATCATCTGTGAAGTCCTGACTGCCACTCCCCACACTAGCTCCAAACAGTGTTGATCACAGTAAGAGCTGTCACGCCTTTATTTATTTATTCTGAGATGGAAATAATCTCGCTTTTCTCGCTCCGTTGCCCAGGCTAAAGTGCAGTGGCGTGATCTTGGCTCACTGCAACCTCCACCTCCCTGGTTCAAGCAATTCCCCTGCCTCAGCCTCCCGAGTAGCTGGGATTACAGGCACACACCACCACGCCCGGCTTTTTTTTTTTATATATATATTTTTTTAGTTTCACCATGTTGGCCAGACTGGTCTCGAACTCCTGACCTCAGCCAATCCGCCTGGCTTGGCCTCCCAAAGTGCTGGGATTACAGGCGTGAACCACTGCGCCCGGCACACCACTTTAAATTATATGAATCTATTACAGCACTCATGACTGTAATTATTTGTTAACATATTTTTCTTGCTAGACTGCATACTTATTAAGGGGAGAAACTATCTTCATTTCCAGCTGCTAGCACAATGGCCTCACTTCTTCATCTCCACAATGAGATTAAAGTCGCAGCTACCTCATAAAGAATCCAGAGAATCCATGCAAAGTGCTTAAACCAGTGCTAGGCCATGCAGTAAGTGCTCAATAAATGGCAGCTGCTACCATTATTTAATTGGTGCCCAATAATTACTAATTGAGTGAAGTTCAAGGTTTGGAGTAAAAATGCCTTTTTCTATAGTTCAGTATCTAAATCTGTGAATACTCTGGAATTTGGAAATACACTAGAAGAATAATATTCTTATCCCTTCAGCCCAGGGAAAAAGCAGCAGAATGAATAGAGGAAGCACATTCCGACATACATGTTTAAAGTCTTGTTTTTAAACTAAGAGTGGATTACATTATTCAAGGAAGACATCTACTCAAACACAGGAGATAACTAACAAAAAATTCTACCAACTTAAATCTTTTTAGGATATACATTTAAACTTCAAGAGCACCATTAACACTAAAATGTCAAATACTCAAGAGGGCAAACTCTTGTAGGCCATTTTCTCCAGACATAAAATTAAGGTACACCTACATAAATGTTCTCTTAGCAATGTTCACAGAAGTCTTTGAAACTCAAAGGTACGGCTCAGGGAAGGGGGAAAAACAAGGGAACAGAGTGGGCTTAATGGTGATGGGTGCAGGGAATCTAGGGGTCTGAATTCTCGTCGGAGTTCCATCACTTAGAAACTGTGTGACCTTGGACATATCACCTCCTCTTTCAGGGTCTTACTGGGAAAATGAGGAAACGAGACAAGGTATTTTCTTCCTTTCTGTGTGACATTCTGATTCTGTTTACAAGAGGAGGGAATGCACCTCGTAAAGGGCCTGGGGGCGGGAGAGGCACACGATTTAAAAACAGCTCCTCCGTTCTGGCTCTACAGCCAGTCTCTACAAGCTTCCATACCGCACAGAATCAAGCACTGGGTCTCTAAGCCTGAGACGAAGCTCCACAGAGTCCGCCCGGATTAGGACACAGAAGCGCCGAGCTCCCGCACCGACGGCCATACACCTCAGGGCTCACCCCCAACTGCGACGACAGGGCGGACCCGCCGGCTCCATCAGATGCACTACCCACCCGCCTCGAGAGGGTCTGCAAGGCGGCGACCGCTCCGCTGGCTAAGCCCAACGGCACACCTATTCGGAGCTCCAGGCTCTTCACCTACCGCCTGCGCAGCCCCGCGGCAACAGCCGCAGTTCCCCAGCCCCGCCTGGCCGCGGTCGCCATCTTACTCCGGAGTGCGCAGGGGTCTCCCTGACAGCACCACAAAAGATCTGCGCAGGCGCAGGCTGGCCGGTAGCTGGGCGGGCACTGGGAAGAGCCCACCCTGCCGGCTGCGGGCGGCCCTGCTGCGGCTAAGAGCCGTGGCCTACACTCCGACGTTTGCAGCCTACTGCGTCACCCTGACCAAGACAGGCCAGGAAACCTTTGCTGTTTGCGCCGGCGCCTGGTTAATTAACGCAGCACCCTGAACGCATGCGTGTTTCCGTCCATACTTTGCTTTCCCTGCTGGCTGGGTTCTTAGCAGGTGCTGGTGCTGCGGTTGCGAATGCTGTTTTCCGTCCCTAAACCTGACCCATTCCCTCAGTCCTGAGTAGGACCCTACTCAGCCTCCAGGCCCAGCTCAGTAACTGCCCCCAAAGACACCCCAGAGCATTCCTTCTCAAAGGTTCTCGCATTTCTCCTGCCCTTTTCCCATGGGTCTGATGTGGACCTGTGTCTAACCCTTCCTCATAGCTGTGCTTGTCGCCTGCCGCTTCATCATCTTGGACCAACCCTCACAGAGCACGTATCTGGCACAGTGCTACCCTTCTCTGTATTAACATGAGCGTTTGACTAGTTTCCAGAGCAGAGTGCCAAAGCCCATTCCTATTCTTCCAGAACGTTCCTGGAGTGTTCAGTTTTCTCTAGGACAACGGTTCTCAAAGTGCGGACTAGGGGCCAAAAAAAGCAGAACACGTTAGAAATGCACGTTAGAAATCCTGGGCCCCACTTTATACTTACTGAGGCACAATCTCTATAGGTGGAGACTGGAAATCTTTTTGTTACTTGTTTTTTTATTTTTTTATTTTTCTAGAGACAGGGTCTATCTCTGTCGCCCAGGCTGGAGGGCAGAAGTGCGATCATAGCTCACCAAAACCAACTCCTGGGCTCAAGTGATTCATCCTCCAGCCTCAGCCTCCCAAAGCACTGGGATTACAGGTGTGAGCCACCGTGCCTGGCTATTTTTAGTAGTAGTAGTAGTAGTAGTAGTAGTAGTAGTAATAGTAGTAGTAGTAGTAGTAGTTTTGTAGAGAAGAGGCCTCTCTATGTTGCCTGGGCTGCTCTTGAACTCTGCTGGCCTCCAGTGATCCCTCTTGCGTGGGCCTCCAAAAGCTCTTAGGTTACCTCGCCCTGCCTAGTAATGTTTTAACAAACCCTTCCCGGGATTCTGATGCCAGCTAAAATTTGAGAATCACTGTTCTGGAAGACAGAGGACTGGTTTCTAGGATGGAAACAGGTTGTTGAACAGGTTGAGGCCACACCTAAGCAACCCTAGTAATTTCTATGGCCCGGAGACACATCTAAGAGGGTGGGTGGGTTTCAGGCCTGCAGCTTGCCCCGGCCTGGACACTGAGTGGGCTGTGCCTCCTCCCAGTTTGGTTCATTTCCCAATGCTGCGTACTTGCTTTTAACCACTAGTGGTATTCCCTCACCCAACTCCCCCCACCCCACCCCCCCCCACCCCGCCACACACACACACACACACGCGCACACGCACACGCACACGCACGTGCATTCTAGACTGCAAAGCAGTCCAAGCCTCTCTTGTTGACCCTGAATCAAGAATAAAATGTGGCTCTTCCACCTGGGAACAATCGTTCTTCTTGGACTTCAATTTTTCCCTCTCTTATGGATTCCTTATCATAAGAAAAATCCTGCCTTGCCCCAAATCCTCTTCCACTGTCTTTTCTTCCCTTCGAAGCCAAGTGGCTCAAAAAAATTGTCTGCACTCTTAGTCTCCAGTTTTTCACTTCCCACTCCTCAAACTCCTGAAACAAGGCTTCTGTGTCCCACCATTCCTAGGTCCTGCTCTAGTCAAACCACCCCACAGCCTCTGTGCTACTAACCTCAAGGACCGTTTTCCATCCTTTCTTGACCTCCACAACATCAGAGGCTGAGGAGCTCTCCCTCCCTTTTATAATCTCGTTTCTTGACTTTCCAGGAACCACAAATTTTCCCTATTTTCCCTGCTACCTTTTTGGTTAGTCCTCCCAGATTCCCTTGCAGGGTTTCATCTGCTTGCCCCTCAGTGTTGGTGCTTTTTGGGCTCCCATTCCAGGCCCTGTTCTCTTCCCCTTCTTTTGTGATTAACAAATTTCACTAATTAGCGTTTCTTTCTTCTTTTCTATTTTTTTTTTTTTTTTTTGAGACGGAGTCTCGCTCTGTCGCCCAGGCTGGAGTGCAGTGGTGTGATCTCGGCTCACTGCAAGCTCCGCCTCCCGGGTTCACGCCATTCTCCTGCCTCAGCCTCCCGAGTAGCTGGGACTACAGGCACCCGCCACAACGCCCGGCTAATTTTTTTTGTATTTTTAGTAGAGACGGGGTTTCACCGTGTTCGCCAGGATGGTCTCGATCTCCTGACCTCGTGATCCGCCCGCCTCGGCCTCCCAAAGTGCTGGGATTACAGGCGTGAGCCACCACGCCCGGCCAACTAATTAGCATTTCTGTCAGCCACTAGAATATGTTTCTCTCTCTTGCAAAAACTGGGTTAACAAAACATTTGTTTTTGCCAATTATTGATCACTTACATTAAATGAAAACAAAGCAGATTAGAAACAGTGTGTATAGGATGATCTCATTTATATAAAATTGTGTGTCTGTGTGTGCTTGTATATGTGTGCACAAGAGGTATCTGGAAAGCAGATTGTCAGTTTTCTCGCCCACAAGCCCATCTTTAGTTCCTTAAATATGATAAATTATTTCTCACCTTAGGGCCTTTGCATAAATTCTTCCCTCTACTGGGAATGCCTTTCCCCTCCTCTTTTCTTAACTCCCTTGTACTAATTCCCCCAGGTTTGCCCCTAAATATCCCTTCTTTAGGGGGCCTTCCCTTTGCCTCATTCCATCTCAATCTAAATTGTCTCCTCTGTCAGCCTCTCTCAAAACATGCTTTTTCTTTCATAACACATTCTCACAACTTGAAATGATGGATTTGGATACTGATTAATGATCCTTTCCCCTGCTATACTCTAAACGTATGAAGGACATGTCAGTCTCTCTTTTTTTTCTTTTTGAGATGGGGGGTCTCACTCTGTCACCCAGGTTGAAGTGCAGTGGTACAATCATAGCTCACTGCAGCCTCGAACTCCTGGGATAAAGCAGTGCTCCTGCCTCGGACTCCTGAGGGACATGTCAGCCTCCTTACTTTTGTATCCTTAGCACCTAGTATGTGCCTGGCACACAGTAGGTGCTCAAAAAGTATTTGTTGACTGAATGAATGGAGTCATCTCAACCCTTTGTCAAATTCAGTACAGTTTTTCATGCTGTGTGAGCGTTGTGTGGACAGCAGAAAGGGGAAGTCAGGAAGGAAAGGGTGGTCCGGTCCAGTTCACCCCTAGCCTGGTTCTGTGCCAAGCCAGGGTGCCGCATTTTATGGAGAAGACTATATCCAGTAGCATGTGAAACTAGGGACAGCAGCCAGGAGCGGAGGTGAAAGAGCCTTTCCTTCTTCCCACATATACTAGAGAGGGCGACTCTTTAGGAAAAAGAACAAATACAATTTGAGATATCTGTAGCTCTATTTATAACCCTCTGTAACACATACAGATACACATACACACACAGCATTATACATAGATTTATAATAACTGATAGACAACTGATACTTTCTCTAATATTTTAGCAAAGATGTTTTATTGGTTGACTAAGAAGATTACCAGACTATGTGACAAGGACCAAAAGGTCATTTACTCATACATCTATTCATGAATGTTAATGAATAGAATTGTGGCAGACAACCAGGTACCTCGCAATATCTATTTCCCCCTTCTTCCTTACTTGTGACCACTGATTTTGTTCAGATAGCAATGAGTCCAATTTAAGAAATCTATTTCTCAGCCTCCCTTGCACGTAGTGGGTATAAACTGGCTCTATGGTTCGGTTCTGTCCAATGAGAACAATGAGAAAGTCAACCAGAAATTTCACAAAGCTTTGCTAAGGTGAAAGATTGCTTGAGCCAAGGAGGTCAAGGCTGCACTAAGCCGTGATCATGCTGCTGCACTCCAGCCTGGCTGACAGGGCAAGACCCTGTCTCAAAAAAAATTAAAAAAATAATAATAATAATAAAAGGCCAGCACTGTGGCTCATGCCTATAATCCCAGCACTTTGGGAGGCTGAGGTGGGTGGATCGCTTGAGCCCAGGAGTTTGAAACCAGCCTAGGAAATACAGTGAGGCCTCATTTCTACAAACAATATAAAAAAAGAAAAAGTATCAGGCCCAGAGAGGCATTTAAAATGTAGTAGCAGTAGCCGGCCATGGTGATCCCAGCACTTTGGGAGGCCGAGGCGGGCAGATCACGAGGTCAGGAGATCGAGACCATCCTGGTTAACACGGTGAAACCCCATCTCTAGTAAAAATACAAAAAATTAGCCGGGTGCGGTGGTGGGCACCTGTAGTCCCAGCTACTCGGAGGCTGAGGCAGGAGAATGGCGTGAACCCAGGAGGCGGAGCTTGCACTGAACCGAGATGGTGCCACTGCACTCCAGCCTGGGCGACAAAGTGAGACTCCATCTCAAAAAAAACAAAAACAAAAACAAATAAAATGTAGTAGCAGTAATATCTCATTCACCCTTGAGCTAAATAATAACTTCTTGAAGTCACTTGCTATGTATGCAAGAATACCGGCTGAGCATGGTAGCTCATACCTGTAATCCCAACACTCCGGGAGGCCGAGGTGGGCAAATCGCTTGAGCCCAGGAGTTTGAGACCATGCTGGGAAACATGGAGGGTTTACAAGCATGAGCCACTGTACCTAGCAGAATAAAAACATGTTATCTGAGGAGGGTGAGCCCCTTTAAATTATCAGGGCCATTGACTAGCCTAAAAAAAAAAAAAAAGGTATCAGCACCGGGTGCTGTGGCTCCTGCTTGTAATCCCAGCACTTGGGAGTCTCTACAAACAAACCCCGTCTCCACAAAAAATTAGCCAGACGTTGTGGCACATGCCTGTAGTGCCAGCTATTTGGGAGGCTGATGGGGGAGAATTACCTGAGCCTGGGAAGTTGAGGCTGCAGTGAGCCATGATTGCACCACTGCACTGCAGCCTGGGTGACAGCATGAGACCCTGTCTCAAGAAAAAAAAAAAAGTCGAATGAGAATACCTGATGAGCAACTTTTGTAATTGTTCCCCTCCCCT